TGTAATAATTGTGCTCTAGTAATTCTGTAAATTTCTTTGTAATAACTCATTTAAATCAATGAAAAGCTGTTTTTGCCGAAAAAAAAAAAAACTTTTTTTTATAAAGATGAGGTCTAGGAGAAATTCATTTTTACAAAAAAAACTAAAACCATATTTCAACATAACTAATTATATCATATATATATATATATATGTGTGTGATTATTAATTTATGTTATTATTGGGACTATATTTACAGAGGGATTTCTACAAAAATTATTATTTTATTATCTTATCGAATTTGATTAATATTTACACTGGCCCGACTTGGGACCAATAAAATTTATTAATTTATAGTGTTTATTAATTTATAGAGTATTAATTTATAGAGGTTTTACTGTATGTGTTAAAAATACATATATATATATATATATATATTGTTTTTTCATGGTAATTATGATTAACTAACACTTCATGATGGATACATATGATAAGTCTTTGTTGTCGAGGTTGATCAATAACTAATTACTCGTATTTCACATACCAAACAGATAGTATCACTATTGTGATCGGGAAGTGTAAATACATAATGAAGGTTTAGTTTTGTTTCGAGTTTTGTTCGTTTGAGGATCTCTCACGATCGTTTAGCAAGATTAGCTAATTAGGATAAATTCAAAACTGACAAAATTATTTAAGAAGTCATAATCACTTTTTTTTTTCTGTTCAACGAATCATAATCAGATTATGTAATTTGAAAATAAAGAAAAATGTTGTTTTTTCATCTGATTGATTAATAATTAAGATGTTGGAGTTTGTATTAATTTTTAAAATTTTGCTATATATATATATATATATATATATATAGTAGTAGTAGTATACAGATTATTATTGTTATGTTATTAATTTTGACATAATAATTATGAACAATGCAATTAGTTTTTGGTTTAAAAAAAAATGCAAAAAGGAAAAAGGAAATGTAAAGAAAAAAAGAAGAAGGAAATATTCGCTAATCATCGTCCGTCCCGAGAGTGTCATCTGATCCTCTTCCTCGGTTAGCGTACTGTGAATTGAAATCCTCTTCAGTGCAAATTTCAAGCCTTTTGTAATGGAAAATTAGGGTTTCTTTTTGTTTGCTAAACTGTAATTGGGGATGCGATTTGATTCCGTTGGAATGGTGGAGAGACGGAATCCTCTGGTTCTATCATCCACCAGAACTAAACTCCGTTCGGTGCTCAATTCGTTACGCCCCGTCTTTTCCGACGGAGAACGAGTTCCGAATCACGACGGGATTGTTTTGGGCGGACCCGACTTGTTACGAGGGAATGTTAGGCTGTCTGCGGGCATTCTGCGGTGCCACGCCCACGATGATGCCAAATTGGATGACTCTGCATTGGTGGGACTCTCCACTCAATTGCTCTAGAGACTATCTATCAACTCTGGTTCTTTCGTAAGCTCTTGATGTTCACGTTGAGTATTTGTAATGTTAGGTTGTTATCAAGAACATAGAGATAGGCATTCAGCGGGTTGCCCAAGTTGTTGTACTTGATCCTCCCAACACGCTGGAAGATGCATCTGTCACTAGAATACCTGTTCCGGGCTCCCTTCATACGATGCTTGTCTTCCCCACTTATGATTTGATGGTCCAACAATTATTATTAGATCAAGAGGTTGCTTACTTGTCCCCAATGTTAGCTTTTAATCTTAGCTCGCACATATCTTGCCTGATATCCCTCGTCCATCAAGGCAACGGGGTCTTAGACAAGTATTTTGAAGCTAAGTTTGACAAGGAGTTAATCAAAAAATCTGGCTCACAGATTGGTTTGGATTTGGAAACTGTTTCCAAAGTTCCTGGCTGTGCATCACATCTGAGAGTTTCTTTTGTTAAAATCCCCGAGTGTGGTTCCATTCAATCCTGAAAGTCAATTCTTCATTTGAAGCTGAAGAGCGGCAAGGGTTAATAGATTCCGCATTACATAAGTATTTTGGAACTGATAGACAACTATCAAGAGGCGATGTGTTTCGCATTTACATTGACTGGAATTGTGGTTCAAGTATATGTATTCCATGTAGTCAAAGGTTGTGCTCAGAAAGCGACGAATTTATATATTTCAAGGTAATTTTGTGTGTTTTTTAACTAGAAAAAAGGCTCATTTTGGCCAGAACTTATTGAAACTTTAGTTGCTCTGCACAGGTCGTTGCGATGGAAGCTTCTAATGAGAGGTTTCTTTTAGTCAATAACTCCCAACCCGCCCTTGTCTTTGGAGGAACTGTCTCTTCTGGTCTTCCACCAGATTTGCTGGTATCTAGATCAAAGGTTCCTATTCCCTTACAGGAGGACATTGTAAATATCTTGGCATCGGTGCTTTCGCCACCTCTCTGTCCATCAGCACTTGCCTCTAAACTCAGAGTTTCTGTTTTATTGCATGGTCTTCCAGGTACGTTTGCTTCTATTTCATTAACAATATTCTTCACCTTCATATCTCTTCTTAAGTGTTAAACTTTATGTGGAGAAAAATGTTAAGGAAAGACTAGGAAGAGACTTGTTTTTGTGGTGATTTGGAGAAACAAATGTTTTTTTTACGTTTTATTGACGCATATAAATGAATCAGGTGCTGATAGCTTTTTGTATCTTATGCTTGTCTAAGGGTGCGGGAAGAAAAATGTTGTTAACTATGTTGCTAGGAGGTTGGGGCTGCATGTAGTTGAATATAGCTTTCACAGTTTATTAGCATCATCTGAGAGGAAAACATCTGCTGCGTTGGCCCCGACTTTTAATATGGCAACAAGGTAAAAGGGCTTGTTTTTTTTGTACTTCTTCTTTCAGATATTTCTTTTTCGTTCTACACACAGCGACATGCTTTATTCTCTGCATTTAGTAAATGACTGTATTTTGTGTGAAGTAAAAATTACTATACCTTCATAATATTGGTAATTACTGAGCTCTTTATTCAGGAAACGTATTTTATCACTAGCTTGGTGAAAGCCTTGTTTTCATTTGGTTTCATTATCACAGATATTCACCAACGATACTTCTGCTCCGGCATTTTGATGCGTTAAAAAATCTGGGCTCGCAGGATGGTTCAATGGGTGATCGAGTTGGCGTGTCCTCTGAGATTGCATCGGTTATTAGGGAACTCACTGAGCCAGTTTCTAATGGTGACTACAGTTCCATGGAAGAACACTCAAATGGCAATATTGTAAGATTTGCATTTCTTTCCTTGGTTCTTCATTTCCTGTAGTTTCACTTAAGTTCACTATTCAAATACCAAATTGTTGTCACTTAATGTATCATTGCTAAGCTGACAAACAACTCGTAGTGTTAGACCTTTTACCCTATTAAGCATCTTCCCTCCCTTCATAAGCAGATATATGATATTTTTTGGGTGCTTTAATAGGTAAAGAATAATAAGTCTTGATTTCAAGAATCCATCCTTACATGATGCCTTATCTGTATATCTGCTAATGCAGTCTGCAGAAGAAGTTGGGAAGTTTAGGGGACATCAAGTGCTGTTGATCGCATCTGCGAAAGTACGGAGGGTCTCTCTCCAACAATCAGGCGTTGCTTCAGCCATGAAATACGTATGGGCTCTTTGAATGACGAACAGAGATCAGAGATGCTGTCTCAGTCCCTCCAAGGTGTTTCTCAACTCCTTGATGTATGTATGTACAATGTATTTTCTAGGTTCCAAATGTGAAATGGGATGGATGTCGGTGGACTTGAGGATGTGAAGACATTGATATTGGACACTGTTGAGTTACCTCTCCTGCATAAAGATTTGTTTTCGTCTGGATTGCGTAAACGTTCTGGTGTGTTTCTCTATTGCCCTCCAGGAACAGGGAAAGTAAGTAAGCCGTTTTTGTTTTGTGACTTTTAGCGTCTGTTAATAGTCTGTCTTGGCAGTTATATTTGTCGTTTGTTGATTGAAATTTGTAGAATTTACTGGCAAAAGCTGTGGCGACAGAGCCAATACTATGGTTGGAACAAAAAAAAATAATCTTGAATCCGATGTTAAAAATAATAAAAGAGCTCTATCTAGCTCTAGCTAGCTGATATGGAGTCGCCCGTAACATACTTCCTGATAAATATCCAATAATGTGCTTGTACGTACGACATGATTTTCGCACCGCAAAATATATATGTAACCACTGAATCAAATATTATTATTTTATAGATATGAAAAACATATGTTGATGTGACGATCATGTTGTCTTCCAAAATTCCTAATTTAGCATGTCTTAAACTTTAATTTATATTGACAACTCGTCTTTTCTATATTTGTAAGAATCTCAGTTTCATTAAAAAAATCACAATATATTTTTCACATACAAAATTTGTAACTGTAGTAGGACTATCTGTTAAAAGGTAGAGGAATTTTTTTCTAAATCTATTTCTTGTTTTGGATATAATTATTAAACCGCTCAGAAAATTTCCACATTACCAGTAGATTTTGAATTTTATCATTCACACTATCTAAAATCCAAATTTGTTTGGCAACAAAGTATTATATATATATATATATATATATATATATATGTATAATAATAAGTAATCCAATTTGAGCCAAAAAAAAAAAAAAGAAGCTAAAATTCAAAAGTGAATGTTATGTTCGGTGTATGTGTTGATCAGATCATTGTTGATCAGATCATTCATTTTTTACATTTTTGCGCTTTATGGATTAGCATTTACATTTTGTTGACTCCATAATTTTATCTTGTTTTTATTTGAACAACTAATCATGCAAAAACTGAGAACAACTAATCATGCAAAAACTGAATAATAAAGCTTCTAATTGAAAGACCAAAATGAACTGGACGTGGACGGGGGATCTTTGACTTTGAAAAAAATGAACTCTTCTCTCTCTCTCTCTCTCTCTCTCTCTCTCTCTCTCTCTCTCTCTCTCTCTCTCTCTCTCTCTCTCTCTCTCTCTCTCTCTCTCTCTCTCTCTCTCTCTCTCTCTCTCTCTCTCTCCAGCGGTCGGTTCAAGTGAGAATTATAGAAACAAGAAAGAATCAGAGTGTCATATGACATACATAGTGGAGAATAAGTCGTCAGGATGTCCGATACTAATAAGCTGTTGAACTCTTTCTACATTGTTAAGCACCATCCCTATGATGATCCCCACATCAAAGCTGTAATAAATGAAGCAGATCAAGAGATTTATCGGTGTAATAAGCGACGGATTTATATCTCCAATGCACAAAAATCCAAAAGGGTGAGAGTCTTCAATCTTTCTTCTTTATTTTTAGCTTACCTTTGATGATTACGACGTTTACAGAGATTGTTTACGTTTGGTTTTTGTTTTGTTCTAGGCTGAAATCTCGTCTTTGTTTTCTCAAATGGAGACTTTAGTTCCCAAATCCGAAAGATATAGACAAGTTTTCGAAGCTAAGAAGAGGGAATTTGATACACTACAGGAATCCATTCGAAAGCCGCCTAATGGGAAAATTCTAAGTGAGGATTCTCTGGTCCAGAACGAATCTTCAATAAACCGTGTCACCGTAAGCAGCTTTTACCTCTGGGCGTTGTTCATCTTTTTTTTTTTGTTTTAAATTTTACATTTGAGGATTTTAAAAATTTGCCACATCCAGTTACTGGCTTTGGAATTGAATGAAGTAAAGGAGGAGCTCGATGCTATTACATGGTATATTCGAGACTTAGAAGACCAATTGGGTAAGAGTCAGAGCACAATGAGGTATTTGGATGGAGAAATGACACTTATACTTGAGAAGAGAGACAAATCCTATGAGAGGATTAAGATGCTGAGGTTACAACGAGACAAAGGGGTACGATCTTTTGTTTTCTTTGTTAATTTTGTTGTTGTTGTTGTTGTATGATCTCAAAGATCTAGTGACATTGGTATACTGGGGTTTTCTTCTATTTTATTGTAGAATGCTACCTTTTTCCAGAGCCTTGAGATTATGAGGAAAGCTAAAGAATTGGCTGCTTCTGGAAATGTTAGAGACCTTCAAGTGTTTGCCAGCTCGGAGGTTGTGTTTGTTTTTACGGTCTAATGGGCATGATTGATAATTGTTTCGGTCTCTCTTTATTGGGATTTGAGCATATGTTATTGATTCTATATTTTTTTATAGGTTGATAGATTCATAACTCACTGGAATAATGACAAGGCTTTTAGGGCTGATTATGTTAAAAGATGCTCCTCTTCCCTCCGTGAAAAACAGCTGAGAGATGGCCGGATTAAATATCCTAAAGTTCAGGTTGTTCGGGAGAAGCAAGCGCCGATTAAGACTATTACGGAAGGCGAGGAGGTTCACAAGATGAATAGAGCAGAGGATTCCAGCTCCAAATCGCCTCTAGATGGACATGTAACTACAGACAAAGGAAAGGAAAACACCACAGAGAAGGTTCCTTCAGGTACAAACACCGCAGAACAGCCATCCAAAACTGTAGATAAGCATTGGATTTGGGGAGCTTCGTTTGCTACACTTGAACTTTGACTTCGCCTAGTTGAAGAGATAGAGTGAATGAAGAAGGCCTGCGTCTAAACTTTCAAAGTTATAGCTTATAGTTTAATATAATAAACTCATTTGGATCATAAGATATGATTTTATCTATACCTCAGATTTTCTCAATTTTAATATTTCATCTAAGAACATTACAAACAAAAAAAACAGCACAGTCATGTGAACATAAATATTGGTTAAAAGAATGAAGTTAGGTGAACATAAAACAAAAAAAAAAAAAGAAGGAAACTGTTTCAATTGACTTATCATTGGATTAAGTTCAAAGGAAATAAGTCAAAAATCCAAATTCATACCCCTATTTATAATTTTTTCTTTGTAACTATATATGTATTGATGTTTGCAGCTACGTGTTGGAATTTGAATTCAAATTGCATATATCTCTTATAAATAAATTTGAGAGTAATTAATTGAGTGGATAGATTAGATAATGAATGATATTTGATGTGTCAAGATTTTTACTGTTTTTTATACTATCTATGGATATTTGATTTTAAATAATTATGTATATGATATTGATTCTGTTAAATAGTGATTTAAATACTAGCTAACTATTTGTTTATATATACAGAGTTTAAATTTTAGAAATTATGATAGGTCTAATAGGTAAAAAATATCAAAGTTTGATGGGAGAGATTTTGTCACCTTATATATATAAAGATAGGGAAGGATTGTATTGTAAGTGCATTCATCCAATTAACCGAATAATCGTAACAAAATGAATGGTGAGTATAGAGAAGCCATAGAAGCAGGGAGGGGTCGTCCCCCTCGTTTACAACGGCAGTATATGGCTATGGCTTTTAGTATGTCACTCGCTGGCATCTTTACGTCAGCAGTCTTGTGTGTGGAGTTCTTGATGGAACGCTGGTAAGAAAATCGTTGTTATATATAATATCGGATAATTAATTATTAATGATTTGAAAGATGTATTCATCAGGATTATGTGCGCAATATTCAGTGCTTGGAATATAGTGTACCTTGGTATGCTAATAAGAATCTGGTGGAAAGACGAAGCTCCAGTGCAAACATATCAACTAGGAGCAGAAGGAAGGTTTCACATCTTCTTGGCCGTGATGATATATATGTTTTGCATCTCATATAGTTTTCAAGACTTGGCCACAAGAGGACCGTGGGTCCTTTTTTGTGGCGCTCACCCTATAGGCGCGATGGGTCTAATCGTGTGCCTCTCTTGGCCGATAGAAGATTTTAAACCAAACCATGTGTACACCATGATAACAGGAATCGTGTATGGTTTTGTAGGTGGAATAGGACGCCCATTGGCTGGGTTTTGTGTAATTCTTGGATTCTTCCTTATTATTTTGTTCATGGAAATAAGGGCAAGTGTGAGAGAAGAAGAATCAGCAACAGTCCTTCTAATTAATAATAATGAAGTTATCTAGTAGAAAAATAAAATCAAACAATATATATATAAATGACTCCGATCCTAAAAGAAAGGAGAACTTTTGGTAATCCACCAAAAAAAAAAAAAAAAAGGACTCGTCGGATCTTACCTTCATGTTTCACTGCGCAGTCTCTTTGTGTATATATCACTGATTTCCTCTAAGTTAATTCTAGTTACAAGATTTCGTCTTTTAAAGCCAAGTTCTATTTAATTACAAATCATATCTAGTAGCTGCGTTAGAACTTTTTGCAACATTACCAATCTAATAAAGACATCGAGCAGTATGTATAAACGACTCCTAATTTTCTAGAAGGAGAGACAAAGTGGTTGTCTCTCCTATGAACGAGAGAATACTAGTGGTATTTGTTAGTTAACATTATTGAACTAAAACTGTTATTTTTATCATATATACGTATACAATTCATGGGGACGCAAAGCTTGTCTAAACAATGCAAAGTCTTCATGGAATATGGTGAAAGATCTAATGTCAAATACAGAGAGATCAGACAAGAACTATGTTTTGGCTGAGAGAGCAGAGTCTTTGTTTTTCTGTTTGAAACAAAAGCTGTCTCAGACATCAATGGATGTATGCAAGATTCATTACAACAAGGTAACTAAACAAAAACAGTGGGCTTGAATCATGATATTTGTGATAAGAACAATTTGTCCACTAACACTAAAACATAGCTCACGTTATGAATTATGGAAAACCAAGCAATCTCGTGGTCAGAAAGAAGGAAAAGGTTATTGATCCTAGCCAACTGTCCTTTTAAGAAGAATATATGAAGAACGAAACTGTGTTTCTTATTTTGGGGAAGAAGACAAGCATAAGAAACTCGAGAGTTAAGCTATTTACCATTGTAATCGAGCATTAGATATAGAACAGAGAAGCAAAAGAGCATTAAAAAGTTAAGGGTCTTGCCCACCACCTTGGTCCTGGTAAAACTCTTTGAGGACATTGAGAATCTGAGCTTCCATTCTCCTAACACGAGCAAGCAATCGGTTGCAGGATCGAAGGTAACCCTTGACGTTGTCCTTTTTGTTACGGAGAGAGGCCTAAACTTAAGAGTAAGTCTATTTAAACTATTAACGTACAATTTTCATACAGGTATCAGACTATATATATGTACTACTCTAGAATATATAAAATGTATATTTATCTGAGTCGTAACTCTGATCATTTTGTGAAAGCAGAGCTTCTGGTTGGATTGAAGGGTTCGAGCGTGGGAGTTCTGGTGTGTGGTCCGAGGAAGATGAGAAAAAAGGTAGCAAAGATTTGAGGATATCCTAGTACAAAAATTAGTTCATTTCATCTCCCAATACTAATGATAATAATAACAGGTGAAATTAAGCTGAAATTTCAAGAAACAAGCATTTAATTTGCTGTCTTAACCGTTATTGAGTGGGTTTATACTATAACTAACGCGATAGTTTGTAAACGTTAACGACAATAGCAACAACAACAAAATCATACGCTAGTACTATAGAGAGGAAATTATTAAGGTAAATTTTGTAGGGTTTCCATTTTATTATATGGATTGGGATGCCATTTATTTACGAGTTGCAAAGTAACCCTACTTTTGCATTTTGACATCCCGCATTCAATTTCAGTGGCATATTTCTCTTTTACTCAAGGATAGACAAAAAAAAATTATTATTATTATTTTTTTTTTTGGAAACGATTAAGGATAGACAATATAAGTCAATATTCTTCTGCCATGTCCTACTTTATATACATATATAATTTTTGTTTATGGTTAACAAATTTACTCTTTCCATCCGTTAGGAAACAAAAAAAAAAGAAAAGCAAAGAGGAGTCAAAATAGTGTTAGTTAATAGTTTTCTCTCGAGGCTTAATAATGGGGATATAGTGAGAAGAAGAAAATTTCAGGACAGCGTCATCCTCAAGTAAAATAGTGTACTACTTTTGTTTAAATATCTCGATCGAGTTGCTTACCAAAATTCTTGAACCGATGAAAAAACTAGTTCTTCTGACTTCTCTCACATAGATTTTTTTTTTTTTTACTTACAAATCAACAAATCTATGTACGTAGTAGGTGTAAAACTAGTTTTTGAACTAAACCAAATTAAATATCGATATCGTACCGATGATTCCGAAATTTCTATATACTAAAGACATGATAGGTAAAATAAACAAATAAACAAATAAAAAAGAGTTTTTGGAACACCTTCAACTTCAACCAAATGATGTTCTCAAACAAACAAAAAAACCGAAATAGGCTTAGTAGCTGACTAGCTGTACCTATTACAACATTATTTGAACCTATCTCACCACCAAACTGAACATGTGTTAACAACCCTTTATCCCCCCTATACTTGTAATTTTTTTAATATCGACGACTTTGATCTTCTTCTTCATCTTCCCCACCATATTTTTTTGTGCCCCTATGTTCGCTCAACTAATCTCATTTAATTCACCACACGAGCTTCATCAAACATAAATTACTATATATTTTACTTACACTCACATATGATCATTTATTGAATTCCATTAAATGAGAGTATTTTCTTTCGCTGCAAAATTAGGTACCAGCAAAGCATAAGCACCACCACCACCACTTTACTACTTTCTCTTGACTTCCAAATCTTCTATCATTAAATGATTCTGATAGTTACGAGAGAGTGACAGATTGTGAAATCAGAGTGAAGAAGGCTTTCTTCCTCCCTAGAAATTTCTGCTGAGAAATCATTCATCTGCATCCAACTTCATCTCTTCTCTTCTCTATCACCAGTATACATTAATTAAAGAGCTCTCTCTCTCTCTCTCTCTCTCTCTCTCTATATATATATATATATATATATATATATATATATATATATATATGGAGATATCCAATGTGATGCTTCTTGTAGCGGTGGTGACAGCTTATTGGCTATAGTTCAAGAGGATCTCACGCTGGTTAAAGGGTCCGCGTGTCTGGCCCCTACTCGGTAGTCTTCCTGGTCTGATTGAGCAACGTGACAGAATGCATGAATGGATCACCGAGAACCTCCGTGCGTGCGGCGGCACTTATCAGACCTGTATCTTCGCAGTGCCTTTCTTGGCTAAGAAGCAAGGTCTGGTGACTGTCACGTGCGACCCTAAGAACCTCGAACACATGCTCAAGACCCGGTTTGATAACTACCCCAAAGGTCCTACATGGCAATCCGTCTTCCACGACCTTCTCGGTCAAGGTATTTTCAACTCCGACGGTGACACCTGGCTCTTCCAACGCAAAACCGCCGCTCTCGAATTCACTACAAGGTACCATTCCCAACCACCCGTTCGGTTTAATCTTGATTTCTCGAATTCATCATGCCATTTTTATTATAATGGACTCAAATGTATTGGTTTAACCCTTGTCTGGTTTAATAATACTTTACAGTTGGTTCGGTAATTGTTATGATAAAGCAGGCAATTGAGGCAAGCCATGGGTAGGTGGGTAAACCGAGGAATTAAGCTCCGGTTCTGTCCAATCCTTGAAACGGCTCAAGCCAAATCATAACCGGTTGATCTCCAAGACTTAATACTACGGCTCACGTTCTATAAGATAAATATGTAAAGGATACATTAGTCAATAGTTATTACCTAGTCTCATTTTGTATCATGTATATATATTGTACTCTCTTCATCTAATAGAATCATTCAGCCTCCTAATCTATATGGTATCAGAGCATTTCGATACCTAAAACCTAAAATTTTTTTTTTTTTTTCATCGCCGCCTCCTTCTTCTCCTTCTTCGTGAGACATGTCTACATCCTCTGGTGAAACTATTACTATCTCTGATTCACAACACATTGTCTCTGTCAACATGACAAACGTCACGAAGCTCACCGGCACCAACTTTCTCATGTGGAGTCGACAGGTCAAGGCTCTCCTCGATGGCTACGATCTCACAGGTTACGTGGACAACACGGCTGTTGTCCCGCCTCTTACCACAACAACGGCTGGCGTCACTACTCCCAACCAGGAATACAAGATCTGGAATCGTCAAGACCGTCTCCTCTATAGTGCACTTTTGGGTGCTATCTCGATCTCGGTCCAGCCATTGCTCTCAAACACCAACACATCGGCTGAGATTTGGGAGACACTTACTGCCATTTATGCTAATCCAAGCCGCTCTCATATTCAACAAGTGAAACAACAGATCACGGCATGGACCAAAGGTGAAAAATCGGTGGAAGAATACTTTCACGGCCTCACTACACGTTTCGATGTCTTAGCGCATCTTGGTAAACCTATGGAGCCGGAGGATCAAATTGAGAAAATTTTGGGAGGTCTTCCCGAGGACTACAGACGTGTTGTTGAGCAAATTGAGAGTCGTGATCGTTGTCCTTCGCTGCCCGAGGTCCTCGAAAAGCTTCGCAACCATGAAAACAAGCTGAAGACTGTCATTGCCTCATCTTCGTCTCTTCCCGTGTCCGCAAATGCGGTTCAATATCGCGGCAAGAGCAACAACGGTGGTTCATCTCGTTCTCAGGGTCGTGGTAACAACAACAGCGGTTATCAACAGCAATGGCAGCCACAACAACAGTTCCAGCCGCGTCCAAGCTCTTCCTCTTCTTACGGTCGTGGCTATCAAGGGAAATGTCAGCTGTGTGGGGTTCATGTAAGCTCTTCCTCTTCTTACGGTCGTGGCTATCAAGGGAAATGTCAGCTGTGTGGGGTTCATGGGCATAGTGCCCGTCGTTGCTCGCAGTTGCAGCTTGCTGGGGCTCAGTTCACCAACTCCGCTCCGTCTTCCTTAGCGCCGGTTCCGTGGCAGCCACGTGCGAATATGGCTGCAACGACAACTCCGGTTGGGCCAAATCCTTGGCTGATGGATACGGGTGCTACTCATCACCTCACGACAGATCTCAGCAACCTCTCTCTTCATCAACTCTATAATGGTGGAGAGGAAGTTACCATTGCTGATGGCTCCGGGCTTAACATCTCGCATACGGGTTCCACTTTTCTCTCTACACCAACTAAAAACCTTTTGTTAAATGATGTGCTTTATGTCCCTAATGTTGCCAAAAACCTTATATCTGTTTACCGTTTGTGCAATGCTAATCAAGTGTCTGTGGAATTTTTCCCTGCCCATTTTCAGGTGAAGGATCTCAGAACGGGGGTCCGGTTACTCCAAGGGAGAACTAAGAAAGAGCTGTACGAGTGGCCTGTATCACCCCAAACACCTATCACTTCTATGTTTGCTTCTCCATCACCAAAAGCTTCTCTTATCTCATGGCACTCGAGACTAGGCCATCCGTCTCCATCTATTTTAAATTCCATCGTTTCGCAATTTGCTTTACCATGTTCTGATTCTTCAAATAAACACTCTTCTTGTTCTCATTGTCTTATCAATAAAAGCCATAAACTTCCATTTTATACAAACACCATTACTTCCACAAAACCACTCCAATATCTCTATTCCGATGTCTGGATGTCTCCTCTAATTTCGAGTGATAACTTCAAATATTATTTGGTGATTGTTGATCACTTTACAAGATACACTTGGATGTATCCCTTGCAGCTGAAGTCTCAAGTGAAGGAAACGTTCATCACGTTTAAATCATTAGTGGAGAATCGTTTTCAACATAAGATTGGGACGTTGTATACGGATAATGGGGGTGAGTTTGTGGCGTTGAAACAATTTCTATCTACTCACGGAATTTCTCATCTTACCTCACCTCCCCACACACCGGAGCATAACGGAATTTCTGAACGCAAGCATCGGCATATCGTGGAAACGGGTCTCACACTCTTACATCAAGCGACGGTACCGAAAAAGTATTGGCCTTATGCTTTCGCCACTGCCGTGTATCTAATCAATAGAATGCCTACTCCGGTGCTTGGTAACTCGTCGCCGTACTTAAAGCTGTTTCAACAACAACCAAACTATCTCAAGCTAAGAGTGTTCGGCAGCTTGTGTTTTCCGTGGCTCCGACCGTATACCACCCACAAGCTTCAAGATCGATCGATGCCGTGTGTTTTTATGGGCTATTCGTTGACTCAAAGTGCCTATTTATGTCTTGATGTCACTTCGGGTCGCATCTACACGTCGAGACATGTGCAATTTGTCGAGTCTAGCTTCCCGTTTGCTTCATTACAACAACAATTCACCACACAAGCTCGAACACAACCAGACATCACTTCGCCGATTTCGGATTCCAGACCTCACTTTGTTCCTATTCGCCCTCTGCCACTCGTACAAGCTCAGCAAACAACGCCCCCGGTCTCCGTTCTTCACCCCTCGTCGTCTGAGTCACGTTCAACACCGGTTTTGTCTCATGACAATACGATTGAACGTGATGATGAAGATAATAGACATTTGGGCCGCGAAAGTTTCACAGGCCCACTAAGAGATTCTCGTGCACAAACAAGCCCATCACTCTCCCCAACCGTGTCCACTTCCTCCGACAATAATAATCCTCCGTCACCGCCTGAACGTGACCTCAACCCTGAACCGCCACAAATTCAACCATTACCGCCTCCACCTGCTCAACCTGCTCCACCTCCTCACCCAGCTCAACCACCCGTAAACACTCACCCAATGCAAACCCGCAGGAAAAATAACATTGTCAAACCAAACACCAAAGTGAGTCTCTCTGCCATCACTTCCAAACCAACCATACCCACAACCATCACCCAAGCTATGCGAGATGAAAAGTGGCGTCATGCAATGGCCGATGAACTCAATGCACAGCTCCAAAATCATACGTTTGATATGGTTCCTCCAACACCGGGTCAAAATGTTATACCCACCAAGTGGATTTATACGCTTAAGTACTTACCCAATGGCTCTCTTGACAGGTACAAAGCTCGGCTGGTAGCACGGGGGTTCAACCAACAATATGGTCTTGATTACCAAGAGACGTTCAGTCCCGTGGTTAAGTCCGTTACCATACGAACCGTGTTACAACTCTCCGTGAATAAATCTTGGGGGATAAAACAGCTTGACGTGAATAACGCATTTCTGCATGGAACACTTAAGGAAGAGGTCTTTGTCACACAGCCACCGGGTTTCATCGATAAAGACCATCCTCATTACGTTTGCCGTCTCAATAAAGCTCTTTATGGTCTCAAGCAAGCTCCTCGAGCATGGTACCAAGAACTAAAGACCTATCTACTTCGGATGGGTTTTCATAACTCGCTTGCGGATACTTCGGTTTTTATTTATATACATGGTACGGATATCATCTATACTTTGGTGTATGTCGATGATATAATTGTCACTGGCAGCAGTACCGCTCTCATTGATGGGTTCATTGCTGCTCTCGCGCGTCGCTTCTCTTTGAAGGAGCCAACGGATCTTCGGTATTTTCTTGGTGTCGAAGCTACTCGCACTCCGCACGGCCTGCATCTCATGCAACGGAAGTACATTGTTGATCTTCTCACCAAGACAAATATGTTGAATGCCAAACCGGTCTCTACACCTCTCTCGCCATCACCGGTTTTAACTCTCACCTCCGGGAACGCTTATGACAAGCCCTCTGAGTATCGTATGGTGGTTAGTAGTCTTCAGTACTTGTCACTAACCCGACCAGACATTGCATTCGCCGTGAACCGCTTATCTCAGTTTATGCATGCTCCCACTGACATTCATTGGCAAGCTGCTAAGCGTGTACTCCGTTATCTTGCCGGGACAGCTTCTCATGGTATTTTTCTTCGCTCTAAGACACCTCTCACTCTCCATGCCTTTTCAGATGCGACATGGGGCGGTGACAGTGTAGATATGATCTCCACAAATGCCTATGTTATCTATCTCGGCTCCTCTCCGATTGCTTGGTCGTCTCGGAAGCAAAAAGGTGTCTCACGCTCAGCCACAGAATCAGAGTACCGAGCTGTTGCAAATGCAACATCGGAACTCATCTGGATTTGCTCACTCCTCTCAGAACTTGGAGTGAAGTTACCCATGGCACCAGTTGTATATTGTGATAACGTCGGGGCGACATATTTGTGTGCAAATCCAGTTTTTCATTCGCGTATGAAACATATTGCCCTCGACTATCATTTCGTACGTGAGCGAGTGCAGTCCGGATCATTAAGGGTGGTTCATGTCTCAGGGGAGGACCAACTCGTAGACGCTCTTACTAAACCACTAAATCGCCCGCGGTTCAAAGGACTGTTCAACAAGATTGGAGTGTCTCCAGCCCCTCCATCTTGAGGGGGTGTATAAGATAAATATGTAAAGGATACATTAGTCAATAGTTATTACCTAGTCTCATTTTGTATCATGTATATATATTGTACTCTCTTCATCTAATAGAATCATTCAGCCTCCTAATCTATACGTTCGACAACATTTGCGGACTGGCGTTCGGTAAGGACACCAGAACCTGCGCACCCGGACTTCCCGAGAACGGCTTTGCCTTGGCCTTCGACCGAGCCACCGAAGCCTCGCTCCAACGGTTTATCATACCGGAGTTTATGTGGAAGCTGAAGAAATGGCTAGGGCTCGGTTTAGAAGTCAGCTTGAGCCGAAGCTTAGAGGAAATCGACGAATATCTAGCGGCTGTTATAAATACACGTAAGCAGGAACTGATGAGTCAGCAAGAAAGTGGAACCCACCAGAGACACGACGACCTCCTCTCCCGTTTCATGATGAAGAAGACCGAATCATAAAGCGACACGTTTCTCCAACACTTGGCGCTTAACTTTATCCTAGCTGGACGTGACACGTCATCAGTTGCTCTGAGCTGGTTCTTCTGGCTAGTCACGACGCATCCAGCGGTCGAGGATAACATAGTCCGCGAGATCTGCTCCGTTCTGATCGAGACACGTGGTACCGACGACGTCGCTTCGTGGACCGAGGAGCCTCTAGGATTCGACGAGAACGACCGTTTGGTATACCTAAAAGCGGCGATCTCGGAGACGCTCAGACTCTACCCGTCGGTGCCTGAAGATTCGAAGCATGTCGAGAACGACGACGTCTTACCGGACGTGACTTTTGTTCCGGCGGGATCATCGGTGACGTATTCGATATACGCGGCGGAGAGGATGAAATCGACTTGGGGAGAAGATTGCCTCGAGTTTAAGCCGGAGAGATGGATCTCTTCGATGGACGACAAATTTATCAGTCACGATCAATACAGGTTCGTGGCGTTCAACGCTGGACCAAGAATATGCTTGGGAAAAGATCTGGCGTATCTCCAGATGAAAACAATAGCGGCGGCGGTGCTTCTCCGTCACCGGCTTACGGTGGTTCCGGGACATAAAGTGGAGCAGAAGATGTCGTTGACGCTTTTTATGAAGAACGGGCTTCTGGTGAATCTGCATAAGAGACATCTCCAAGGGATCAATCAAGAGTCTCTTGATGGTGAAGAAGAGCAACGGTGTTTCTAACGGTAAATGTAACGGCGTTATTGGTGAGAGCGTCGCCGTTTACTTAAACACGGGAGTTGCGATGGTTTAACGGCTAATCACGTCTCTTACTTATTTACTGAAATTACACATTTTTATTTTTAAGTACAACATTTGGACGGAAAATAAATACTATATGGATTTTTGTTCAATATGAAATTGTAAACATAATAGTATATAATACCCCACATTTAGTCATTTACTGGGTTGTTTCCTTGTTGTAAACATATACTGGAGATGGATCCGCAGTACGTTTTGGACCACTAACGTTTGCAACTAATTAGGAGGAATTTTTTTGTATAACAACGATTTCATTACCAGTGTTCCATCAAGATCTCCCACACACAAGGCTAGTGACATGAAGAAGCCAACAAATGATATAACAAAAGCCATATAATACCATTGTAAACGAGAGGAACGACTCCTCTATATATATGGCTCTATACTTCTATGGCTCATCTGTTCTCACTATTCATTTTGTTACGATCAGTCAGTTAATTTGATGAATGCATGCACTTACAATACAATCCTTCTCTAAATCTTATAATGTCAAAATTTATCCCATCAAACTTTGATATTTTTTCACCAATTAGACATATCATAATTTCTTAAATTTAAACTTTGTATATATAAATAAATAGTTACCTAGTATTTAAATCACTATTTAACATTTTATTATCAAATAAATAATTATTTAAAATAAAATATCCATAAATAGTATAAAAACAGTAAAAACCTTGACACATCGTTCATTTAGCTTGTTTTATCATTATTTAATCTATCCACTCAATTAGTTACAAAGAAAAATTATAAATAGGGGTATGAATTTGGATTTTTGACCTGTTTCCTTTGAACTTAATCCAATAATTAGTGATTTGTCAATTGAAACTGTTTTTTTTTTGTATGTTACACGTAACTTCATTCGATTTTAGTATATCGACGGTGACTCTTTCACCGGAATCGGTGTCGTACGGTAGAGGCTGAGGTCGGTTTCCTTTAGATTACTCATCTACCAACGTGGCTAAGTTTGTTGTACCTAGCTGACACGTGTTTGAGATGGAGACACAATGTCAACTCATCGTCGTTAGGGTTTGCTTTCGGGCTCCTCGTGGGCTTCAAACATTTCTTGTAAAATCAAAGTTGTGGGGCTTTTGTTTATACTAGCCCATGTATGTTGGTTTATCCCAATAAAATCACTTATGAGAAAAAAAAAAAAAACAGTGTAAGGATTTGTTCAAAGATGACATATTAAAAATAAAAATAAAAACTGAAAATTTTAAAATGTTAACTAATCATAAAATATAGATCATAAAATTATATCTTATGACCCAAAATGAGTTTAATATATTTCAACATTTACAAATTACATAAACCTTTATGCTTTGTTACATAAGGAAACGTAAGGATTACTGGATTACAAACAAAAGGATATTGCCAAATTTTCACACTAAATATTCCTAAAAAGAGACCCAAAAGAAAAACAGGAAAGTCAATGTAATAAGCATACAAAGATAGGTCAAATCACAAGGCCCAACTTATTAACTTGCAATTCAAGCAAATTCAACAACACATGGTAAAACAGAGTTATATACGTACGCAATCACCAGCTGAAACTGATAGATTCAAAATGAAGATTCTCAGCCAAACCAGAGGAACATATCTCCGCAACCTTTTGTCTCATCTTCTTCGGACCACACACTAGAACTCCCACACTCGAACCTTCCACATCAAGTAGAAGTTCTGCTCATATCAAACCAATCAGAGAACATGTTTAGAATAACAATACTTAAATGTATTATATATAACAAGAGAGATTGAAAGAAGGTTATGTGTATATTACTCTTGAGATTAGGTCTTTCTCCGAAATGCAGGTTGGTGCGTTGCACGAGCGATTCTTGTGGGGTGCTTTCGATTTCTCTCATGGAATTGTAACCCCAAGAAGTAGGAGAAGATGTTGGAGATGGAACGTCGACATTCTGGACCTGTTTCTTTTCGATGTTACCGTACTTTTTCTTGTTCCACAACATAGCTGCACTAGAAGTCGCCATGATGCTCACGGAGATGACTAAGATATATATGATGGTTTTTGAAGTCAATGAATAGATCTTGTTGGTGTTGTGGTCGATCGGGTAAATGTAATACCTATTGATGATACCAATAATTATCAAGAAGATCAAGAACGAAGATGAGAGAATTGCACCGAGCCAAAGCCATGAGTTTGGTCCAAGGATTGATGAGATGGATTGGTCTGAAAGACTTGGTTTGAACCAGAGAGTTTTGATTTTTCCATTTGTTGCTTCGGTTCCTGCTTCTTTCTCTCGGGTTATATAGGCTTCGATTTTGATGTTTATGTCGGAGGATAGTTCAGTTTCAAGACCGGATAATGGCAAGACAAGATCTAGCATGGAGATTTCTGAAGACTTCTTAAACGCACAAATCAGAGTTATTTTGGGGATTTTGCATGTTTGTTTTTGGCTTGTGGCGATCAAATCACGAATAACAGAGATAAACGGAGTTATCCCGCTTCCTCCGCAAACCATAACCAAAGCTTCGTGCCTAGAATGCCAACAAAAAAAATAATATATGAAATCAATGTTTCTTGAAACGCAAGTCATTTAAGTTATTCGAGAAAGTAAAACATAAGTCACCTCAAGAAATCGGTGGAAGCAGGGCCGTAAGGACCCTCAACGGAAACATCAAATCTGTCGATCTGATCAGAAGAAGAAAGCCTCTGGTGAAGCTTGGTTGACCATTTACCTTCGCTCTTGATCACAACACTTAGCTTCTCTGGTTCGAGTTGGCTACTAGAAGTTATGGTAAATGGATGCCATTGCAGTTTTGAAATGCTCGGTATGTTCACAAACAAAATGCTCGTGGGGCTATAATCCAACTCTGTATAACAAAAAAAAATAAAAAATAATAATAATAGTTTAGAACTGGACCATCCAAAAAGGGTGCATGAACTGTTGTTGATAAACTAATCACACTCATCGAATAGGAAAAAAAAAAAACTCACTGGAGTTTTTGGAGAAAGTGAGCTCGATGGTGTCGGAAGGAAGAATCCGAGCAGAGAGCAAGCGAACATTCTCACGTGACTGAAGGAACCTAAGGAAACGATCGACTAAGAAGATGTAGAAACCAGGTAAGGCGATGAAGGAGAAGCTTATGCCGACGTGGAGGACGAAGAAGAGCATGAAAACGATGTAGAGATAATGAGTGTAGAAGAAGACTTCGAAGAATCTCCTCCTTATCTTGGGATATGTAGTAACCCACATCATAAGTCCGGCCACCAGAGAAATCTCTCCGGCCAAATTCGAGACATCTTTCGTATCCCACATGATCATCTGCCATTCATTTATTTTTATTCAACGTCATATGACATTTACTATAACGCTTTTTGGACTTTTAAAAAAAAGTATATTTGATGGAAAAAAAAAAGGTATATTCGATTCTATTTAGCTAAAAAAATATTCCTGAAAATACAATTTAATTATCATATTAATTTATTGGAGCAGGAGTATCATTAGTATTTATCCAAATAATGTCCGCCTTAAAATGCGTAATTCAATTAAATACGAAATTGATTGCGTATGGAAGCTGCTCCGTTCAGTGTGACGTTGACAATTCTAAATTCGCTACTAGTACTATTTTTGAGTCGTTGACTTTTTTTCTTTCTTTTTTTTTTCTATGCCAAAATAGAATTCATTCCATATGAAAGTACCGCTTGGAATTAAATGGAATAAAACAAAAAAAAAAGTACCTGGGAGATTTCATGCACAGAGGCCCAGTAAATGATGTAACAAAGACCATGAAGCGTAAAAAGAGCCATGACCATATGTCCGAGCCAAATATGGTATTTGATGCTTGACTCCGATGTTAATCCCACCGCCGGTAGTAACGATGATCCACGCGCCACCGGTAAGAACAAGAACGCTAAACATATGTTTCCGATCAGCCCCAACCTCAGCGCCGCTGATTCCAGCTTTGCTTGCCACCTTCATTAATCATCGAAAAAATTAACCAATTGTTATTACAAACATGTACTAATTAATCCAAGTTGTATACTTCTCTTTAAAACTTGATCCGATCCACATGATTTGGTAGGTGGTAAATATTTATAATACCAATTGATCAACTATATATGATAACTATCTCTTTTATAATCAATTTGAATTACAAATAAGAAATAATATATCTTCAAGTATAGAAAAAATTGCTTACAAAGATTCGCCATGTGCGGCGAGTGATTGAGGAGTGATAGTGGCGAAGCTATTGCGCAAATAAATGGTAAAGGTCCAAAGAAGAAGAGCCACAAACATCGCCAAGAAGGTGATCTCTGTCACTGAGACTATCCCTAATGGTCCCTTCACTAACATTGGCTTTCTCAGTGCACTCCACACTCCTCCCTTCGTCTCCCTTTTTTCCGATTTAAGAGTAATTAACAAGTTGCAATTAAAGAAAAGTGATGATGGAATTTATAGTACCTATAATTAGTTAACTGATTAATTTTGTACCTATCGATATGGTATGACTTTCGTTTCTTAAAGTGAAGATATACGCATCCCAAACAAGCTATGAGTAACATTGGGAACATATACATGAAAAGTGTCGTTCCTGCGCCGAACAAACACGATTACATATATATATATATGTCGTTAAAAATAACACAAATCAACCACTTAGATAATTGGAAATTATTGATAATACAATAACGTACCTGAGGAACCAAAATAAGTTGATGTTCCAAACTTGATACGCATAAGGGGCAACCACTTGGTCTTGTAGGTTAGTGTTGGCATCAAGATCCAAAGCAAGATGGTCCCAAGGAAAATCACCATCATTAGGAACTTTGACACTCCCTTGATCATATCCTTAAACTCTTCTCCTGCAGATGGGTTCGAAACACCGTTATTGCTTTTGCTGATCTCCATGTTTTCTCTCCTCTTAGACTTATCTCTTTCTCTCTAAAGATGGTAAGAGATACGATCGCTTTAGTGAGAAGGATCGAGCTAGCTTGTTTTGAGGGAAGGAGTGGTAGGGTAAGTGTATATATAAAGAGAAATTTTTGAGTGGGAATTGGATGAAGTAAGCTAGTTGCATGCTCCATGCATGTGACTCCTCCCCATGGATCTTGTTTTTTGTTTTCTTTCATTATTTTATATCTATTTGTTGTTTTTCTTGCCTAGATGACGTAAAAGTAAAAAAAGAATATACTATATATATATGTGGTTAGAAACGTATATATTGATATTTGAATATACGATATATGTGTAAAAAGTACGTTAAACTTATATGAAATAAGGACTCTACGAAATATATATACGGTGACAATATCGCGAAACCGAAGTTTTTTTCGTCGGATTGGAACTAGTTTTGTAATGAACAACGGTAACCAAATTGCACAACCGCATAATAGGACATGCATGATCGAACTATTTTTATTTTATCATCTGAATTCATTTTATTGTGTTTATAAGAATACAGAAAAAAAAATATTCAAGTAGTTATAGTATTGATTAATACCTTTTACAAAATAATATATATGCATATATGATATCAGTCTAGCTCTTCTTGTGTGTACTCTCAACGTCAAACAATAAATTTAGCATATGAAAAAAGTAGGATTTTGAAGTTAAGATATAACCTGTAGGATCATTAAAATAATTTTGACTTAAGGAAGTGGCCAAGGATCATGCTACCTTTTGTTGCTCATAGCCTATTTGATAATTATATATCTTCGGTTTGGGTTATTGATCGGTTAAAAAATGTCCAAATACATTCTAAACATAATTATAAAAAAGTGTTCATTACTAGATGTGTATGAGTATGACCAATCTAAAGTAAAGCAAATATTGAATAACACTATTTTTAGGATATCAAACAAACAACAACATAAAAAAAATCTTATAAGAAAGTAATTGTTCGATAAGTAGAGACCGAATACTATATACCTATTAATGACGCAATAAATAATTAATAAAGTTGCTAGAGAGTAGAGAAGTAAGAAGTGGCGAGATGGAGAAAGAGATGATGATATCCCAAATTGGATGGTTGTGAAGAATCTGGTTCGTGTTCGGTTTTGGTAGGTTCGGCGGTTCGCGACCGTGCGTACGTGTGTAATAGCCACGCGTCGGATGTCGACTTATTGTGAGTGTCACAGTCTCGTCCTCCGCCCACGAATCTCACGCGTGTCAACCAAATATGTCAATTTTAAAGCCAACGAGGAAAAGATGATTCAGGCCCATTCCCATTCCCATTCACCTCCACATTCTTCCTCCTCATCATTACATACATCACTCTTAAGTTTTGACTTTCTTTGTTTATATATTTCTTTTTCTTTTTCTTTGGTTTTGTTTTATTCGATCTATTTGTATTCCTTTCAGCATCCAATATTTGATACAAACGCCAAAACTGTAAGAATATACAATTATAGCTCTTAAAATAATTTCACGTTAACTGATATATACACCACCGTCCATATATGGAAAGCGTCCTTGTAAACTATTATACCAAAAGTAAATAACTGGATCCTCTCGATTCGATTGGACTTGGCTAGTTTCGGTTCGACTCCAACAGGTTTATATAAGACGTTATACTTGGATTAATCCCACCCATTAATATAATCAGAATATCTAATCGTACCCAAGATTGAAGAAAATACTTGAGAATAAGTTATTATCTTTAACTTCTCAAAGCTTCATAACAAGCTCTGATCCAACTCGATTAACGGTTTTCGGATTGTTATCTTCTGTTGCATTATCTGATAACCTGGACCAGCCGAATCCGTCCTTTGCTTTCCTCCTTTGAATCACAATGTAAACACTCATCAAGATACACATAAACGCCACCATTGACATAAACATGCTAAGGTTTTCTTGTGTTGGGACAACGGTTAAGTATCATTTCCGTGGAAACTAACCCATCAAGACCTCCCAATGAGTTATTCATCTTCATGATCTCAATTCCTCTCTTACTTGATGGCCCAACACTTGCGCTTATCAAACCCGAAGAAGAAGAATGGTCATCATCCACCAAAAAATCTATGTAATACGGGGAAGCCAAGACGTAGTTCCAAATTCCCATTGATGTAGATGTTGAAGTATAGCATACCAAGTGACATACTAGCGATATCGCAGAAATGCAGCCGGATTAGATACTTTGTAGCCACTGCTTACTGGAAGCTCCCATGTCATATTAACCCGAGAAACCGAACCACTGTTACTCTTCACCACACGAGCAGTGTTATAAACATTATCAGGGCCAACCTCACGAGTTGCCCCACCAAGCCTGTACTTGATCTTTTTCTTTCTTCGTATCGCGTAAATATATTAATGGGCCAAGCCAAGCCCACAAACTATAACAATTTTTTTATTTATTTAAAACCCATTAGTTGTTTTCTTTTGGCAAAATAAAAAACCCATTAGTGGTTAAATTTCCATAAAAAAAAAATAATGATAACCAAAATTGAATTAAGATATACATAAGCTCGAAAATTCAAAATTTTTGTCTTTTCTCTATGACATGTGTGAAGTGAATCTCAAAACGAGATCGATAACAAGAGAAAGAAAAAATAAAAAAATAAATATAGTTCTACTTCACAGGGAATTCAACAATTTCACCATCTTTACAAGCTCCTACATCGATCACCATCGTCCCATTCTTCTTCGTAGGCAATACTCTACAACAATCTCTTCTCGGAGCCTGAAAGTAAGAAGATTAATTTTTGCATCGTTATAACACAATTAATAATAAAGAGAAATTTCAAAGCAAGGGAAACTAACCCTATGTTTATCCCATCTATCCGGGTCGGGTTTCTTATAAACAATGACCCGTTCGATTTCAGAAGGATCCGACATATCCCAGTCACATTCAGGATCCCACATGTCGTACCACCTCACGTACTCGCTCGCGGTTCTGTGCGAAGCCAAATCAGGAAGCGCGTTGGAGAGGTAGTACACGCGCGGACGCTGACACGGGCTCTTGCTGATAGGACGAGTGTTAAAAGCATAGCTCTTCTCGTCGGCGCGTTTGTACCAGTCGATGAACGTGCGCGTTGGGATCAACATCTCTTTAGCTGACAACACGCCACGTATGATCTGAACCGTGTATCCCCAGGAGACAGACACGGTCCACCGGTGCGCCGGGTCGTAGCAGATTGATTGCTGTGCGAGGCTCGCTGAGTCGAGTCTTGCTGAGACCATGAAACGTTGCATGGCGTTGACTCGGCCCATGTTTGGGAATACTGGATCAATCAAGTCCAAATGGTGGATCGATACTAGAGGAGCCAGAGGATGTGCTGATAACAGGCCCAGAAGTTTCCCGTATAAATCAATCTGATGCAACATAATTTTGTGAATAAAAAATAAAAAATAAAATTATTATCTAACAATCGATTATGTACAGATCGAGAAAATAGTGGGGGACAGAGATTCCATAAAACGATAAAAAAATTTTATCGTTTGATTAGTAAAGAAGATTTCGGTTTAGATGTTCCTAAGATCTATCAAAGGAACAACAAAAGAGTTAAAAACATTTATGTAAAATAATATTTTGAAAAATGAATAAAAATGCAAATGCAAGGAGGAATGTAAGATTAACACGTACGTAGCTACCAACGACATTATTTGACTTGGGAGTTATTAGACTTTAGTGCTCGCAATGACTTATGTGTGTGCCTAAGATCTATGTGAGTGCCGAGATTATCGCCACAAAAATAATACTAGTATTCATTTTACTTATAAACTTTAAAGTGATGTGGTATTTATATACTAGGTCTTAACAAAAACAAAATAAAAATCAGATTACACTCACAAGGAGTATATGATTGGAGATAGTAACAGCTTTTGCGTTTTGATATCTACTTAAATATACGGATATTAATGAAATTTTGGCAGTTTCGTTCAAGATTTTGCGTAAAAAATAATAAACGCATTTGAAGTTATTATGTTTCCTAAACAAAAATCTACCTAAGATATTGAACCTTCAAAACTTTAAGTTGTGATTTTGAGATTGGAAAAAAAAAAAAAAAAAAAAGAGATTGGAGTATATTTCGTTTGCATGTTAAAATGAATAAATCAACTTTATATTTTCAACAAAAAAAAACCCTAAAATGTAAATTAAAATTAATAAATTAATGAATGAAAAAAAAAAAAAAAACAGAGGACTAACCTGGTGAAAGCCAACTTCTTTGGTCAAAGGAACACCGAGCTCCGACATACAAGCATGAATCCGATCGTCGGAGCCGTACAACTCCGAGTATCTCTGAATACAACGATCTTGCATTTTCTCCAACGCTTTAGCCAACGGATAGCTAATGGCGAACCCTCCTCCTCCATAGGCCATCCCGTAAGAGAATTTGAGATTCTGAATATGACTCTCCGACGAGCTTCCGATGTAATAGAACTGTTGGTGATCGTACTTTCTCAGAACCTTGACAAGATTCTCCGGGAAAAACACAGTGTCGTCGTCTCCCATCACAATCCACCTCACGTTTTTCTCAGACTCTGTTCCGTTCAAGAGCCTCACCGTCTCCGACACGATTCTCGTGATTCTGATCGCCGACCGCAGACCCTTCGGGTATCTATACTTGAACCTCGACGTGTCGGAGGAGATTCTGATCGGAGGTAATGTGGTCGAAGCGTTGTCGTTTTGGCCAATGTGAGTGTCCAACCAGACGACGCCGTTCATCTCACCGTTTGGTCTCCACCAGAGCTTCACGTAGTCTCTACGGTGTTTCCAGAGCTTCGCAGACGCGGCGATTCCGAAAACGACGTGCTTGAGCTCCGTTTGCTCCGGGTTTTGACCCGATCCGGGTCCGGATCCGACAGGTGAAACAGCGAATTTGATCAGAGATCGGGTTTGAGAAGAAGAGGAGATCAAATTAAGAGGGTAGAAAACGAATTGAACTGAGAAAAGAATGGCCAGGGTTAACAATATTAGCTTCCAGGTTAGCCAATAAAACGAAAAATGTGAAAACGTTTTAGCCTTCAAATAAGAAGAGAGCTTTTGATCTCTCTTATCGTCTCCCATGGCTGAATAAACACAAACTATTCAGGGTTATTATTTTTTTGTTTCCGGAGAACGAGGAAGACGACGAAGAAGTAACCACCAAATCTACGCCGTTTTATTTTGTCGTTGTGGTGAGTCACACTGGGGGGAGGTTTCAGAGAGGAGAAATTAAAAGCTCTTAAAGGGGAGATGTGGAGAAGATGAAACTATTATTTTCTTTTAAGTTTTGATAATTTTGTAACCATTATTTTAGTTAGTCTTTATACTATAGACAAAAAGGGATATTTCGTCGTGATTGAGTCCTTATTCGTGTCAACCATTATTATTATTATTATTTTTTATTTTAAATACAGAGAATGAGAATATAATTTGACTGTAGTATTATTGGGAAGTAATTCTTTATTTACTTACAAAACACACAGAAATGGTATTAAAGAAACTATATCGAGTGGTACCGGTCAAATCTACTATATTCGAATGATCAGATTTTTTGGTAATTACTTGATATTTTTGGTTATGTTTGATTATACTTTATATGATTTTTTGTGTTATGAGATAACTTTTCATAATAAACCGATAAGTTAGGTAAGGTACATTCTCAACTGTTCACGAGTAAAATCTTCAAAGAGAAGAGATACACTACACATATTTAGGTCAACCCATTACCTACTCTCTTGTTTTAGCCATACCATAACCTACTAACTTCATATTCGTGATATGTTTTTTTTTTTTTTGTTTCAGTCATAATGTTATGTTTGAGAGAACCAAAACAAAAGGTAGTTAATAAGAGTTGAAATTAAGGCATGAAATATTCTTATGTTCGAGTCTTCTATGATACAGCACACTTTACAATATGGATGAACATACAGAGAAAGTAAAACAAGTCGAGTTTCTTGGTCAAGATTCTCTATCACGTCTCAGATTAAGGATCCTGAGGGTTAAACTTGACTGATTCACGATATATAAGCTCCTTGATATTCTCTTCCGTCAACGAAGGTTGCTCGAAATCGAAACGGAACGGTCTCACACATACAGGTTCCTCGTTCATTTCATGAAACGGCGCTAAGTATGGATGGCAAAGAGCTTCGTCAACTGCATCTCCCAAAAAAAAAACAAAAAAAAGACTCAAAACAACTATCACGAAAAATGAATAATCAAAAGAGGAAGCGACATGTAAAGGCTTTCTTCTTTACCTGTAATGCGTTTGCTCGGGTCAAAAACGAGCATTTTCTGCAGCAAATCAACTGCATTAACCGACATGTTTGGGAATCTAGCGGCAAAGTTATGTCTTGGATACTGTGGAAGCTGTCTTACGTATCTTCTCGCGTTGTCGCTTCTTAAGAATCCTAGGCTTGAATCATCTGGTGAACCTATAAGCTGTATATGTTGAAGAAGATAAACCAAAATATGAGTTTGTTTATGAATCTTCCAATAAAAAAAAAAAAAAACAGAACAAACAGAGTAACATGATGGTTCAATATTGAAGAAAGTTTCCCTCTTTCAAGAAGAAGAGAAGCAGAATAGATCCGGAGACAATATACCTCAGTGATGAGTCTAAGCTGCTGAATATAATCGCTGCCCGGAAATAGCGGCTCCCTGGTCATAGTTTCACCGAGTATACAACCAACAGACCAGATATCGATAGCTGCAGAGTACTCTGAGCAATTGAGGAGCAACTCTGGAGCTCGGTACCAACGTGTAACAACATATTCTGTCATGAAGTTTGTCTCTGAATTAGTCCTCGCGAGCCCAAAATCCCCAATCTTGAGGTCACAATTTGCATTCAGCAGCAAGTTACTCGGTTTTAAATCACGATGCAATACATTGGCTGAATGCACATACTTGAGCCCTCGCAACAACTGATACAGGAAGAACTGCACAAATATGGAATCTATGATCACACATCACAACTTGAGAGCGTTCGAGAACCATAAAGATTCTGATACTCTAATATCCGATCGAGCGTAACCCATATACTTCTAATGATTGAAACTTTTAAGTAAACTTTTGAGAATTGTACTGAGAGGTTTATGTGTGTACCCGTGAATGATCATCGGTTAACGGTTGGTTAGAGCGTATAATGTGCTGAAGATCAGTGTCCATTAACTCAAAGACAATGTGAACATCATTGAAGTTGTCTCGCTGGGGAGGTCGTATTATGTCTTTAATGGCAATGACCTGTGAGATGCAATATCATCAGTCAGCATGCAACCAGACATTTACAAGAAAAGAAAAGGTTACTAAAAACACGTTTGGAGAGTAAACACAAAGCTTACATTGTCATGATCCATATGCTTAAGAAGCTTGATCTCTCTCAAAGTTCTCTTAGCGTCAATGATGTTGCCAAATGCATTACCAATCTTCTTGATCGCTACTTCCTCACCCGTCTCCGAGTTCCATGCAGCACTAAAACAAAAAGTATGCATACAGATCAAGACAAGAAATGATACTTCATAATCTTCACATAAATCTATTTACCACACTGATTTTTTATATCACGTATTGGTACCAAGTTTAGGGTAGTAGTAATGAGAAATCAGAAGTTTTGAGAAAAGACAGACCAGACGATGCCAGAAGCGCCTCTGCCGATAGGACGAAGAGGAGGAACATACTTTTTTGAAACTTCGAAGAGATTGCCATAGACATTATACTGAACATAACGACTACCATTGATACTTACTCCTCTGTTGCTGCCATCACCCAAGTATGCCTCCGTCGACATATCTCTTTCTTTCTCTCAACCAAGATATTAAAATTGAAGTAATCTGAGGAGTGAGATCAAAACAGAGAGAGCTATATATATACGACTATACGTAACGTGGGAATAGAAGGGCGAACGGAAACAAGAGGAATTGGAGGAAAAGATTACAACGTGTTGAAACTTGTGTTTTGTTTGTACTGTGGTTTTTTTTTTTTAAAAGAGGGATACGAATAACGTGTGACCCTTTTGATGGGAAATTGAGAAGAAGAAGAAGAGTCTTCTTGGTCTCGGACGACCCGTGAGTGAAAATCAACACACGCCATTGCTTTTTCTTTCAAGACGACGACTTGACATATTGGTTTTTAAGTCTTATGTGTTTTTAAACCGGATTACTCAATCCCCGAAATAGAGATCGAACCAAACCGAAGAGACATTAACCGTACCTGAAATTAAACCGAATTAACAAGAATATATAAAATCTGAAAATCTTATTAACAATCGGATAATTCAAACCAAAGAACGTATTTAACACACTCATCGAGATTACTAACTGGTTGGTGGTTCTGACCTATTCCATTAAGTATTGATAGATATTTGAATTTTTCATGGCTTCAAGATGTTCACAATAGCGATTTATATATAAGTTTATAAGACCTTTACTTATACAAATAGTACTTTCAAAGCATCTCATACAAACGACTACAATATCACAAACCCCTAATACATTCATTACCAAGATGGAACACTTAAAGTAAGACCATCTGTACACACAATCACAGTCAATCACAACCCTCTTTACTTTTTTCCGGCAGCCTTTTTTGGTGATGTTGCCAATATGGTTGATGTGCCCATCGACCTCAGGTTCTCTAGTAATGTGTCTCTCCCCGATAATAGTATCTTGAAGAAACAGTCGACTTCCTTCGAAACAAGATCTAGCCCATTCGATAACTCTGTAACCGAATTCTTCAATGGCTGCAGCGAGATGGGATCTATTGATCCTTGTTGGATCGCATGGTAAATCTTCTTAACACCTGAGTCAACTGCCTCGAGCTCTTTCAACACCGTTAACCTGTCTGATAGGAATATGTTCTTGATTTCTCCGTTCATGGTGTTCTGCATTTCCATGAAGGATTGTGCCCATGGAAGCTCGCTTGAGACAGTCAGGTACATCAGATTCTGCGATGAACCTGAGAACGCTGCAGCAAACACACCAGAGATGTACAAGGTCTTAACCTTTACACCATATAGAGCCCGCATCAAGACTTTTCCTTTGGCCGAGTTTTTCACCTTGGGGAGGTTCAAGGTTTGGACAAGGCTGCTCAAGATTGCACGGCAATTTTCAATTCTCGGGTTCTTGGAAACAACATGTTTCTTCCAGCTGTCTAGTGATGATTGAGCTTTCGACAGATTCTGAGGAGAGTTTGCCTCTAAGTTGTGCAAAGCAAACTGGAGTAAGAGATGGCCTTGGTTGAGACGGGTTAGCTCAGAGCTAAAAGCATTGCAGAGATCAAGGAGTTTCACACTGATGTCAAGATAGACATCAACCCATTTGTCTTCCCAATCTGATACAGGAAGCTCTAGATCGGTTATAAGGGTCTTGATATTGTTATGTGTCTGGCACAGAGATTCCATAGCTAGTTTCATCCATGAAACAGTAAGGATTTCGCTCTTCTCCTTTGGGACAAGCTTTGTAATAGAAGATGCTAAGTTGGTCTCAAAATTGTTCAAGAGTGAGAGAAGCTTTGAGGACAGTACCGAGTTCTTCGAAGATAGATTCTTAAACGGGTTCCCAAAAGGGAAGAAACCACGTGGAGGGTCTTGTGGACGAGCCATTTCGTTAAGTTTCAACTGAAAACAAAAAACAAAAAAAAAACAGAAGAAGAAAGATAGCATATCAATTGTCACATACCATATAACAAAAACATCATTACTCTGATTGTATTCTGGATCCATAACTACTACATCCAACACAAAGATCAAAGTGTGTTTTTTAAACACTTTCTTTCGTCTTTTGGATTTTCGAGTATGGTCCATATTTTCTCAACAGATCTAAAAAAACACAAAGAACATACAAATCCTGTTCTTCAGTTAAAAATTTGGAACTCATACAAAAAGTCAACCAACAATATTATAATCGTCGCAAGATCTGGAAGTTTTCAGATCAACAGATCCAAGATTCAACCTTAAGAGGCAAGAACCATCTCTAACTTACGGGTCCAAGTACAAAAAAAAAAAAACCATTTGGCATACATGTATATAAAGCAAAACACAGATCTTAAAATCTGATAACCCATGCCGATATTCACATAGAGAAGAGATAAAAGAAAATCAAATCTAAACACAGGATTATCAGAAAAACAACAACAACAACATGAAGCGCAGACAAAACTATGAAGGCGAAGCGACTGATAAAAGAACTCACCTAAAGAGAGAGAGAGATAGAGAGATCCGCGGATAAAAACTACACCGGTAACTCCAAAAACAATGAAACTCGAATTCGCCTGAGAGAAGTTTCTGAGCAGAAGAAGATAATAAGAAATAAGAGACGGAGAATTAAAAGGAAAAACAAAAAAAGAAAAAGAATCAAAAGAGCCGTGTCAGAGAGATAAAGATCTTAATTAATACAAGAAAAGTGAGACAAGGATCAACAGATCAAGGATCAGTGTTTGTTCATACCGACAAATCAGAAGACTAAACTTTTGAGGACACAGAATTTTCCAGGAAAGATAGGTTTACTGAAACGCGTTCTTCATATATGGACCAAACACAAAGTTGCCTTTTTTTTAATTTCTTCTTCTACAGATAAACAAGCAAAACTTAAAAAATAAATAAATGTGTGTAATAATGTTAATTAGGTATTTGACGACGTTGATTTGGTGGTAGACGAATGTGAGCGATGATGGTAGGAAATTAGGTTTCAGTTACGGGGCTGTGACGGAACACTAAATTACAGACCAAGGCGTGTACGGCTGCGATGTTCAATTCAAGGCCTACTTGATTTGTTGTACCACAGGAAAAAGTCAATTATAGCCAGCGGATCTAACGGCTCAGAATTTTCTGATTGTTTTAGTTTGAATTCTCGATCATTCAATTATTTATAATGTAGCTTTTAGACTTTAGTGATATTTTCTTTAAATTAAATTATTTTCTATGATGACTTTTCAAAGAGTAATAAATTACTAACTAAGTATCCCATTGGCTACATATTTTGTAAGTGACATTATCTTAAATGAAATAAAAATATCTATCATGTCATGTTTTAGTTTAACTCTGCTGTTAGACTAAATGGCATGCTGACATATTAAATAAATACCCTTTTATGATTTTAATGTTTCTTCAATACAACAATATAGTACTAGAATATGTTATGTTTAAATCAAACGAAATATATCTATAATTTTTTTTTTTTTTTTGTCAACAACCAAATGGTGCATGTATACACATTTTAACGTTTGTGTACGCAATACATAAACATATTCTACTCTTTCTCCTCGCACAAAAAGCTTTGTTTGGGCGGTTAAGTTTTCTTTAAGAAATAGCAAAGTATCACAAAACGGAATGACTTGGAGAAGTATACAATATGATGATAACAGTAATGTTAACTTTTTATATCTATATAGAAAGATATAGCCTAAGTTTTTTCCATCTACAGGAGAATAGATTCCGGTCGTCGGTCGATGACATGCCAAGTGTGTGTGTGTGTACTAATCTTGTGTGTTTCGGGACAAGCAAGCTAAACAACTTTGATTGTAAATTTAATATTCGACCTGCTGCTTTCATATTCTTGCAACTTGGAAAATTTCAACATCAGAAACAAGGTCCATCCACGATGGAGATAATTTAGATTATTTGTTTGGAAACACAATCACGTGAGCTTAAAGAGTCATCTGTGGCCCCATTCCGGTTCTAAAGCGATAAGTTCAATCCATCCACCAATCCCCTGCTTATGCTACGGGCCGAACATATAGCTTCGAGGTCGGTCCAAACATTACATTACATATTATAACTTATAACAATGACATGTGAGAATGTCATCGTTGACAAAAGGTTTACAAAGAAGACGAAAGTTGTTAATTCCGTGAGGCCAAGACTCGAAGAGCCAAAAAGAATGAAAATATTATGTAAGTGAGACAATAATATACCGGGGGAAAAAAATTTGAAATATAATGGGTTGTGTGAAATGGAAAAATCACTTAAACCTTAGCGACTCTTTTTTCATCTTAGCTTTTGCTGATGGTGCTGTGAACCGCTTTCACTCCCCGCAGTTACCACACTTGTGTCTTGTCTCTCGCGGTTTACATGGTCCCTTGTCGTTCGTCGTTCCTGCCATAAATCATCCCAGCTTCAGACATTTTTCGAACTCGTAAAGACAATGTAGAAATGTAAAAGCAAAAATGACTTGTATACATCACGATAGAGTAGATCTTCGGCTTCAAGCATGTGTATGATATGACCCATTTTAGGTCTCTTGTTCGCATCAGGATCTACGCAACGCAAAGCTACGAGCAACACTCGTTTAAGAGCCTTTGAGGATGGTGCTTCGGGTATTTTCGGATCAACTACTTCTTCTGATCTTCGGTTTCCTACCATTGATTTCAGCCAATCCACTAGATTCGTCTAAAACCTCATAAAAAAACATAACAAACCAATTTAACAAACCATTTTGATCAAGCAGGTTCAATGTTCCGATGCAACCATGAATCGCTTAATACCTCTCCTTGAGGCCGACTATAATCAACCGGGTTTCTTCCTGTGATTAACTCCATGATTAATATTCCGAAGCTATAGATGTCACTCTTCTCATTTAACATTCCAGTGCAAGCATATTCCGGTGCTACATAACTAAAGAAACAAACCGACGAAGTAAAAGTTATTTCCAACGATTCAGATGCTTACAGATTGTATTGCAGGAGAGAGTGAATGAGTTTACCCGAAAGTTCCCATCACACGGGTAGTAACATAACTGCTCTCAGAACCCAAGAGCTTAGCAAGTCCAAAATCCGAAACCTTAGCATTCCATTGGCGATCAAGCAAGATATTGCTTGATTTTATATCCCTATGAACAACTTTTGGCTCAAGACCCTCATGTAGATACGCCAATCTGCAGGTAGAACAAAGGTTTACATACAATTATAACTTATAAACATAGAGTAAAACTCGAAAGCTATTCCAGGATTACCCTTTTGCCATCCCGAGTATAATGTTCATACGGATATCCCAAGTTAGAGGGCTGACATCGCCAACATCACCGTGAATCCATTGCTCCAAATTACCATTATCGACAAAGTCATACACGAGCATCCTGTAGCAAAGAACCCGATATAAGATCACAACATTGCTGTTGTAATACTGGAAAACAAAACACAAACAACGGTAGTTACCTGTATGCGCCTTCAACACAATACCCTAAAAGCCTAACGAGATTTTTGTGCCGTACGCGCCCAATTACTTCCACTTCTACTTTGAATTCCTTCTCTGCTTGACCCCTAGCAATTAAAAGACACACCAACTACAAATCTTACAGATCACAGAGATCAAAGTTCACAAGCATAGTCTATTTTTAGTAAAGACGTTACAAATTAAAACCACATGTGACCCTCACATAATCTATGCATACATAGAAATTCAATAATAACAACTATCAGGACCACACATTGCAGTTCAATAAGAGAAGGACTCTGATCGCGATCACTCTTGACCCTCATACCAACCTCTGCCCTCTACATAAAGATCTAGAAGCATCTACTTCAATGGATCTAAGCACATTACAGGTAGAAGTATGGAATCAGAGACAAACTCCAATACAGAGGAAAACTACTTAATTACGCAAAATTGCAAAAACCCCAATCTAGAAACGAGTAAAGGATCAAACTTGAGGATGGGTTTAATGTAGAAACAAATCTGATAATTGAGAATACCTCAAACCCCAATCTAGAAACGAGTGAAGGATCAAACTTTAGGATGATTTAATACAGAAACAAATCTGATAATTGAGAATAACTAAAACCCTTATCTAGAAATGAGTAAAGGATGAAACTTTACAATGAAACCAATACAGAATCAAAATTAAGAAACGAGCAAAAAGGATTCAAAATTGAAGATTGGCAGTAATACCTATTGTTAAGCAAGTTCTTGACGGCGATTTTGGTTCCATCAGTTAAAGTGCCACGGTACACAATCCCGTAACCACCTTCTCCGATAACATTCTCTTCACAAAGGCCATTCGTGGCCGCTTCGAGCTCTCTAAGAGTATACCACCTTCCCCATCCAAGATGCGATACCTCCGGCCCACAGTTTCCGCTGCCGGAATACGACGCCGTTTCGCTGGCACTAGCTGTTCCTCTACTCTCACCACTCGATACTCGATCTGAAAACACCACTCGATGCTCGATCTTCCCTATATCGACCTGGATCTCCGCCGGAACAGGCTGCGTCTGCGCCGGAACAATCTCCTTAATCTCCTTAGAAATTGGCGGCGTAGCTATTGCGGCGGAAGCGAAATCAGCCCGCGGCTTTCGATTTTTCCGACGAGAAGTTAGACAGAGGGAGAGAAGGAAGAGAGCAATGACGATTAGGGATCCGAGTAGGATTCCGATTACAACCCAAAGCCTGAGACCAAAGATCGACGTCGGTTTCGAAAGCTCAGTATTGAGGAAAGCAGCATCGTACATCGACATCGTACTTTGTTTTTTACTTTAGTTTACAGATTCTTCCGGTTCCTTCGCATTTCTCGCCGGGGAAATCAAAACTTTCCGGCCAAAATATGTTTCTCTGTCACAGCATCGAGTGTTGAATCGAATACAAGGAATCCAGGAAAAACAAACAAATAAAAGATTAGGTTTTTTTGTTTACTAAATAGATTAAAAAAAAAAAAAAAGCTTTGGAGTGATCTGTATTGAATGAGCTGTCTTTTTGAGTTTCTGTCTCAGTGTCAATGGTGACGGTGAGAGAAGGTTACTTTAAATGACAATTTTACCCTTTTTGGAAAGTTGAAGATAAGGGAGACTGTCATATAGTTTCGAGGAGATTTGGGTAAATTAGCACAATGTCGATAGCCGTTGGGGTGGTATGATAAGGTACGGTTCAGTGCAATGTACCAATCTGTGGATTACACACATTTGGTTAGCTTTTTCAGTTCTTGTTTTTTGCTTTTTTCTAACTATAATTGAACCTTAATTTTTATAATTTTGCAAAATTTTAGTGCTCATTTCTTGTGTTTTGATTATTAGGGATATAAAAATATTCAATGATTAATTATTATAGAGTTTACTATATGATGAGAAACTAATCACTTTTGTGTTATGGGAACATGAGTGCACTAAAATTATTTGTTTGCTTGTGGTACCGCGCACACACAATTGGTTCATAAAGAATATTTGTTTTAGATATTCTTACGATTTTTTTTCTTTCCATTATTGATAATTCGACATAGTCATCACCGTGATGATCATAATACAAATTTGATTTATATGCAGAATTTAACTTATTAATGTAAAGTAAATGCACGATTGAAATTGAAAGCCAAGAGATGATCAAGTGGCTCGATCATCATTCAATTTTTGTTTTTGTGAAGAAAATTGTTACAGTTGGATCAAAATTTGTATATCTGACACGGTGAAATTGTAAACCAAACAACTAATAATATAGATGTCTTCGTGGAGGTCAAATATACAATTGTATTTGGTTTGCTCTTCGTGTGGCTTCGGATAATAATATAGATAGGTTTCCTCCTAAGAAGGGTTTTAGGTGGGGCTAAAAGAGAAACCAAACAAGTAATGTAAAAAATTATATTCCCAACAAGTCAAATGACCTCTCAAGCCTACTTCGCGTGTTGGTTTGTTAAAGTCGTTCAGAAACGCAAACTTGTATGGTATTGGGCTTATTCAAAACTTATAAGAGATTGGGCTTATTCAAAACTCATAGGAGATTGGGCCTACTCAAAACTTAAAGACCCAAAGTAGAGGTTTAGGCTTATGAATGCTTTTGTATTTGGGGACTCATTACTTGGGCTATGTTCTTTTCTTCTTCTTTTTTCTTTTTTTGGGCTTATATGGAGTCTAAGTTACTTTTAAGTTTTTTTTTTCCGGCTCATCAACAACTTTTCATTAACCAAATAAGCTATTACATTTTTTCTGATTCCACTAGAGATTTAATCCAGATTGGCAAAATAGAGTACAAATGGGGTTAGGAAGAAATATTTTTGTAAGATTTTAAAAATGGATACACAAATTCAAGTAATTTTTGTTATATTCACTACTGTAATTCACCTTTTCTCTTTAAACCTTTTAAGATTATAAATAAATTAATATATCAAATATGTAAAAAGTTTTCTGTTAGATTATAAAATAGAAATGTACTTATTTTACATTATACTTTAGTTTATAACGGTTAATTGCTAGTATCAAAATTTTCAACTTGTAGGAAGCCTAATACCTAGTATGATCCATATTACAATACTAATAGTAATTAAAATATTCGATCATGATAAATTTCAAAAGACGGCGATCAAATATAAAGTACATCGTATTTATACATTTTTTATCATACAATAAATAAAGAAAAGGAGCACTGACAATTAAAACAAAAATTAGAAAAATCAGCGATCCAATGATCAATGTATGGTTAACAAAACAACAATTCGACCATCAAATTTAAAATAATATATTTTTGTTTAAGTTAGTTTTCAAAAATATAACCATTACTTAAGATTTTTTTTTGCATGCAAAATACTTAGGAAAGTTTGCGATTAAACTTAAAATTTTATTTATATATCATCAAAAGTAAATTATATTGTACTATATAAACTATGTTAATCTACTCTAGAAGAATTCCCACCAAATAAAAATCTACTCTAGAAGAATAGAAAAGAGACAAAAAAATATATTATTGGACATAATAATATCTCATTTATGTTTTGTGTAAATTTTTGTTTTTGTGTAAATTTTTGTGTAAATTTTCTATAAATTTTTAGACATTTACAATTAAAAAAAAACAAGTAAAACTTAAAATTTTCTAAGTTGGATAAATACAAAATGTCAAAAAGGATATAAAATATAGACAAAATAGTGGAAGATATACACATTAAAAATTACCAAATGTTTTTGTGCATATCTCTTCACCAGTCATTAGTACCTATATATGATAGATGGTAGTAAAAGCAATATCACCAAATTTATTAAAAGTTTTAACAGCTTGTAAATCAGCACTGATAATTAGATAATAATGTAATTAAAAGTAATTTTAATAATATATTACTTTTATTGATAAAATGTTTAAAGAATTATATACTCCTAGAATGGCATTTCACAATTATATATTTAGAAATATCAAATATGAATAAATATTTACTTTTAAAACCCAAAACGAAATTTGGAAAATATAAGTATATATATATAAAGATACTATCAATTCATTTTTACTATCTTTTGTTAAAAAAAAAAAACATAACAAACATCTAAAAAAAATGGTGAAAAACAATCTTGGCCGTAGAAAAGTAGAGATGGTGAAAATGACCAACGAGACAAACCTTCAAGTGACGTTTTCAAAGAGAAGATCAGGTCTGTTCAAGAAAGCCAGTGAACTGTGCACCTTGTGTGATGCTAACATAGCCATCCTCTTGTTTTCACCATCCGGAAAAGTGTTCTCTTTTGGCCATCCGGATCTGAGCTTGTTACTTGACAACTCTCCAGAACGTATCAGCAACATAGATCTTGATCACGGCAGCAGAAACCCCTATCTCCAAATGCTCAATGATCGCTATGCTGAGGTAAATTAAGTTTTCACTTTGTCTTTTTTTTTTTTTGTATTCATGGTGTGTGGCATGCAACAACTTATAATGTTTAATATTTGTATCGTAGTTGATGGCTGGGAAAGAAAGAGAACAGATGAAAAGGGCTATGATAGTCCAAAACCAAAGAAGAAACAACGAACCTGACAACTGGTGGAGAATCTCTACAGAAGAACTCAGCTTTGGTCAATTGGCTCGTATGAAACTTGCTCTTGAAGTTTTGAGGAGGAAAGTTGAGGAAACAGCTTCCCAGTTTCATCAGACAAACGCAAACTACTACATCGGGAGCTCTGGCACTGCTGCTTCAGAACCAGTCAACGGTGGTAATGTCTCCACAAACCAGGAGCTGTTTCATCCAATTTATAGTCTCCCGTTTGGATTCAATGTTATGAATCGCACACCAGCTGGGTACAACCACACCCTGATCCACCAGAACCTGGAGTTTAAACACCCTCATCCTTACCATGGGCCTCGTTACTATTAGTCTTTCATGTCTCTCTCGTTGTGTGACTTTTTAAGTCTCCAATAGAGTGTGTCTTGCGTTGTGTCTTAATTTCTCTGTTTTGCTTTTGTTTGTCGTTGCTGGTGTTGGACCGACCCCCTCGGTGTCGTATGACTTTTATAAGTCTTCGGTCGATGGTGGCTTGTTTGTCCCCCTTTCGTTATTTCTTTGGTTTCGATATTTCTATGGAACAAGAGTATTTCTTTTCTTTACAACTTTATATATGAAGGATTTTATTTTACCTGATATAAACAGTTGCATAGAATAACAAACATATTATTTTTAATTTACTTGTGTGTGTTCAATACTTTTAATTTATATGATGTACTCCAAAAAAGAGAGCACAACACGAGCATCATAAATTCTACGCCAGCTGACGATCCCACCAAGCTTCGGCTTATCTTCCTTCTCTCGAAGTTTGCAACTAGGGATGAAACAAGTATAAAAACCTAATTAACGATTAAAAATTATTACAGAAACAAACGCTACTGTCTGTCTTTCTACACGGACTACTATGATGTTGACTTGTATGTACAACCGCCTCATTCTTTCGCTCCAGTCACATTGTAGGTAATGTGAGCTCGACACGAGACTCCAAAACTTCGATATTGAGGCTACTAACCAGTAAAGAGAGTAATGGTTTCTTCTCATTCTACCTTCATATCTATTTGGCGTTGTATGATGATATCAACTTCCGCTGCATAAAACAGAGCAATCATACCATAAGCACATAAGACACTTCTTGCTACTTCTCAGTTCTCAGAGCCAAAACATGAAAATCAAAACGTTATGAAGCTATGATTATCACTTACTTGTTCTTCAAACTCGGGACTCCTCAGGTTTACAGACAAATTTCTCATCAGTAAGATGACCTAATAAACAAAAATAGTGTTAATCACACTTTTCGATTCCAGACATGTTCCCTAGCAGAGAGTTTATGATTCACATACCGTTTCTAGGTTTATTGGATCCATTTCCTTTAATCTTTGGACATGATCTGTTGTTTTAGGATCAAATACACTTCCTATGAAGTTGTAAACTTCAGCGAAATTTGGCATCACTGTGTTGAAGAACCAACACCAAACAAACAAACTCATAATCAGTATACATCGAAAAGACTGAATCATGTGGTAGATATGTCCAAAGTAAAAATCGTTTACCTCTATGTGGCTTTCCACAACTTTCTTGGTCATTTTTCTCAGTAACGGTTCGAGTCCTCTGCTTATCTCTACTACCACTAGTGCTGCAACAGTTCTCTGGGACTCCCAATTCCTCTACAAATCCCAAATTCATTACCCCACATTATTAACAACTTAATAAACAAAGATATCTTCACATCAAAATTTAAGCGCATTAAAGTACCTTTAATCATTGAATTTGGCGTATTGACATTGCAGCGCACAAATCCATGCTTAGGAGTGCAACTAATCACCGGCTGTGAATCAGTGCTGTATAAGTAGTCATGCTGAAGCAATGCGTTGGAAGATGTAAGAGCAACTGCAGCAAAACCACAAGCATGAGAGGTTGGGATAAAGATTTGAGGAGACAGAAGACAACAAAAGGTAAAGTAGAAAGAGGACAGTATACCAGATTTAGGAGCCTTTTGCGGATAAGGATGTTTTGCTTTCCTCTTTGGTCGAGGAGGTGGGAGATGTTCATTAGTCCCATTCTTCTGGACTTTGAGAAAGTATTTCTGTGCGTGGCTTCGTATCTGCCAAACCAATATTTCATTACACATCATAACAGAGAGCTCAAGAAATTACTGTTTTATTAATGTAGTTACAGAGAGTTCAAATGACAAAAGTCGAATGTAATATATATGTTGGATAGATTCTTGAATTACCTGGATCACTGTTTTCGATCCAACAAAGGCTTCGATCTTCTTCCAATCCCGGTCGAATCTGTAATCAAATTAATAGCGATCACAAGAAGAACAAAGCTTGAAGATTCCATATTAATGGAACTAGATGAAAAAAGGGCCGAGAAGTAAAATAAGATATAGCATACAAATGGAGAGCTTCAAGAAACTTGTCGTGCTCTTGCTCCGTCCAGTTCTCCCTAGACTTGGTGATTGTGTAAGGCTTTCTAATCTTCTTCATCGGATCCTCAAGAAAAGACATCGTATTTTTCCGTATGGTAACTGGTATCGTCGTTGCCGTATGGGTAAGAGTATTGAAGACAGGTGAATTCATCATATTCGTGAGGAAAACAGTGAGCTTGACTAGAATTTACCGTCACATTAAAAATAAAAATAAAAACTCCCTTTTCGGTTTGAAACAGAGTCCGTGAGATTGGTTGGTGCTACTATTATATGCCGGAAGAAGCAAACAAAGGGTACAAGCGTAGTTTAAAAGGTAAATGGTTTTAAGCCTAACACGTGTAAGGAGCCGGTTGCCTCTGGTTCAGAGCGTGGGACTAACAGCTTGAGGCCATGTGGACTTTGACGCCACGCACATAATCAAATCCACGGCAGATGACGAGCCACGTGGATGGCGATCGTAACCAGGCAATATTACTTATGAGTTATGAGTCATAAGTTATGAGTCATAAGTTATGAGTCATAAGTTATGACATACAGGTGGTTTCTTCGGGAAACACAGACGCGGAACAGGGCACATCAGCGCGCACACAATCTATTTTAAAATTACTAACCAAACACACAAGTCTCTCTCTAAGACAAGCTTTTAAGTTCATCACGACCAGACCCAAAAACAAACAACAAAAGTCTCTCTTAGACAAGCTCATCAGATGTTTCTACAAACTGAGAGAATTAACATATGATTACAGATAAGTTGGTTATCAACCAACTAGACAACACACGACATCGATTGGAAACACAAAAAATGGGTGCTTTTCTTTTTGTCTGTGAATCCTAAGGATGTGAAAGTAACTAAAAGAAAGAACATAGAGAAACTCACAACTGCAGAGACCCTGTTTCTTTTTCTAATCAATCCAACGTGTGATACCATCATCTCCTACCATCGCCAATATCTCCACATGCACGTCCAACACCGCCTGCAACATTGTTTTATAGCATTTATACAAATCACTACTGTTTGCCACAAATTAGGGTTTCTTGTTTTCCGGCCATTTTGTACGAGGACAGAGACTTACCGAGGAATTCCTGCAGTTAACAAGCCTGCATTCGTCCAAAGAACCTTCTAGACTCCAACTCTCCCACACGTCAAAACTATGGCTAGCAAACACAAACTCCATCCTTCTATTGATCTGAACGCATACAACCACTTTTTAGTTTCCACAAAAACACTTTCGAGTTATAAATGGAAGTAACACTCTGTAATGTAAGAGGTACCTGCAGTAACTTCCCACCAGCAGCAAATGATCTCAGACCTACAGTGTCCTGGAGAAAAAGTTCATGCAACAAAACCAATTAGCCATTCATATGAATATATACCTTTTTCTATAATAAGCTTTGCTCAAGGAACAACAAGAGGCAAATTCTGTTCATCCAGTCCCCACTGATATTATATACCCAACCACCTTTAACCAGGCATCGCAAGTAAGATTAATGGGAGAGAGAGGTTTACCTTGTTTCTGTATGCAATAATGAATTGTGCAGCAGGATCCCGTTTGGATACATTGGACAAAGTATCGAGGAACCAACCACCATTTTTCGTTCTTTGCCTGGAAACATGGAGGCCCGAGAGATCTTTTGCATACAAGGCTACTACATATCCATCTTTCAGCAGCTCACTCGACTTTCCAATGAACTTCTTACTACTTGACATTACAAGCTGACTTGGGGAAGACTCTTGCATTACTTCAAGAGGTGTTTTCCTATTTCTGGAATCTTCAGGAGAAGCACATCTAGAACTGGAACTTAATACCTCTTCCGTGTCACTCATAGCAATATCGTCTCTTCGCGAAGTACTTTCTTCATGTAACCCTGAGGAACCCTCCGCTTTTTGCATGTATTTTTGCTGTGAATGCCTCTTTTTGGCTTTCTTACCAGATCTGCTACGTCTTCCATCAGATTTTACGGCAGTATTTTGAGAAACGTGTTGCTGACCAGGGTTCAGAGAATCCTTTAGCTCACTTGCCTCTCTGCGAACGATATCAGCGCTGGTGAGTGTACTTTCTCCCTGTTGCCTACTGGTGGATTCCACTATTGCTAATTTCTCATGTTTGATGGGTGATTGTTCTTCTTCACTTGCTTCGCTTTCCTCAACTTCCTCATCAGAAACAGTGTTACCTGGTATTACACCGTCTAAGAAAAATGAATGCAAGATAGAGATGGCCTTCTCCCTTATTTCCATCCATACTTCCTCGCTGTAGTCTGCACTGCGAGGTAGTATTAACACATTTGGCATTTCCTTCACCTGCAATTAGAACAAGATATAATGAATGCATGATAAACAACAAGAAAGAGAGACGATGATGTAACAAGAGAATAAGCAAGCACAAATGTGAAGTGCAGTCAATGAAAAAAGAAATTCATACCCATGCTTCCATCCATTGTGGACCTTCAGCACCGTCAAGGGCGCAGCCAGCTATAGTGCCATCAATTAGAAGTTGTTTCACAGCACAATCATCCAACAGCTGGCAGCTTCCAGTATTTACAAGAAAAGCCCCTAACATATAGAATCAACCGGAACTGAAGAGAATGAGAGAAAGCAGGAGTCCATCTTCAACTTACACTTCATGGAGATCAAACATCATTTGACTACCAGAAAGGAAAACTCATACCAGGTTTAATATGCTGCAAACATTCTGCATTAAGTATCTGAACCGTGTCATTTGTTAATGCACAATGAAGCGAAATGACATCACTCGCTGCTAGTAGATCATTTAATGTATCCATTCTTCGCGCAGCACGTGGGAATCTCGAGGGCCTGATTCGTTCTTCATCTCCCTATACATATGCAAACGCAACTATTGACAACAATCCAAGCAAGAGGAACTCGAATGAATAACATAGTTTAGCCATGGAGGAGTTAAACACCTCTAAACCGTTCCACACTTATATTCATTATATTGAACCAAAGACCATCCTAACAAGCCATAACTGAGCACTTTCTCGACGTCTCAATCCCTAAAGAGTCGATTTTTACTAAGAGGCTATAAGCTAAGTGAGACATTGCTAACATACATACCTCTGGAACATCAAAGTAGAGCACACTCATCTTGAAAGCCAAGCTTCTGCTAGCCAAATACCGAGCAGATACAGATCTGCCAACGATACCCAAAACCATACCACGACACCGTCTCATTCCTCGGCAAAGCGGCTGAAGCGATCCGAGCCATCCAGATGCAGAAAGCGCGTGGCGCGAGAGTAAATGCGTCCGTCGAAGGAGTCCAAGGATAAGGGCCATGACTGTATCCGCGATTTCCTCGGCTCGGGAAGTATCTACATGGACAAGTCGGAGACCTAGGTCGGCGGCGAGTGTCGAATCGACAGCGCGATCAGCAGAGCCAAGGCAAAGAATGAGTTGGTGAGGACGGAGTCGGCGTTGAGCTGCACGTGGAAGGTATGCGAGGGAGTGGAGGAGAACTGCGGTGGCGGACTCGATCTTACCATCGGCGATGCGACTGAGAGGGACGTACTCGACACCAGCAACGCCGGCGAGGGAGTCCTGCTCAAGCGCACAATCCTCGATGCAGTTGAGTGTGACGACGTGAGGCGACGGCGGTGACGGCTGGTCGCGATGTGGCATTGTCGCAGACGAACGGATCTTGCTCATCTCCTTCTTCTTCCTCTTCTTCTCGCTACTCTCGAGAAGTGAAATTTTGATTTTGGGAACATAACGATTTAGGGTTCAATGTTGTAAACTCTGACAAAATTAAGGGCCTAAATTGCATTTATCATAACTTCAGGGCGTATACTACAATTTTAAACAAATTCAAAGGCATATTTATTTGGTCCGATACAGATGCTCGACGTAATACAATATCGTTTCGACTTTCGACTAAAAATAAACGACGTCGTCTATACATATATTTAGTTACGAAGTCGTTTACGTTTACCGACAAAACGCAAACCAAGTTATACAGGTGAAACATGTACACACTCCTTATGCCACATTATTTCCGGACCGGGAACCGAAGGACAAACTTCAGAGTTTGACAACAACAACAACATCTCTTTCCACACAAGAGCACAGACTTGAGAAAAAGAGAAAAACACATGACTAAGGCAAGATGGGAACTCTCTCTTGTGCTACTATAGTATATGAACAGAGCCGATTATATATACGCAAAAGAAGGACACAAACCGGTGAAAACCAAAAGCTCTATACATCTATCTACCAAAATTCTATCTCATTTCTTTTATAACCCACTACTATGTCATGATCCTTAGGATCTCCACATGTCTAAGTGGGTTTGTATAGTCGATGGTAGGTGATGATCAGAGAAACCTCCTACGAAGGTTACTAGTTGTTGCTTGATACGAACGCATGAGTAATCCAACTCCAATGCCTACACCAAGGCACATCCCAAGGCCTATCCCAACTCCAACTCTGACACCTGCATTAAACCATGAGAGTTGCCCATCCTCATCAACGTACATCCCCTCAGGGTAGTATCTCTGTGCCATCTTCATTTCAGACTCATCGTAATCATCAACTTCTGATTCCATGATCTGCATAAACCAAACGACAAACAAGATAAGAACCAAAAAGTGGGAGCTTCTAACGCCATTATATGCAAAGAGGTGGAAATCCATGTTAACAACTATCGAGATATCAAGAAAGTCTTCTAACCTATAAACATGTATGTATCTTAATTACTGATCAGACAACATTTCAAAAGGCAAAAGTTTCAAATTCAGCTGTAGAATACAAGAAAACACTCAAGAAGAAGCTGATAAAGACTTTTGTAACTCCAACAGTCTAAATTTTAAATTTTGCGAGTGATCTTAATAACCAAATCTCTTCTACAACATGCATAACTCATAAAACGAGACTACATCAGTAACCTTTTCAAATCTCAATCCCAAGTTAAGAGTAGCCACTTAAGGGCTTGGTGGGAAATCATCAAACAAAGAGTTGTAAATCAAAATCATAATCAATCATCAAACAGAGAAGTTAGAAATCGGAGTCATACCTGCACTTTGCTTTGCCGGGTCAAATCATTACCAATGGTAGCAATGTCTTGCTCTTTGCCAACTTCCTCATCCTCAGGGATAGCGTCGAGAGTGACGTGCCTAGCGACCTTCCTCCTGGGACTCACCTGAATGGTCTTGGTCAATATAACAGGAACACCGCCACAACAACCAGCTATATAAACCTCCACGGACGGAGACGAAACGCCAAGCTTTGGCTGGAAAAAAGCAGAAGAAGAAGAAGGAGCCGAGCCTTGTCCGTTGCCCATAGCTATGTAACAATCCATACCCCATCCAGTCTTGGGATCACTCACAGTTCCGTTGTTCCACGCACCTTCGATTCTATCTAGGTTCCCACACAAGACCATATCGTCGTTATGGTAAACCTCAAAATCAACGGATCCCGTAACGCGAACGGTCTCAGTGCTAACGTAAGTCACCTCCGACGTTTCCCGGTCGACTCTATCACGGCGTAGTTTAAGAGACGCCGTCTGGGAAGAAGGAACTCGAACGCCGTTGACCTCCAGGGAAGCGCCGGTTTCACGGCGAGGATGACGGAGGGTAAGAAAGTCAGGGACGTTCTCAACAACACAGGGAGCGATGCGGACGTAGAACAAACGAACCTCCAGCCAAGCAGATTGCGACGATGCCGAAGACGGCGGCGATACGGTGGATGTATTCATGTGGTACGATTTGTTAGTACCAAACGTATCCTGATGATGATGGTGATCTCTCGAAATCATCTACAACAGATTGATGACTCAAGAAAGAAGAAAACAAAATTCGCAATCTGAATTGATGAGAGATTATGAAGGATTGAGGAACCAACAGACGATGAATGAATTTGAGGGAATCGATCGAACAGCAACTTTTTTTTGTTTGTTTGTTTGTTTTGTTGGTTTAGGTTTTTGGGGGTTTCAGATATTTTCAAAGGTTAAAAAATAAAAAAGGTCACAATTAAAAAATATGTTTGACGACGAGGTAATTACGGAGGAGGGGTCAAAGTACAGAAACCGACAAGATTACTACCCTCGTGCGACTCGCACGTGTAACAGTTATTTATATCCTTTAATTGAGTTGTTAGATAACTGGGCCACATTAGACAAAATAATAATAATAATAATAACTGGGCCACAATATTCGCAAGGTCCCTTTAATGGGCTTAGATACTTTAGACTGGGCTCAATTGCTGTATATCATTTCACACCAGCTTAAAATTTTTTTGGCAAACTACACAATGTCGTTTGATGTTATGTTAACACACCTCGTTCACTAAAATAGCCCAATAGGCCCTAGAATGTATACCGTATGAATGAATAATGATCAATGAAATTGCATGGACTACTACTATTTACGGTATTACCATATCTATTTTACCACCCAAAAGAAAAAGAAAGATATGGATGCACTCATGCGCTGAGTTTATAAGGTCATATAATACAAATGAAAGATGATATATAGTGTCTCACCACCAACCCAAACGTATACTAACCGCAAGCCAAAACTGTATGTGCTTCTTCGCACAAAAAAAAGTTAGCATTGTATATTTATTAAAAAGCAGAACCACATTTAAAATCCGATGAAGTAAGTAAAGAATGATTCATAAAGCAAAAATCATTTTACTCATTCGGGTCATTGACCGTACGGCAATTATTATTTATAATCATAGCAATAATATATATTCTTTAGTAGAGAGGTTCCTTTTTATCTATATAGACCTGTATGTTTTTCAAAAGAAAAATTATCAATCCCTTGGGGGATAGTGATTCCTCACCGTTGGATCTGAGATCTTGTCGGATGAATTGGACCAACTTTGGAAATACATTATTTATAGGCCGGCTATAATGGCTTCTTCTTCCTTCTCTTTTTGTTAACACCGAAAAGATTGGGGCTTGTCATCTCACCATCCAATTAGGTAAGGCGAATTTAACCACTAAGCAAACTTAATAAGATTAACCTGACATCAAGATTTAATTTACGTATTTTATGAAAATAAAGATTTTGCAAACTCATGTGTATGTCCGCAACTGAAGATCCGTGTCGGAAGTTTACTTAGTTGATCTTAATTGCATCATGTTGTAGTAGTAGTAGTAGTAGTAGTAGTATGGTTTTGACCGTATTTTAGATCCTCCTTGTAACGGTTGCTTTAAACTAATGTACATTACGTAGTTTTTAGTTAACATTTAATTCGTTATCATATTTTACGCTGACGTAGGAATTTTATAATACGTAGAAGTTGATTACCTGAGATAAGTAAAAAATACTTTGATTTACCAGTCTGATAATGCCAATATACTATGATGCAGAATTAAGACACGAAAAAAGATTTAACATATTTTCTTTCAAGATAATAAACGAAAGTTTAGCAAGATATATATAGACTCTTCTAAATGTCAAAAACAAGCAAAATCCCATTACTAGCAGCTGCTATTAACAAAACAACCCAAAAATACCATTTTCAATTTGGTCAAAACTTTTAAAAGGCACAGTGGTTTATTTTTATTTTTTTTGTCAAAATATGCGATAAAATAATAAAGGAGTGGTTAGGTCAAATCGTGTTAACTCTCGCGTTTGTCAAACTAAATCATAGGCGAAGTCCTCTTAAAATAAAAGGAATCGACGGTCCAAGTCAGAAGATGAGGATGGTAAGAACAACGAACGGCTAGGAATTGAAATAATAAGCCGCCTTTTTAAAAACTAATAAATACACATCTTGAAAAAAATTGCTATAACAAAATAAAATATATAGATATTAAAAATAAAAACATGAGCAGAGTAGTGGGCCTGAGATTCCACTCTAAGTGGCCCAGATTAGAAATCTCGTCACGTCTCGTTTCTCTAAACTCGCAGTCACAGCAGGGATGCGTGCACTTCACGCGCAAACCAAACACAATCCAACATATATATAGTGACGCATACGTACATATATTAGAAAAGCTGCTCCACTTGTATTATTCGTGGACGTGAAAACTATTAAAAGAGAAAAAAAAAAGAATGAAATTGTAATCTACGTGGGCATACACGTGGAATATATAGCTGTTTCCCACTTACACATGATGTATATATAGATTATATATTTTTTTTTATGTTTTTGTTTTTGGATGGGAGGGATATTATTTTGTCTTTATATGGAGAATCGAATTCGTGTAGAATTGGCAAACTGATAGTGGAAGCAGGATAGAGAGCGAGGACTCAATTATTAGATAAAAAATTTCGATTTCATAAAACTTTAGATATATATTATAAAAAAAAATCAATCATAGAAATGGAATTTAAAATAAATAAATAAAAATCTTGGCAATTTAAACAGCATTGTATCTTCTTTAACAAGTTTTTTCTTTGTCCTTATATATATACTTCACCAAAAAAAAATAGCATAATGGATTAGTTTTTTTTTTTTTTGCCTTTCTTATGTTGAGAAAAAGAAAACAACAATAAACGACCTAACCAAAAGATTTACATATGTCAAATTCTGAGTAAAAATAAGAGAATAACGGGTAATTGTAAAATCCGAATTAGGTCTTATAGCCACATAATATAATACCCAAGATCTTGTAATATAAAAAATGACAAAATACTTTGATACTCCCGGAGTATAAACTTATTCTTGGCCCCAAAAACAAATCATCAGTTTTTTATAATATACAAGGACATATATATATTTTAATCTTAAAAGTAGAAAATCCCTGAAAATAAATAAAAAAAAAGGAAAAAATGACGTGGATAAGGTGAGATGGAAATTTGAAAAGAGTGAGAAAAAAGGAAACAACAAAAACCAAAGGTCGGAAAGCAATGACGCTGATGAGTATCTCGCACAAGTAGCATCGGTTTATCTACAACACACACACGCGCGTGCATGTGGGTAACAAACATACGCGCGTGCATGAAAGAATGAAAAAATGAAGAAGGAGAAGAAAGAGATGTCCTCTGCTTCGTACCATTCGTTTCATTCAGAAGAAGAAGAGAGACTCTCCTACTCAATCCTCATCATCATCCTCCTCTTGCTCTCTCTGTGCTCTGCATGCATCTCTCTCTCTCTCTCTAATTGATCTCTCCACTATTTTTGTCAGTTTTTTTTTTTCTATTAAAATAAATAAATAAATACGAGAGATCAGTGTGTTTGTCCAATCTCTTCTATAGCTCTTCCTCGTCTTCTTCTAAAGTTTCCAATTATTTCTTTCATTCTTCATTCTCAACTCTCACTCTCTCTCTCTCTCTTATAACCCAGACACACATCTTTCTTTCCTTCTTCTTACACATCTCTCTCTCTCAGATTCTTTAGAAAGCTAACCTAAACAAAAAAAAAAAAAACAGAGAGCAATGAAGGTCCATCTCTCTCTCTCTCCCTCTTACTCTCTCTATCTCTGTGTATTCAAGATTTGATAGTCCTAGGATTCGAATTTCTATAAGAAAATATGTGTTGGGAGATTCCTTTTTTTTTTTTTTTTTAATTCCATATATCTTGAATCTGAATGTAACCAAAGCTTTTTTTCTTTCTCTTTATTCTTTATACTAATGAACCTCTGATTCTTTATTCCTTTCTTTTGTTGCATTACTTCATTTGTGTGTTATTATTTACATGCGATCTATCTTCTTCTTTTGCAGTTTTAAAATAAATAACCAAAAAAACCAATCTAACTTTTTTTTAACTTATTCTGCTCTTATTTCAACATAATTCTTTCATGTTTTTAATCCTTTTTTTTTCTTTTCGCTTTTCAATTCAAAAATCATAAATTGAATGATGGACATGCAGACATGCTCTGCTTTGCAAAACTCTGTTTCTCTTCTATGTTTACGCTTATACACATGCATGTCACACTCTCTGTCTTTGTGTCTATATCCGTACACATAACATTTCAGTTGTTTTTTTTAAAAAAAAAAAATCTCCTTTAAGAACCTTCAAAAATCTCTGTTTTTCTTCTTCTTGGTTTGTTCTTGGTGATTCATTTTGTTTTGTTATTTTTTGCATGATCTTCAAATTCCTGAAGGAGAAGAATCCTGTGAGAAACATTAAAATAGGAGATTATTACATCATCTCTGTGATCACACTTTAAATTAATTAATTTTTCACTAAAATTTGTATTTGTCCTTTGTAATAATTTCGCAGAAAATGGTGCTAAACTTGGATTTGCATGATGATAAGGCAAAACAAAAGGCCCTTAAAACGGTTTCTACTCTCCCAGGTAAATTCCCTAATCAGAACATTTTTACATGAGCCTCATGTTGGTTACACATTAGAAACAGGGATAAGAGATCTCTTGCTCTCTTTAGTCTTTTACTTAGTTCTCACTTCTAATCCAACCATTAGATTAGTCTCCGATTTGGTTGGTAGGGTTTGTTAAGCATGTTTTATATTCGTTTATTGTTGGATGAACAATCACGAGCTCTTCTGACAGAAATGTCTATCTTTTTCAATAGTGACACTACGGTAAAATGTTGTGTGCCATATTTCAATTATTGTTTATTTGTGAAACTCATTGTTTTATTTCTTTGGAATAAAAATCAAATCTAGGCCACTATAGCTTCTTTGAAATATGTGCCCATCAACTGAAATATCATATGCTGTCAAACATCTTTTTCTTTCTTTTTTTCTTTGTTTGTTTGTTTGAGTCAAATTAGTGTTTTCTTTGTTAAATTAATGTTTTTACGTCTTAATTGTTGGCCTTTTTTTATATAAAATGTTGCAACTTACATCAATAGGGCAAAAACTCAAGTGTGTCTATCAAAAACAATGGTTACAAATTTCATCTTATTTTTTTGTATTCTAGGAATCGATTCCATTGCAATGGACATGAAGGAGAAGAAGTTGACGGTGATCGGAACTGTGGACCCAATAAACGTTGTAAGTAAGCTAAGAAGGTATTGGCCAATGACGGACATTGTACTAGTGGGACCTGCGAAAGAGCCGGAAAAGGAGAAGAAAGAGGAGCCGAAGAAGGAAGGAGGTGGCGAGCCGGCAAAGAAAGAAGGAGAAGCTCCAAAAGAAGAAGGGAAAAAGGAAGGAGAAGCCCCAAAGAAGGAAGAAGAGAAGAAAGAAGGCGGCGAGAAGAAGGAAGGAGAGAAGAAAGATCAACCGCAGCCGCAACTAGTCTTGCCGCCACCGGATCATGTGTTGGAACTTGTAAAGGCGTATAAAGCATATAATCCTCACCTAACCACACATTACTACGCCCAAAGCATCGAAGAAAACCCTAATGCTTGCGTTATATGTTGAAAACATATAATGTTTTATATAATTTGAGGGGTGGAGAAGATGGACCGATCTATAGTGAGGACTGAGGATGAAGAATAAGAAACACATGCATGATATATCTTAGTCTTAAAAGATATATCTTCAGATTGGATCGGATATGTTTTTTTTGGTTGGCCCTCGATAATGCGGGGACGTTTAATTTTCCTTAAATCGATTTCGATGATATGTTTTCTGTATATATCGTCGATAGTACTAGAATTTCATTTTACTTTACTTTACTTTACTTTCAAGGGGGAACTTTCTGTATATAATGGTGTTATATATGTGCGTTAGTATTTTTGATTTGTTTGTTAATTATCTTAATTTCGATGTCCTTAGTTAATATTTTTTTTTTGTGTGATACACGTTTTATATCATTATTATTATTATTACTGTAAGCTTATTCTCTAATAAATAAATAAACCATCTACTCCATGGTTTTTTATCAGGCTGCAGCCAATTATATTTTTAAATGTATGGTGGATGTTAGTTTAGGTGTGTATAATGAATGTTGTTGGGCGGCTTATTAACATTTAGATGTGAATTTGATGACTTGTTTTTTTACCTTCTGTTTTGCACGAAGCGAAAGGGCATGGCCTTCATGATCATCTGATGAGTCAATTTTAGAAATTTTCTAAAAGGTGGTAATTAATTTCTAATGGTTCTAGTTTTTTTTTCCTCTTTCACGAATGTGCCTTTATTTATGATTTTCTGAGGATAATAACATAAAGTGAATTTCTATATTATTATTTATTTATTATATTCTTTTTTAAAAATGGGTTTCTCTAGATAGAAACAAACAACTTAAGAATAAAAATGTTCGTCTCTCGGCCACATATAAAAGTCCTTTAATTTTCGACACCGAAAGATTGACAGTATTTTCAATAAATTGAATATATAGTCTTCACGTAACCAAGTGCATCATAAATGTCGTAGACTCATAGATAAAGTAGTGGCACAACTTGAAACCAAATGCAAATGTCAAAAGAAAAGAAAAAAAAAGAACATTTTGATTGGTAGCCACCTAAAAGGAGCATGTGAAAATTCAAATAAAAACTTTGGTAAAACATCAGGTATTTACAAGTTTTAATTTTGTGATTATTCTTGCTACAGTATTATATAGATCGACAAAAACAATATACATGACAAAAGAAATTCCCGTGAATGTCTTTGCCCATGTCAGTTTTTCTACCAAAACAAATAAAAATATGACTTCATCACGTATCGTAAAATACTGTAGATGATGATCATGAATCGGTGGTGACTGATGATGACGACGACAATGTCGATGATTATAAATAGACAGATACCTACATAAGTACGTATACTTAATTATCCAGTTTCAAATCATTCTGTATGAAAAGGATCAAACCCTTTCTTCCAAATACCAAAATATGATTTTGTCTTATATAGTTTTGTGTACTGTGTACAGTAGTAGTAGTATCAATATCAACCAAGAGGCGGCCCAAAGCATGCCTTAGCTTTACCAGTTTAATTACTTAACAACTCTTAATAGTTAATACTCAATACTAGCGTATAAATCAAGCAGACGTATGGTTTCATCAGCCTAATAAAAAATTTCAGAGGTCGGGCAAACTTTGACAACTAATAACTAATGGTTTACCAAAAAAGGCTAAATTCAAAGTATTATATGTATATATAGTATTTCATTCCAGCTGACGATTTATCATTAACAAAGGAAAAAAGGGAAACAACACAAAGCTGACGATTCATGATATAATTAATGGAGATTTCATCATTTTAGATAGCTAATTATTTTGAGTTTTTATCATATTTGGTGCAGCTACAATAATGCTGATGACCTTTTCCATTACCCACCATGTATTATTATTGCAATGGCAAAATTCCGGAAAAATATAAACTTAACATGAATGAATTAAACATATCTTTGTAATCGAATGTTTTGTATTAATGCATTCAATTATTTTCAGAAAATGATAGGTATGGTGGCATGCACGTGTGACGTATTTGGCGTGGTTCTAGAATAATCGAATAATTTAGCTTAACAAATCCTCCATTACGCACATATTATCAAACCTCCCCAACTAATAATCACTGGTGATCCATTTATAAATTTATCATTAAAAATATATTTTTATTTATTTATTGCACACAAAAAGATAAATAAGAGATTCCAATAGGATAAATGTTACAAACCAGCACCACTAGGACAATCTCTCGATTAAATCCTAAGCGGAGGAAAAAAAAGAAAAAGAACATAATTAAACACACAAATCTTTAAAGTTACCATTTGACCACAGGATAAAAAAGCTCGCAGTCAAAAACAAACCTACTGTCCAAGTTGAATTATTCCCAATCTTACAACAAAGAAAAACACATTCACTTACTAACATTTGGAGTGAAACGAGGACTTGTTCATCCGATTGATCTTCTCTCAGGCTTTATTATGCCTTAAGAAGATCATGCACGGAGAAGAGGTGAATGTGGTGACATTATCCCTGGAGACGAGAGGCCATCCTCGTAAAGCCTTCGGAAACTTAGTCGGAGATTGCTCTGTCTCCATTTCTGTTTTTTAGCATTGTTGTTCTGGCTTACCTGATCCTTGTCCGATGCTTTCGCAATGGTCTTGTTGTTGCTCTTTGATACGAAATCTTGGATCCGTCGAAGCGCCACGTGGAGAGTATCGTCGTCCATGTTGGCAAAGCAAACCCTAAACCATCCAGGTTCCGTGCAATGGAAGGAAGAGCCTGGAGATACATTGAGCTTAACTTTGTGGATGATTATACGCCAAAGCTCAATCTCAGATTCAAACGAGTTACGATCTCTCAATAGATGTCTCAGATCCATCCACACAAATAAACCTGCGCTGCTTGTCAAGCAAGTAATATCTGCTTTCTTGAGCCCTATGGTAAAAATTTCATGCCTTGTCCCTAACCTTCTCGAGCTTTCCATAAGAAAATTCTCCACAAACCGATCATCGGATAACATGGAAGCGAGCATGAGTTGTGTCTGAGACGAAACTAGTCCGAAACTCGACATTTTCCTGGCACAAGACACGACCGAGTCGTTGTAAGAATAGACTATACCGACTCTAAAACCAGGAAGTCCCATGTCTTTAGAAAGACTATAAACAATGTGAATCAAGTCAGCGTTGACTTCAGAGTTGTCCACATCGTTGACCACCTCAGCAACGCTCACAAAATTATCTCCGCTAAAGACTGTGGCAGCGTAGATCTCGTCGACGACTAGGTGAATGCTCTTCTTCGTGACGAACCGGACTAGGTCCTTGAGTGTGTCTTTATCCAACATCGTACCGAGCGGATTTGATGGATTAGTCAAAATCAGACCTTTGACTTTCTTATTAGACTCTTGGGCTTTTTTATAAGCCCATCCCACGGCCTCGACGGTTAATCTGAAATTGTTGGAGCTTGAACAAGGAATCGGGATTATGTCGACACCTGTACGCCACCTCAAGTCTCTATCAAATCTGCAAAAAAAGATTTACATAATCATCACACCGCACGTATGAGCTACCCGCTGTATCAAAACTGCAATTGAACTGATATACCTTTACACGTGTGATAAAGTTGGCGAAAGAGTCAAATCTTAATACTACTACTAATATTATTAACTCATTTCAGTTTAGAATTTGTTAACCCCCAAAAAAGTATGTGAAAGCAACAACGTTAATGAAATTTCTCCTAACCATTATCCGTTATCATATATATATATTTTTTTTTTGAATATAATTAAAAATAAAAGTATTAAAATGCTTACGCGGCATAGTAAGGAGAGGGAATAAGGAAAACGTCGCCGGGATCGGCCAGGCAGAACATAATTGTTTCATTGGCTCCGGTGGCGCCGCCGCTCATAACCACCCTCTCTGGATCAAACGTCACTCTTCCACCTCGAGCTTTTCCCATGAAATGTGCAATTGCCTTCAATTCAAAAATTTCGATTTATTTTATGTATTTTTTTTTCTTACTAAATGTAGCATGACTAAATTTGTTTTAGTTTCTTATGGATTCCATATTTAATGCCAAGGTTCGCTTTAAAACCAAACCAAAGAGAAATAAACGCGATTCTATTATAACCGAATAAAAACAACAAGGAGATTAACCCACAAACCCGCGTTTCTACGTGATAACTAGTATATAAGAATTTACTTCATAATGGTTTATCCATTTTGAGTTTCTATTAATAGAAAAAGAAAACCGGGTTCGACCCTATATATGTATAATCTACGTATTATTATTACTTCACGATAACTAGACTACTTGAGCGATGTATTTATACCTGTCTAAACTTTGCAAGGCCATGATAGTCTTGGAAATTAGCGATGTCGCTAAACTGACGAAGACCTTCAAGAGTGCAAATAGAAGCTTCTGGGTTCTCTTTGATCCAATCTTTGATCAAATCCAAGCAAAGCTGTACAAAACGTTTAGGAAAAAAAATGTCTTATTTGTTGTTTAGACGTGTCCATGATAGCTTAGCTTATACACGAATGAATTAAACATGCTGAACTACAACATATGCAATATTTTATTTGGATTCTATATAATTATAGTTTATGTATACCTGATTCTCTGCAAGACCCATTTGGATAATACCATTTGGATTACGAGATAGATGGAAAGGATCTTTGTCGTAAGCTTTCCATCCATCAAAGTACTCAGAGTTCTCGCCGTGTTGATTGTTTGTCGCTATTTTCGACAGAATCGCACCGCTATTTTTCCCAGAAATTCCCATTCGCTGTTCGTCTTTTGGGGTATCAATATTGATCTTATGACAAGTTTTTTGTGGTGTGTAGTAATTATCGTGTGTATGCGGTATTTATATAGGACTCGAGACATGATGAAATGGAAACCTTGTGTAGAGACAAAATAAAGCTGATGTGGGGTCTTCAAAAAAATAGACATTTAGGATTTGATGAAACAAAGCAAAAAGGAATTAAGAGGCAAAACCAAGGAAGATGCTCCACCCAAAACAATATATACTTATAAGTTTTTGTTGCCATGAGTTTAGTTAAGGTGGTTGTTTTTTTTTGCTAGCTATAGCATCAATAATTATATCGTATCGAATTTGGTTGATTACGTATGAATATATATATTTGGTTCGACGATCCAATAGTTTCGCATTAATTTCCGAACGTTGCATTATTAAAACCCATTGTGAATTATTATTTGTAGGAAATTATTATGTGTATTTATTTGAACCCAAGGCTATTTCTAAGCAGCTTCTTACGAAAAATGTTGACCTTCAACTATACCAAGTCATGCAAACAAATATAAAGGTTAAAGCATGTGGAGAAGAATATTTCTTTGAATACAAATATATACGAGAGAAAAATGTATAAGATTATTCAAAAGAAGAGACCAAATTGTAACGTTCCAAATGGTTTAATAAACCATTTGGTAATGTAATATGCACATGTATATAACTTCCGCCACATTATTCCAGAACCTGACTGGCGTAAAAAAGAAATATTAAAATTATTTTGAGCGTTCTGTGGAATTTGAATTCATAATTTCCGTTTATGATAAATAACTAAGTTTTGTAGAACCACGACAAATGGTAGTATAATAATCTAAGTTGTATAGTATGAACGAATATATTAGTGAGAATTAGTTTTAATGGGTTGACTAGGTTGATTTTGTATGTATGTTTTTCTTGTACATATTTGCTCGTAGGTTCATAACCTAAATATATGATTATGTTAATTTGAACTACCAAATTTGCTATTTGTAGTTATACTATATATGAAGGATAATGACTATATATAATTATGATACAAATACAAATATTGTTATGTTTGGTCAAATCAACTACATGCACTATGTGATTTTTACTTGCAACTTTACGCCGCAAATTCGCAGGCGACGACCACGTGACAATACCCTCTTAATAATACTTGACAGTTTTTGGAAGTCAAAAGCTTCCTATTTTTCTAATCGTTTTCTTTGAAAACAAGGTCTTTTTATAATTTTGTCTTAAGACTAAAGATATTAAAATCTGATTTTGGCTCTACACTTGTAAATGTCGGATTATAACTACTAAACTTTCGAAAACAATATTCTTAAAGCACGCATTGCTGGAAAACCTAATTACAGGGGGGACATAAAATCTCAATAATATAAATTAGAGATATCAACTTTTGCCGATTTGGAGTAGTTAAAGTGTTACACTTTTCAAACACAAAAACCACACGAACCCATTGTTTTTATGATCCTACGAATCTCTTGTGGAAACAATCAAGACAGTCCTCTACATATATATACACATTTTATATTTTCTTACTAATTGGCCCGACATCTACCAACACCGACATATATGCTGCTTTCGGCAGTTTTGATTAATTTGGTGATACTATTGTATATCACTCCAAATCTTCAATTATTTATTACATGATACTTAATTCGCTGATCATCAAATATTTTCTATTTTCTAGGTTCGTGGAGTGTTTTAGGTATGATATTCTTTATGTAAATATATATATATATGTAATCTATGTACACGTACGAGTATAATTGAAAACTTTTATCTCTCCTAATTATAGATGCCAGTAAATATTAGTAAGCTGATTAAAAAAATTTACAAAGCAAAAAGGATACACGATTTTTAAATATTATTTTTGGTGATACTCCGCCATCGCAGTTGTAAAGTTCGACGAGTACGAACTCTTTTTTTTTTTTTTTTGACGAGTAATAACTTATAACTAAGCAAAGAGTGTTATAGTGTGAATATGTTTTGGCTTTGTGGAGATTTTGAACTCAACCACTAGTAGACTAGTAGTAACTTGTTCGTGTCAATAAAACTGAAGCATGCTAAAGAAAAAAAGAAAAAAAAAAAACAAAAAAACTGAAGCATGCTTCTTCTTTGAATGGTCAATAAGTCAAAATAACTCACAAACATGCGAGGAGGGCGCTCGAGTCTTGACTTATCCTACCACACAGAGATTAGATGCTGACTCAGCGGCTGTCGACTAATTGGACACGCTTCTTCGATTCTCCTCCCACTAATCACTCTTCAACACGTGTCACGCCTACGCGACTCAAGCACTATGATCAAGTCAAACTGTTGTTTTAAGTGGACGGACTACTAGTCCGTGTGTATATCCAGTAACGTATTTTCCTGTCTATAAATGTCCAGTTGCGTATTTGTCATGGGCTTGAAGGCCCATTTATTTGAAAGTTCTATAATTAGGAGATACGCTAAAGGGGGCTTTACGATACATGTGAGTCAATAAACGTATTGTGTACCGCGATGCAGGGGAATAACACTACGTTCCACCGACGTGCATATGATGAGAGCGGGGGACATAGTCGGTCCATTAAATACCCCTTGCGCATCTTATTCCTTACGCCAACAATACTTTCCCACTTTTCTTTTCTTTTCTTTTGGATAATACTTTCCAAATTTTTGTCATTCAAATATCGTGAATATTAACTATTCCATGACTAATCTCTATCGAGTTTAATTTCAAACAAAATATCTACATCTTGTATTATAATAAGATATATACTTTTTCAGCTCTCTCTATTTAAGAATATTAATAATTAATCGTTTTCATGTAACCGAAAATTACCAAGCACAGGACACGTATAATCCACGCTTTCACTCTCACTCGTCAAAAGCCCTCACACGTACACAAACCCCATTATAAAATGTAATCCACTCACATGTACCGACTTCACAAAAACATCGTAATCCCATCCGTTTATATATAATCCAAGACAAAACTTCACATATCATCACATATATACACAAAAATCAAAAGAAGAAGAAACGTTATGGCGAGCTTGCTAGATAAAGCCAAGGACTTCGTGGCGGATAAACTCACCACGATCCCTAAACCGGAGGGTTCCGTTACTGACGTTGATCTTAAAGACGTGAACCGTGACTCCGTCGAGTACTTGGCCAAAGTTTCCGTCACTAATCCTTACAGTCATTCCATTCCGATCTGTGAGATCAGTTTCACTTTCCACAGCGCCGGCAGGTAAAACACGCTTTCTAGCTCCGTCGTTTGATTCCTTCTTTTTTTCCATCCATCATCCATTACAAATTATCAATAAAAGATCTTTATCAATAATCATATATATATACTAGTTTACTACCCGTCGATGGACGGGTTATCTTTATTTAAAATTAAATTAAAATTAAAATTTATTATAACTTATAAAAAAATAATTTTTAATTTTTTTTTTGAAAAATAAAAGAAATTAATTTCATTTGGAAAGATATTTTATTTGTTTTGAAGTATCAAATAAACGTGGATATATATATATATATAGATATATAGATATCTCTTAATATTCGTTATTAAACGTTAATTATAAAAATCTAATAATGTCAAATTGACAATCACCAAAACATTTGGGAGCTATTTGGGAGATATTCACCATTACTCATAATATTTCTAAAATATTTTTAAAAATCTTAATTTAGCAATTATCCTCTAAAACATGATTATACCATTTTGTTAAAACTTTATTTCTTAACTTTAAATTTTTCAAAAAATGAAAAATTAATTAATTATTATTTAATATGATGGTAAAGTTCTTTCAAATTAACATCAATATAAAATATGATGTTAAATACAAATATAGTCATTTGTAAATAAATTCATATAAACAACATAAATAAACATAATGGTTCTAAAATAAATTATAGCATCGTTGAGGAAAACATTAAAAAATCTTTTAAATACGAATTATAAAAAACTACATATTTTCTTTAAAAATATTTTAAAATTACTATATTACGATTTATATTGAACTTTGTTATCTTTAATTTAACCGAAAAATATTATTTTCGAAAATCTTTTATTCACCCTTATGTTTTAGACAATGAAATTGCTCAATGGCATAATACATTCAAACATAAATTAAAAATTAAACAAATATAACATATTATAAAATAAAAATAATGAATAAAATTATGTATTTAGTTACCCTTGTTTAATTGTAAAACTTAAATCTCACTCCTCTTTAATAAACCCAAACCGATAAATAATCTCGTTTAATTATAAAATCTAAACTATAATGCAGATTTACAAACTCAACATATAACCCTCATAACTGTAAACCCTACAACTGACAAAACCAAAAATTAGTTTAATAGTTGAAAGAGAATTTTTAAGCAATACCCTTTTTGGTGTACCCGTTTTAAAAAATACACCAATTTTCTATCCATTTAAAAAAATATCCCTTTTCAAATATGAAAAATTTTAAACTTTTATATATTTTATAAGGTACATCTAGATAATCATTACTATTAAGAGACTCAATGAAAATATTTATAAAGTTTTAAAAAGGTTTTAAACGGTATTTATAATACTTTTATAAGGTTTTTATAAGGTTTAAAAAGTTTTGATATGTTTTTTAAATAATTTTTAAAACGTTTTTAAAAGGTATTTACATGGTATTTAAATTTACACACATAGAAAGATAATTTGTGTCTAAATATCTAAGCTTACATATACTTTTTATATAAATATCAATTTTTTACTTTTTAATTATCAAAAATACCCTTTACCATACCACTTTTAAAAAATACCGTTATTTCAAACTTTATAAAAAAACGACTTTAAATATTGAAATTTATACAAATATGTGTGAAAACTTATAAATATACACACAAATTACCTTTATATATGTTTAAATTTTTATATATCTTTCATAAATAGCGTAAAATAACTTATAAATACCTTTTAAAAACATTATAATTAAACCCTTTTAAGAACCACTTAAAAACCTTATAAAACTTGTAAAAACGATTTAAAACCTTTTACCTTTTAAAACATTTGTATCAAATTTTCAAGTAGTAGTTATTATATAGAAGTACCTAATAAAACATATAAAAAATTATAATTTTTCATATTTAAATATGGATATTTTTGAAAATGAATAGATAAATGAGGTATTTTTGAAAAGAGGTACGTCAAAAGGGGTATTTCTCAAAAATTCTCTTTAATTTTTTATAATTGTCTTTTAATCTTGTTTAAAAATTCCATTTGTATCTTAATATTAAAAAAATTAGATATAACATGTTGCGACATCTTATGTTTTTACTTGACACTTATCATGATCACGTGGGTTAGTAAATTTAAAAACTAAGTTTCGATATATAATCTCGTTTAATTGTTAAACTTAAACCATAATTTTAATTTATAAAGATAAACCATAATTCTTATTTATCATTTATATACCCAAACCAACAAATAACCTGATTTAATTGTAAAATTAAAATTTAAACCTTAATACTCTTCTGTAAACAAAACCGCCATATATTCTTGTTAATTATAAATTTTAAATCCCTATCTTATTAATAAACCAAATTGACATAACTGAAATTAGGTTATTTGTTTAATTTTACTAATAATTTTTAATATATAATTCTTTATAATATATATTTTATATATTTCCTTTTTCGATAGGGTTAATAATATTTCTATTTAATCCAAATATTAACAAAATTAGTTATGTCACGTGACAACATCTTATCGTTTATAATTGACACGTGTCACGATCTTGTTAATGGCTGACTTTGAAAACCAAGGTTTATATAATAAGATGGTTACTTGGTTTGGTTCTTCTGTTATGCTCTGTTTTCGTTTGGTTCCGTTTAGATGGTTCGGTTTGATTTTTTTGATTTTTTTTTTTGTTGAGTTGTGAAAACAAAAACCCGGTTAGATTGTAAATAAATTTTGGTTCGGTTTACATATGCCAGTCATGCGGGTTTCTTTGCTTGTTGGTTACATATTATTAGAACTAGTGTACATATTTTGAAAATAAACAAAAATCTTGGGCATCTTAATTAGAATCATTAATCAATTCCATATAATGTAACTACATATATGCAAATGCAATGATAAAAAATATGATACAGGGAGATAGGAAAGGGGAAGATACCAGACCCGGGTTCTTTGAAAGCTAAGGACATGACAGCTCTTGATATTCCGGTGGTGGTGCCGTATAGTATACTCTTCAACCTGGCTCGAGACGTTGGTGTGGACTGGGACATTGACTACGAGCTTCAAATAGGTCTCACCATTGACCTCCCTGTCGTGGGCGAGTTTACCCTCCCTATTTCCAGCAAGGGTGAAATCAAGCTTCCTACTTTCAAAGATTTCTTCTGATCTTTTTGATCTAGCTCTACTTGATGACCTCTAAAAGCCATCATCGTTATTATATATGGTGACGATGATACTGCATGTAACGAATGGGTCTTGCCTATATATATAATCAATAAATGTTAATTTTTGTCATATCATGTGATATAATAATTAAATCAATGTTTTATGATTTCAGTTATATATGGTTCTTTTTGTTTCCATTCAAATCTTTTAAGTTGCATAAAAAACCAAACCAAACGCAAGGAATACCTTGATTTAATCAGGTTAATTTGACATGAAAGCCAAATGATATGTTAGTTCGAGTTTAGAGCATGTTTATTGAATGATATGTTAGTTCGAGTTTAGAGCATGTTTATTGGTAGTATGTTAGGTTTTCGTATAGTTTAGCATTAAAATTTAAAAGTTAAGAGTTAGGAGATTTTTTTTTTTTTTGTATTTTTGTATGTATATTGGTAGGTTTTTAATTGTGGTTCTTAGTGGACAAAAAAAATTGAAATGAAATTTAATTAAAATTTAAAATTATTGAAAATTTTAATTTTATATAATACAATAATTATTGCAAGTTAAAAATTTTAAAACAGACATAAGATACAATTCATAACATAAATAACATAAAGCATAATAATTTTAGTGTTGATTTCTTGAAAATTTTGGTCATATATGTTTGACCAAATTGTTTTTGATGGAAAATATTATCAAATTCTTTGTTTAACGCTTTTTAGAGATTATTATTGGAAAATGAAGCCATTTTCTTAATTGGAATTTTGGTTTGAACTTGATTTTTAGAACAAAAACTTGAACTTGATTTTTAGAACAAAAAAGTAACAATTTGATTTGATTTGAGAACAAGAGCTTGAATTTGATTTTTAGAACAAGAAAATGAGAAGAGGTTTGATTTGAGTTGAGAACAAGAAAAGAACAAAAGGATTTGATTTGAGAATAAGAAAACAACAAGGTTTGGTTATGAAGTTGAAAGAAGAATAACACTCTTGGTTTAGATATTTGAAATATAAATTATAAAAACAAAACATAACGTTGTTGTTTAGATATGTACAGTACATGCATGAGCAATGTTATATCGTTGTTGTTGTTTGAGCTGAGGGTCCTCGCAATAAGAAAAGCCATGGCCAGTTCTATATATCACCATTGAGTCTCGGTGTTCTTAGTGGTTGTGAGCTCAAAAATACAATCTATTACAATTAATGGTTTTTTCAATTACCTTTTCATCTCAGTTTTGGATTTCATTAATTTTCTAACCGTATGTGTAATATGTTTGGTGCATGATGATGGAAACAGGATCATATATTACGACTTTTACATGAATTTTTTCATCATCGTTTTTGGTCTTTGCATCGATTTGGTACATGAGACGCAACAATATCCACTTCGCCCCTAGACGGAGCCTTACATATATCTCATCTGGCCTCTCTACATCGTCTCTAAGGACCCTACCGGAGTTGAAAAATTCAGGACACCTTGAGATTTGCTCAGACTCCAAAAACCTCATCTCTGCAATCAATCGCAAATCAGGCTCTAAAGAGCTCATTGCTATTCTTCAGGATATCACGTTGTTAAGTGAATCCTTTGTGTCGATCACTTTCAACTTTGTCCCTCGGTTGGACAATGTTATTGCTGATTCCGTAGCTAAAGCTGCCCTTGCTGCAGTTAACTCTCCCCCCCCCCCCCCCCTTTGGAATGTAAAAGTCTCTATCTTATTTATCATAAATCAGTTTGCCCAAAAAAAAAAAAAAAAATCTGTGTGCCGTATCTTTAACCCCAAAAAAAAAGAAAGATCTGTGCCGTAGTATATACTTTGCTTTTTATTTACTTATTTTTATTTAACTATATTTTTGTGCTCAAACATGGACTCGGGTAAAAATGGGCTTCTAATGAGTTATTTTTCTAAAGTTAACCTGTCTTTGTTTTGGCACGTCGAGGTCATCTCCATACATTACTTCTAAGAATTTTTCTTTTTCTTTTAAATGATTTTAGGTTACATGATTCCCCAAATCATGTGAATATAATGTTAATATTAAAAATTGTGATCCATGTCCACCCTGTTAAACTATTACTATGCCTTGTTTTACTAATTATAATAAATATGCTAAGATTCTTTCTTTGTCAATGGCCATTTCTTGTTCCGGTAACAACTTACCACAAAATACTAATGGTTACTAGCCTTTCAAACTTTCGCGCCTGATGCGAGCTTCTCTTTCACCTCTTTACAATCAGATCCTTGTGTTTATAAATCAATTGTAGAGATAAAATAAATAAAAGCCTACACAAATTTGTCTCATATATACGCTAGCCAATATAAATCAGAAATCACAAATTTTCAAGAAAATTTTCAAAGAAATATTTTTTTTAAAAATAGCGTTGGTAAAATGTAAACGGTATGATTCAACTAACTGGAACCAAAAAATAGGAAAATTTAATAGTATACTTTCATTATTTTCGATTTATTTTCCAACTAAAACATGAACAAAACGGCGGCGGGAGAACAGTGGGCGGAGATGGGAGCAAGCCGCCGGAGGAAGGGACAGAGCCAATGGGAGGACGAGTGCCAATGGGAGGACAAGTGCCAATGGGAGGACTAGTGCCAATGGGAGGGCGAGTGCCGGTAGGAGGACGAGTGCCGATGGGAGGGCGAGTGCCGGTGGGAGCACGAGTGCCGGTGGGAGGACGAGTGCCAACGGGAGGACGAGTGCCGGTGGGAGGACGAGTGCCAACGGGAGGACGAGTGCCGGTGGGAGGACGAGAGACAGTGTGAGAATTAGTGAGTAGATAAGCCATTGCAGTGTTAGGAGAAGAAAAAACGCTTGTACAAGAGAAGAGAGATCACAGATTGTGAGACATAAAAATCGAAAAGTGCTTCCATTATATAGGAAGTAAAAAATATATCTAATTCAAATAGGACATGGTTTCTTATTTTGAATACAAAATACAAAAGAAGTTTTAAAATCCCACTTAAACTTGAGATAAAAGGAACTCGAACCCTATATTCTTATGTTTAACAATAAGACAAAATTATAATATCTCTACATATTATCCTTTACCAAAAAATATATTTCTACAACAAATATATTGCAAAACTATATACAAATTATAGTATTTGTTATATCAAGTACTTAATATTATATATAAACATATCCATTATTAAGCAAACAGTTAATTTAGAAGTTTCAAAATCCTACCAAAACGCAATGAAAACAAGAAGTTAGAGTTCATACCCGAATAATAAAGTTCTACTTCAAAAGTGGCTAGGGACTTGAAGTCTGAACGATGTCGACGAGAAATGTTTTGACGATCTCGTAACCGTATGGCAAAAGCTCCTGAAAACAGTAGTTGTTGTTGTTTTAAAGATAGTGAAATTAAAACCAAACAAATTAACAAAGAAATAAATTAATTGCATTTACCGCTTTGAGCTTATCGGTTATAGCATTTGCAATGCTTTCTTTTGTGTTAAGAAGCTCATCGAGAGTATGCTCAAAAAGGCTTGTTTTAACTTCTACAAATTCATATACCCTTGATTATATATATAATTGTTATTGTTTATAAATCAGTAAATGTATATATATATATATATATATATATATAGGTTTTGATGAACTTACGGTTGAACGAAGCAGCCTGAATTTGAGCAACAGGATCAGTGAAACGATAAAAGGCATCATATGCTGCTGTCTGGGTACCGGCAACACGGTAGTACATGGATGCCACAACCCGAACAGAAACATTATCCTATTTTCATAATAAAACGAGATGCTTTTGAGTATGAGAAAACGAAAGGATCTACTTATAATAACACTATATATAGTATACCATCAATTGATTCATTATACAAGGGCACGTGATCAGTTGTATTAAAGCAGAACCAATTAATAATACCCATCAACTAAAGCGGAATTAATATGAACAACAAAGATTGATTAACAACAAAACAAAACAAAAAAGCTTAAATATTTAGAATCTAAACAAGATCAAGTTAATTACTAATCCAAATATACGCAAGATTGAACCCAGCAGATAAACCAGTACACTACGTACACTCATATTATATCTAAAAATAGCAATGAAATTTATGACCTGAGTTTTGGTATCACAACGGATATCGAGTTGCTGGATCTTCTATGACATGTGGCCAGCAACGAGATGACCAAAACACCACGGGACGCAGTGACATCCGGAGTCGAGCTTCATATCGAACTTCCCACATATCTCTTTTAATGCTACTGTCGATTCCTTAACACGTACGACGCAACAGAAATTACCCATTCTTGACCTTATACATAAGATGTAAGGCGTTTAGTGAATGAATGACACAAATGAGATCAATATATAGACTAGTATTCCAAATTTTTTTATCAAAAAAAAAAAAAAAAAAACCCTAAAAGAAACCATGCATCTAAGTCCAAATGAATATGATGCATATACAATAAAGCTACGATCGAAGAACACTAAAGAAAATCCAGCATACAACCACAGTTTTCCAAATAAAAATATCAAATTTTAGCAGAAAAGTCAAAACTTTAGTTCCCAAATAAACCGTCGGGTGCAAAGACAACAAATTTAAAGAAGATTAAACTTTTCATTGCGAAAAAATCGAGAAAGAGTAAAGTTTTTTTTTCCTATTTTGCTCGCTTATGAAGTCGAAGGGCAGATCTAGGGCTATTGGTCGTACAGGCTACATGTTGAAAACGTTAATGAGCAAGAAAACCCAGAAAAATAAATTTCAGAGATAATAATAAATAAATAAAAAGCAAAAAAGAAAAGAAACAAGCACTTGACTAGAAGCATGCCAGAGATGATTAAATAGACCTTAAAAATGGAGGAGAACCAAAGAAAAACGCACCGAGATTACTCAAACCACACACACTGACACACAACAAAAAGACAACTCACGTGGGTTCGGCGGCGCAAATGTCGGTGGACACTAAATGAAGGAAACCATCACTCTTACTCCTCTTTCCATATATATACTTATATCCAAAACCTAAAAGGTTTACTAAAATGTTGGGCCTAATTAGCTAGCTGGCCCAAATGTTGGGGTATAATTTCACTCTAGTAAACTTTTTGGAATTTTATTTGATTTAAACACTTGTCAAATAATGTTTTTAACTTAACGTTTCTGATTTTACAAAAATGTTTTTAACTATTTTTTTTTTTTACTTTACAAAATAATGTTTATTTAAAATAAATTAATAATTGAAATTTTGAGTCTTCGACGTAGGCCAAAGTTATTAAAAAAAAAAAAAAACAAACTTTGGCTAAGCTATATAAGATAGTGAGGAAATAAATGTAGAAATGTTAAGACATATATGGAAGATAAATAGAGTATCAGTGAGAAGGATGTTCGTCTGGTAAGAAGATCTGAGAGACAAAGTCTTGGAAACGAGAAGAGTAAATCTTGGGATGCACGGCTGAGATTGTCTTAGAGCTGTGTTGAATTGACTTGTAACAATGTTCTATACGTTTTCTCACTCCATAGTCTTGGAAAATGTCTATAATCCCCAGATACAATATCACATCGTACCATTCCTCTCCTCCTCCTCTGCTGTTCTTCCCCACCACACTCCCTGATTCACCTCTCTCAACCCTTCGTGCTCGCCCCGGTATCTTCATCCCGAAGTTTGTGCTTGAGCTGCAAGAGATCCCATTTTCCGTAACCCTTAGTTCTGCTTTTTTGGCAGTTTGGATTTGAACACAAGTAAAAGAATTCTCAAAATTGGTTACCTGTTTTGGAAAACGTTGGTTAAACTCGTTTTGGAAACAATGCTTCCTTGTGAAGATTCTGAAGCGTTGGTTGGAGCTGGACTTGGGCTTATACTTGCTACTGATTGTATAGTTACTGAGTTCTCACTATCAATTGAGTCTGCAAGAACGAAAATAAGAATTTCTAATGTTATAATAGCACGACGGGGTTGTTCTCAGTATTAACACCGAAGATCATTCTAAGGAACTATTTAAAATCACCTCTGCTCGGAGTGCATGAATACATTGTAGACGATCTATCTGGAGAGTTTGAAGCTGTCTTCATAAACTTGGAGTTATTGCTGTCAACAGAGCCTGCAAGATTGACCGGGAAGTGTAAGTCCCATTTCAGATATTCTTTCTTGGTGAATTACAGTGAACAGGAGAAGAAAGCCAGGTAGAGATTTACCTCGTGATGTGAAGCTGTCGTATACCGGGCTTAATCCATCAACTGAACCTGTAGGGTGATGCTTAATGAGGGATTTGATTTATAAGCTACCGCTAATAAGAATGGAGACATGAGATTGTTATAACTCACCTTGACACGTGCCTTTCACTTGTAAACCAAGCATTAAGCTATAATCCATTATGCCTTCATCTTCCAAAAGTTCACAATCAAGCTTTGTTTGCCTGCGGGGTGGGAAAATCAGCTGAGTATCTAAATCATTCTCTGAGACAAGAACCAACAAGAGAGGGACAGAGAAAAACTCACTTAATGAGGCGGTGCCTAGCCAAGGAATCAACGTAGAAACAAAAATCAAGGTCTATATCCTTGAGTATGGTTTTATCTCTAACTTTGATCTTCTTGTTAGTCCGGCCTTGTGATGAGCCCTTTAGATCGTAGACCTTGTTCATAAAAACATCCGACTGCAGTATGTTTGACATGACGACAAAATATGTCTGCTCACAATTATAAAAAAAAAAACAGAACAAGTTTTATGTAAGCCAAACATAGATTAAGTTTCCAGTACAGGGCAATCCGGTAAAGTAATGAATATACCTTATCACCTCCAACAGGCTTGACAGAGTGAGCTCCATAATTCTTGGACAACAAGGTCGACCTGTATTTATGAACATGACGGAAGTAACCAGGCAACATCTCTAGTATCACCTACATAAAGGAAAAAAGAATGGATCCAGGCATGAAACACGATAAATGAGATCATCACCAGCCGCATAAATAAATGACAAGATTAACATATGTATAAAGTAGGCATAAGTGAAGTACCTTAATTTCGGATTTACGGAGAATCTTGATGATGAAACGATCATCTTTGGAGAGAAGAAACATGTTACCAACTTTGCCAGAGGAAAGCTTCCTTAAAGTCTCATCGTTACAGATAGACTTCATGTATTCATCATGGTTAATATCCTCAAGCTCTTGTATAAGTCTGTAAGGAAAAAAAACAAATGAGAAAACAGCATTACAAATGCGTCAGACAATGAGAGAAAAAGAAAAGAAAAGAGAACCTGAAACCCAAGGGGGAATAATCTTTCCATTGAAAATCGGTAATGGTGCCAGGAGGAAGATGCTTGATGTGCTTGGAAGAGTATCGAATCCTGTTCTTCTCAGTGGCTTTGACGTCCTTCGATGTTATCTCCCTTGCAAACATTTCCGTATAACAAAGCACTCTCTCTCTCTTTCAACTCCTCCTCCTCCAGATCTCTTAAGCCCACATCTCTCTCTCTGTACGGTAGGTATATGCCCCCCTCCCCTTAAGACAGAATCCCAAAAATGTCAATAAGAAATTGACATAAAAATCAGCAGAGATTTTCAGACCCTAGATCGGATTCCGTTAGATATCCACGAAACGAAACAGAGGGATGACATAGAAACCCTAAATTGGATTGGCTCAAAACCCTAGAGATACGTAAATCCAGACAAATAGAGATTGTTTGATCATACCAAGACAAATGATGAAGGTCTAATTCACATAAACCATCCAGATATTCCCCTAGGAAAATCAATAACCAAGAGATTGTGTTATACCTGTGTTTCAAGAGCTGGGTCAAGGAGAGAGGAGGAGGAGAAGAAGAAGAAGAAGAGTGCTTTAGGATTGTGAAGGGAATGAGAATTTTTGAGAAGATGATTTGTGTTCTTTGTCTCTTCTTCTGCTGGGGACGGGGAAACAAATGGGTTGATTGCCAAAAATGGCTGTCGTCGCTCCAACTCATATTCCCCTCTGTTTCATTGTGGCATATTAAAACCAATTCCCGCGTTCTGTTTCATACTAAATATTTTTTCGTTACCGTATTAGTTTGTTATCAAATAACACTATAAGGCCCGTTTATATAAAAGGCCCATAAGCGCTCACGGCCCAAACAAAGCTCATACGGATTTGGTACAGCTTGAAAGTCTGACATGTGGCCAAGTGAGATTGTCGACGTGCCTCCCTCACGTATAGACGTGACCGCGATGAAATACACACACAAAATATATTCACTCACGAGAACATCAATCATTTTGTATATACGATATGCATAGGACAATACATGTATCATGTATATACTATCTATTGTTCAAATTCATTTAATCCAACTAACCAAAGAAAAAATGTATTTTACCTGATTATTGATATATAGTTTCCTCTTTGAAATACACGAATCGAATGTCCATTTTTTTAGATCCCCCTTCAAGTATCTGCATGCATATATATAGACCATTTTTTTGGGTTTTTTTTTCAATATAAATATAAACCATATATATATATAGTATACTGTTTCAACCAATAAAAAAAACTTTACGATGATTGTCAATTTATCGATCGGAATCTTTAAACACAAAACATACTTTTTTTTGTTGGAAATAATACCCACATAATCAGAGCATATGTTAGTCGACAAAAAAAAAAAAAAAAATCAGAGCATATGTTGTTGCATGCCTCTCTGTACAAAATATTATACAGTTATGTTTTTACTTTAGGCATATAAATAATAATTCGACAGGTCAAATATACGAGCTGTATACTTTTATACATGGTGATCACTATCTTAAACAAACGACCGGTCCATATAGTCCTTGCAAACACACTCCCAAGAAATATCGATCAGGAATGTAAAAGGCATGAGCGGTTTGCATATTGCTTAATAATTCTTGTAATTCAGCTGGTTCGTACATAGAGTCAAGTTATATTTTAGTGAAAACTTTTGCATATAATTTTTCAACCTATAGTGTATTAGTTAAGGGGGCTTAATTACATGGATCAAAAGCGGCCAACCATCGCCGGCGATGAGGAGATGGCGGCGGAGAAACCGTTAAAACCAGCACTCCAGAAACCACCGGGGTTCCGCGATCAACAGAATCCACCACCTGGAACAACAACAACGCCGCTTCCACGTCGCCGTCCGAGGCCTCCTATCCATCCGGCGTCACTCTACCCTGATGAGAAGAAACGGCGCTGTAGTTTCTGCCGTGTTTTATGCTGCTGCGTTTGTATCTTCCTCGCCGTGATTCTCCTCCTCATCCTCGTCGCCGTCGCTGTTTTCTTCCTTTGGTACAGCCCGAAACTCCCCGTGGTCCGCCTCGCCTCTTTCAAAACCAGCAACTTCAACTTTTCCAGCGGGAAGTCCGACGACGGATGGTCGTCTTTGACGGCGGATGCAACAGCCGTGCTCGATTTCAGAAACCCTAACGGAAAGCTAAGGTTTTACTACGGAGATGCTGACGTGGCTGTGACCCTCGGCGAGAAAGACTTTGAGACTAACCTAGGGTCAACGAGAGTCAAAGGCTTCGTTGAGAAGCCAGGGAATCGGACGGCTGTGATTGTCCTGACGAGGGTGAGAAAACGACAGGTGGATGATCCGACGGCGAAGAGGCTACGGACAGAACTGAAGAGTAAGAAGCTGTTGGTGAAGGTGACGGCTAAGACTAAGGTTGGATTGGCTGTGGGCAGTCGCAAGATTGTTACTATGGGAGTTAGTCTCAGATGTGGAGGCGTTAGATTACAGACGCTTGACTCGCAAATGGCCAAGTGCACCATCAAATTGCTGAGATGGTAAGTACAGATTATTTAATCAAATACTCTCCCCAACTTAGATAAATTTTGCTAGATATATGAAGCATATAAATCAATCAACACAGAAAAAGTAGATAAATCATAATTAATGGTACGTTCACTTAAGAAATTATTGACAAAGCCATTTGATTGGATTGCAGGATCAAACTGCGGTCTTGATGCAACGGTGTCTTTTTTGGCTGTGCCTCTCAAATGCATAAAACAAATCAAAACCATAGAGTTATACCAGGAATATTTATGGCCTTTTACATTTAACTTGTCAAATATCTTATGCAAACCATTTTTATTATTGTGTAATATACATCAACTTTTATATATCCACTCATGCATGATCATTATGAGTGGGTTGAGTTATGTATTTGACATCTAAAATTCAAAAACAAATTTCGTTAAAGGAAAAGTTCCAAATTATTCTTCCATGTATGTCTTCTAATTTTCAAAATGTCAACGTCGAATTATGTCTCTATAACTCAACAGATAGTACAAGGGGAAAAAATCCTATAAACTTTACTTTTCTGATCTGATTATAATTAAATTTGATGCCAAAAAAAAAACATATAATTGGTTAATTGATAACTTAAGTAACTAAAACGGTTAATTCTTATTTTGGGATAAAGGGAGATAATATGATAATTGTAGGTAGGAATATAGCTTATACCCAACACTGTTAGTAGCTTTAAAACGGGACAACAGCAACCGCATTTGTTTCATAACATACGATGAATTCATTTGTCGTTCGGTAACGAGTGGAACAAACAACAAAAATATAAACAAATAAAAAGACAAACGAAGGGGGCAGATATAATAGTGCTTGGGACAAGAGACCGCTCTATAATGCGCGTTTGTTATTAGAAACCAATTTAAGCAAATTACAATTTCCACAAATACCGCATCTGTCCGTACCATCTCAACTAGAAAATTTCTTGAGAAACAAAATTCAATCATTTCCTGTAATACGACGATCTGAGTCTACAATCTCGAGAGGAGGCGTTGTATGAGTATAATAATTCATAATTCACATTCCAAACGCTCTGGGTAAAGTTGAAGGTGGTGGGAAATGGAGCAATTCCGAGAGATAGGAGAGGTGTTAGGAAGCATAAGAGCGTTAATGGTGTTCAAGGACGACATTCAAATCAACCAGCGTCAATGCGCTCTACTACTCGACCTCTTCATCGCGGCCTACGATTCGATTTCCCGATCCATGCGATCTAATCTACGCTTCAAAGAGAAGAACACCAAATGGAAGATTCTAGAACAGCCCTTTAGGGAGCTTCTATGGGTGGTAAGAGAAGGGGAGGCTTATGTTAGAATGTCTTTAGAGCCTAAACTTGGGTTTTGGGCTAAGGCTATCCTGTTGCATTCCAATAGAGATTGCAACGAGCTTCACATACATAACTTACTCTCTTGTCTACCGATCATTGTCGAGGCTATCGAGACAGCGGGTGAGGTTTCTGGCTGGGATGAAGAAGAAATGAATAAGAAGAAGTTGGTACATTCTAACAAGTATATGAAGCAATGGAATGACTCTCAGATGTTTACCTGGAAGTTCGGGAGAGAGTATTTGGTGACAGAGGATTTCTGCAACCGGTTCCAGAGTGCTTGGACAGAGGACCTTTGGATTTTAATCAAGGAGCTTCAGGAGAAAAGGCAGCCCGGTTCAAGCAAACATGATCGAAAAATGGCTGATTTCCTTTTCAAGAAACTGGGAGATGGAAACGAGTGTCCCAAGCTATTTCCGTCTTCTCTTCTGGTTAGCGCGAAAGATTACCAGGTGAAGAAAAGATTAGGGAATGGAAGTCAGTACAAGGAGATTACATGGTTAGGCGAGAGCTTTGCGCTTAGGCATTTCTTTGGGGATATCGATGCTTTGCTTCCTCAAATTACTCCACTGCTATCTCTCTCCCACCCAAACATTGTATATTACCTCTGCGGATTCACAGATGAGGAGAAGAAAGAATGTTTCTTGGTTACAGAACTGATGAGTAAAACACTAGGTATGCACATCAAAGAGGTATGTGGTCCAAGGAAAAAGAACACTCTCTCCCTCCCCGTAGCGGTTGATCTGATGCTTCAGATAGCTTTGGGTATGGAATATCTTCACTCGAAGAAAATATACCATGGAGAGTTGAATCCATCAAACATCCTTGTCAAATCAAGAAAACTTAACCAATCTGGAGATGGGTATCTGCACGGGAAGATTTTTGGGTTCGGGCTGAATTCTGTCAAAGGGTTCCCTGGTAAAAGTGCTTCTTTGACGGGTCAAAATGAGAATTTTCCATTCATATGGTATTCCCCAGAAGTTCTAGAGGAGCAAGAACAGAGCGGAACTGTAGGAAGCTTCAAGTATACTGATAAATCTGATGTATATAGCTTCGGTATGGTTTGCTTTGAGCTTTTGACTGGTAAAGTGCCATTCGAAGATAGCCACCTGCAAGGAGATAAGATGAGTAGAAACATTAGGGCAGGGGAGAGACCGCTTTTTCCATTTCATTCACCTAGATTGATAACAAACCTGACGAAACGATGTTGGCATGCTGATCCGAATCAGCGTCCCACTTTCTCATCGATAAGCAGAATTCTCCGGTACATCAAACGGTTTCTAGCTTTGAACCAAGAATGCCATAGTAGTAGCCAACAAGACCCGCCCATTGCTCCCCCTGTGGATTACTGTGAGATCGAGACTAAACTATTGCAGAAGCTTTCATGGGAATCGACAGAGTTAACTCAAGTTTCCCAAGTTCCTTTTCAAATGTTTGCATATAGGGTTGTGGAACGAGCAAAAACTTGTAAGAAACATAATCTCGAGACATCTGAATCGGGTAGTGAATGGGCTTCATGTAGCGAGGATGAGGGTGGAACAGGATCAGATGAGCAAGTGTCATTTGAGAAGGAAAGAAGACTACCATGCTCAATTGATGTTGGTATGAGCAAGAAGCATGCTTCAAAACTTATGAAAAGAGCTTCTGGCCTGAAACCAATTCAAAAAACAGGTGATTCTCAGTAGTCAATACATAGAGGCTCCATATATGTGAACCGTTTTACTATTTCTACTAAAGAATTTAGTTCTACTTGCCTTTGGATTGTGTTCAGGAACTCCCAGAGGACGATCACGACATCCACCACTAAGCCCTTGTGGGCAAAGCATGAGAACGAACTCTGAGAGCCAACTGATATTGATAAGCCCAAAGATACGAAGATCAAACTCTGGTCATGTCTCTGACTCTGAGCTTTCCTAGTCTGCAGAAAACAAAAAAGAAAATCATATACACGACCATAGCAAGTTGAAGATTCTGTTTAAGTCAAGAGAATAATAGAAGAAAGTGTGACACAAACTCCAGTACATAATAAGTGCTCGAAAATGAGAATTCTTTATCTAAAGTTCCTAAAGATAGGCTAGCTCATAGTAGTTCAGACCAGTGACTTATTCAACATTTTTATCTTAGGGAAACAAACATATTAATGAGGCAAGGTCTATGCCCAGCAAGAATGCTGAATTGGAGTATGGTAGACCTGCTCTTTTCTATTATGTGTCAATCACAAAAACAGATAAACCTTATTCATGTAATTCCCAACTGAGAGATGCTGTCTCAAAAAGGGTTATGTGTGATATTTTCAAACAGTATCATTGATCAACTACTACTATGGCTATGGAATTTGGATCACAGAACATAAGAAATAAGGGACAATGTTCCAAATATTTCATCTACTCAATCGTTTGTAGAAATATTTTACAATCCACTGTATAAATCAATCTAACAAAACAAAACAAAAAAATAACAACGGAAGATTCATACTCACCACCAGTGACTAGGGAGAGACTTGCCTATGCCGAGGAGGGAGTAGTTCGAAGAGCCTCGCCAATTTCAATTCCTCCGCCAAGATTAAAACAATCGTCGAAAGGGCCGCCGATTCCGTCACATCCCCTCCGACGCTTTTATATCAATCAATATGATTGTGAGATTACGCAGCAAAAGTGAGACCCTCATTCTAATGAAATTGTTACAATGTTTGCTTCTATTAGAATTTAGGGTTCGTTGATTAAATGATTTATGCACTTAAACCATTATCACTGATTAGCTAGACAACATTATAGGGTTGGAAAAACATCATTAACTATATAAATACACATACGCACACTGAACTTTTTAGTGAAGACTGAATACAACAAAACTTGGGTATTCTTTTGATCTTAGACAATTTTTTGGGCTTAACGGTCCGAAATCCAGACATATAAATTGTGGTTTAAATACGTTTTATGATTTTAATATTAACGGAGTCGACAAATCTCACCGAGCAAGTTGAGTTATATACTAGTTGGATAAAAATAAACAAATTACAAGCCCGTATAACATATGTCGTTAGTACGCACCCCAAATAACAATTCCAACAGCTACAACACAATTCTAAACTTTTAAAGATGATGATGAATGATGATGGTCATAAACTCATAATAGTGACAGAGAATTTGTTTTCCTTCTCTTTCGTTATAAAAGAAAAAATTCGGTTATACTATTAAGCATTGATTTGGTTTTATAAACTCAATAAACAAAGCTGTGAGCTACACATAAAAGTTATGAGCACGTCTTGGAACATGGCACACCATCTACTTTATATATATATAGTATTTATGCATCATCATCAATATATACCTACTCAAACACTAAATCCTCCATGCTTCATGAATACTGTGTAATTACATAGTTCAAGTATTGTTGTTGTTGTTTTGGACAAGACACAAGATAAATCGGCGTTTTAATGTTCAATGCAAATAATTAATCGTTTTGGAATTTAGTTGATTAATCTTATGTAGTCCTAAATTTCGTTGCACAAATAAGAGGGGAGAGTTCATATATATACATATTTTCTTTTTGTTGGACGTCACGTTATCTCTTGGTCAACTTGACCTGGTAAGACTCATATAGTTTTCTACATTATCTCTCTCTCTCTATGTCCTTAAATTATAAAATTCTGAAAAATACCAAATCCTAAAATTTCCAAAGTCTGTTTTGTTCGATCTTCTTCTTCTTCTTCTTTTTACGCAGTAGTTAGTGGTAGAACAGATTCCCGGGAAAACGAAGCAGCAAATTGCAAGAAAACTATAGCAACAGTTTTTGTTTCCCTTTTAAGCTTTCCAGTTCAAACTCTTTTGATTATTTTATTTTAAATTCACTCTTTTGAAATTTTCAATAGCTGTTTCTAATATTAAAAAAAGTTGGCTGCGTCAAAGAGATTAAAGCTTGTTAAATTGATTCTCACCGGAGAACAACAACAACATTGCCTCAAAAAAACCCCTTTCTCCTTTAACCTAGTCCTGGAGATATTAAAAGCTCCTCTTCTTCTTCGAGGTACGTTTGATTTTGCTGTCTAATATTTCCCGTTAGAATGTTTGATAAATCGTTGAAATTTGTATTTGAAAGATTAAGAATTGAATTGATAAAATTCGGATTGTTATTTCAGTTGCAGTTGCAGTTCAAACAAGCAAAAACCCTAGAAGCTTCCGATGAGGACGAGCGGTGACGTTAACGGAGCAGATGCTGGCTCTTCGAGAAGTGACGAAGAAAAAGGGTTTAAGGAGGAGCCCCATGATTCATCGAATACACGACCTGGGGGCTCTCAGAGATCCTTCAATAGCTTGAGAAAAGAGGAAGAGACTGATTCAGATTCTTCTTCTAAGAACACCACCAGAAACAAATCAATTCACTACACCGATCAACAACAAGCCGAGCTTCTCCGGAAGCTTGATTCCATCAAAGATCATCTTCTCCGTGGTGGAGGTAATGCTAATGTGGTTGATCAGCCACCACCACCTATGGGTTTCCATGGACCTCCTCCTTATTACAACCCATACCCTGAGCCATTTCCTTATGGAATGTATCCGACCACGAGTAACCCTCCTTATAGAGACCCTTATGGATTCCCAATGCATAGGAAACCTCAAAACTTCTATCCAGGACCAGGTCGTTACCCGAATCAGATGCTGCCTCGTCCTCCATATCCTCAAGGTCAGTATGTAGATATTGGTCCTGATATATTTGACCCTCAGTTACAGGATCCTAGATTCTTTCCGGCTACACCCAGTAGGTACAGTGATGTTCCATATAGCCCTGTTGTGCACCACGGTGAGAAAATAGGACCTTTTAGTCCACATAGTGGTGTTCATCATCACACGAGGTGGCCTAGTGAAACCGATTCTGAAACGGCTGCTGCTGCTTTTGCTCGTGGGTATGTCCAAAAAGCTGTCTCAGATGCTGATTCCCGTCGTTGCCATCCTTTAGCAGGCGGTGCGCCTTTTATTGCTTGTCACAGTTGCTTTGAGCTGCTCTATTTGCCTAAGAAGAAGCTTCTTTGTCAGGAAAAGCAACGAAAGCTGCAGTGTGGTGCTTGTTCTGAGGTTATCAGTTTCACGTTTGTTGATAAAAAGCTTGTTTTCTCTTCTTCTGCCCCTGCCGAAACTAGTAATCTACATTCTGTAGACGTTGATGATAGAAGCGTACCAAGCGCAGTGGTAGATGATTATCCACTCAAGGATGAGGAACCAAGAATTCACCAGGAAATGAAACTTGTCCATGCTGTATCTCCTAGTGAACACTCAGACGATGAAGAGAGAGCAAGCATTTCTAGTGAACCCCAAAAACAGGTTGTCAAGTCTGTTCGCCGCAGAGCACAAGGCGCAAAAGTTCCTCCTCCACCTCCTCCTGAAAATTCCAATCTTCTCGAGCTCTTTGAGTATTCTAATGTAAACCGAGCTGCAATCACTTACGGAATGGCCCAGCTAGGATACAATAAGCAAGAATCCTACGCGAAACAAGATTCGCTGAAACCAGAATCAGTAGCTACTGAGACTGATGTTTCTTATAATGAGTACTATAATAACACCGAGGTGTCTGAAGATTCAAGGATCTCAAAAACCAGCAATGAAGAGAGCAGACCAAGAAACAGAAAGCAGAGTAATGAGTACGGTTTCCCAGAGGTCACAAATAAAAACATCTCTAGTGACCAAAACAACGAGCAGTTAGAGGTTTGGGTGAATGGGCATCTGATACCGGAAGATCTAGTTATTAGCGCTGAGAAACAAGCTGGACCAGTTCAAGCGGGAAAGTACTGGTATGTTTTGGTCACAATTTGATTTATTAACTACAAAAGATTGATCAGTTGCTGAAGAGATCATCTTTCTGTTATGGTTCTTATTAGGTATGATTACCGTGCTGGGTTCTGGGGAGTGATGGGACACCCTTGTCTCGGTATAATACCAGTAAGAGCATTTACAAACCTTGCATTTATTTGACTTTCAATACCGGATTCTCTGCTCTGTTTCTCGTAACTTATGTATTTGATGTTTGATGAAGAATTATTGGTTGATGCAGCCATTCATTGAAGAGTTTAGTCGCCCAATGCCAGATAACTGTGGTGCAGGAAACACAAGTGTGTTTGTAAATGGAAGAGAGCTTCACGAGAGAGATCTAGAGTTACTTTCAGGTAGGGGTCTGCCTGGAGGCAAGAACCGTGCTTACATTGTTGATATATCAGGAAGAGTTCTTGATGGAGACTCTGGTGAAGAACTGAAGAGTCTTGGCAGATTAGCTCCAACGTAAGCACAACAAGTCATAGTAATAAAGATTTAGATCAAAATGACTTTAAGTTGATTATGGGAAAATATATTAACTGAATGGTTGAAATCTGAAACAGGGTTGACAAGGTTAAGCATGGATTTGGGATGAGAGTGCCAAGATCATTAGTGTCATGAAGCTTTTTATTTCAGCCTCTCTGGTGCCAATCTTGGATTACAATGTAAACTGTACCTGTGATATAACAACATCATTGCTTATATTCTGCTGACCCATAAGTGCTTTTCTTGTTTTTGTCTTAAAGATAACCATTTTTTTTTTGTTGGGTGATCTGGTTTATGTAAATTGATCATTTTATTTATTTATTATTATTGTGGATAATCAAATCTTTGGGGAATGAAATAATATTTGTTTGAATTTTGTGAAAAAAAAAAAAAAAAAAAAAAACAGTGAACACAGTAGATGTTTTATATATAGATCTGCCATCCAGGCTGTATACCTTACCTGTCCGTTTTCAAGATCCAAAATCAACTTCAAGTAAGACGGGCCTACGTAGCAAAGATTTTAGCCCATTGAATAATTTATTCAGTATGGGCCTCGCTGGTCGTAGTTTTTAATTATTTCTTAAATATTTCAAAATAAAAATAACAATCGATGGTCCCAATAATTTGCATAAAACGACTAATTCATCTCTAAAGTACTAATTCTAGATTGTAGAACGTTTAAAGCAAGTATTTTATATATCGTGGATATTAACGAGTACAATAACATCTATGATTCGACGTCGTCTAAAAAAAAAAAAAATGTATTATTTCGTTTTGATTAAGTGATTCGACGTTTAATTACATTTGTAAACATGAATTAGATACCTTTTTATAGAGATTATTTTTAGGTGAGGTGCGAGAGATGTCTCTATCCATCTTTGTTTAGTTGAAAAATGAGAGGGAGAGATGTCTCTATCTGTCGTTTGCTCCTCATAAGTTAATCAATGAATAGTTAAAAATACTGTATGCCCATCCTGAAGTGACATCTAGCCTATTCTTTTATCGGCTTTTCGTTTCACAATTTTGTACTTTCCTTCAAATCTCTGTTTTATTTTTATAATACAAAACTGAATCACACACATTCCATTAAAAAAAATAGACTCAACTATCTATTTCTTACTTAAGTAATTTTTAATCTTATAAAAGTACTAAAGACTATGTTTCTATGTATTATTTTCAGTTAATGGAGATAATTAATGGTATTTATCAGCATGTCTCCGTATATCATCAATGGCTTAAATCTTAATCATTTGGCTTAAAGAGACAAAACATACTCTTCCCTTTACAATTTGTATCTTTAAAAACAATTGAGGATGCCTTTAATCATTAGCGTTTTCTTTCTTATCAATCTTTCCACAAACCTCTTTAATCAAGCCACGACCGACACAACAAAGTAGAAACAATTCAAAGAAAAAAAAAAGAAAGAACGAGTTAAATTATTACTAATGTACATGTTTTATTAGTAAGTAGTATAGTTTTGACAAGAAAAAAAAAAAAACAGAATCCACTCTGTCTTGTGTTTAATTACAGTGAAGTTCTCTCCTCCTCGCTTTCAACGCCATCCAAAAACCTCCAAGAAAGCTAAATTATTGAGAAAACATATCAACATCATCAATTCAACCCCCAAAAACCTTCTCACTCTATCTAATTATAGCTTCGAATGGATTCACTGAGGTTATTGTCTAAGAACATGAAGATTGAAGGAAACCCTTTTGGTTCTTCTCACCAACGCAATCAAATTTTCCTCAAATTCGTCGCTTTCTTCCTCTTGATCGGTCTCGCTTACCGTTTCATCGTCACTGATTCCACCGTCTCTCCGGTTGCGCAAGTTCAAACCTCTCCGCTGGATCCTTCCGGTCTCACTCCCATAGCTCAAGCTCCAGCCTCCCTTGACTCCCCTGGAAACTTCACTACCACCACCATTGCTTCTCAAAATGGTAAGAGGCAATCTTTTGTATCCATCTTCTGTTTATTAATTAGTCCCATTTTCGAGTGATCAATTCAATTGAGTAAGATCCAAGCAACGTCGATTAAATTTGGGGTTTTTTCATCCAATCGTATAAAAACCCTAACTTTATCCCCAAAAAAAAGTGATTTTTTCCATGGATTATGCTCACCAAGTGTTTGATTAATTCTCTGTCTAAAAACCATTGTAGTTACCAGCAAGTGTGATATCTTTACTGGGAATTGGGTACCAAACCCATCAGGCCCAGTCTACACCAATGTCACTTGCCGTCATATCCAAGATCACCAGAATTGCTTGAGAAACGGACGCCCAGATGTGAACTACCTTCTATGGAGATGGCAACCTCGCGACTGCGATCTCCCGAGGTTTAATCCTGAGCAATTCCTCGACAAAATGAGGAACAAATGGTGGGCTTTTATCGGTGATTCCATCTCTCGCAACCACGTTCAATCCCTCATCTGCATCCTCTCTCAGGTACAGTTCAATTTTTTAATCTCTGGTTTGATTCTCTAGTGCCTGTGGAGTTCACCTTGGATCTGATGATGTAAGATTCGTTTTAGGTAGAAGAAGTAGAGGAGATCTACCATGACAAGGAATACAGATCAAAGATTTGGAGATTCCCTTCTCACAACTTCACACTCTCTGTCATTTGGTCTCCTTTCCTCCTAAAAGCTGAAACCTTTGAGAACGTCAATGGAGTTTCTTTCTCAGACATTCAACTCCACCTCGACACGTTAGACCAGAAATGGACAGATCAGTACATCAACTTCGACTACGTTGTCATCTCCGGTGGCAAATGGTTCCTTAAAACATCAATCTTCCATGAAAACAACACCGTATCCGGATGCCATTACTGCCAAGGGAAGAACAATCTGACAGAGCTCGGTTATCTTTACTCGTACCGAAAAGCTCTACGTTTGGTTTTAGACTTTGTTGCTGAACCAACACATAAAGCTCAGGTTCTGTTCAGAACAACAACACCTGACCATTTCGAGAATGGAGAGTGGAACACTGGTGGTTTCTGTAACAGAACAATGCCGATTACGGGCAGCGAAGGAGAGATGAAGAACGAGGATGTATCAATGCGTGATATCGAGCTCGAAGAGTTCCATAAGACATTACAAGAAAGTTCCAATTCCTCCAAAAACATTGGATTACTTGACACAACTTCGATGTCGCTTCTCCGGCCAGATGGACATCCAGGACCATACCGGTACCCGATTCCTTTCGATGGGGTACAGAACAATGAGGTGAATCATCAGATTCAGAACGATTGTCTTCACTGGTGCTTACCCGGTCCGATTGATTCATGGAATGATCTAATGGTGGAAGTGATGCTTAACCAGGAACGTCACAGATGACGGAAAGACGAGAATAGCCTCGACGCCGTCACGTGTTATCCTTGTTTTTTCTTGTACAAAAGCCCATTTATTTATTGGACCTTATTCAGTATATCCAAATAGAAGCACTGTCGTTTTTGATGTGGGAGTTAAAACGCCGTGTCGTTTTTAATATGAGAGCTGACACGCCGTGTCGTTTAACTTCCGAAATTACACCTTTGAACTCAAATGAAATATAAATTGAAGGGTCGTTTTACGGACCAACCAGAAAGACTCAAGAACAGCAGACCCATAGAAATCTATACAGCCAACAAAACAATGATTTTACATATTATCCCTCTCTTCTCAACTTAAAACGTTGAAGTGAAACTTGTTAATAAATTATCAATTAAAAATAAATAATCACGGGACCTTATCGCCGTTATGTTTTCCGTTAAATATATACAGTATATATACAGCACGAGAGACGTCCTGATTTGTTTCCGTTTGAACTCTGTTTTTAGTTTTTGTTTCCCCCTCTTCTCATCTCGAGCGAGCAAGCATCGTCTTCGTCTCCCAAAGCAGCAGTGATTAGCGAAGGTATGAGCATCGTCTTCTCGATACAACTTAGGGATCTGCGTGCGTTAACATGTCGCCTAGAGTAAAGTTTGAATCTTTCTTTGATTGTGCGTTATCATCTTCGTTTGGCGGGAAAACTGAGACTTGCTTTGATATCTTAACTCTTTAGTGACTGAACCGGTTAGTTTATCATCGGAATCTTGGCTTCTTCTTGATCAATTTTACGTTATCGGGTTTGCTTATTTATTCAAGTCGTCGTTGAATCTCTTTTGGTAGAGATTATTATGCCTTCATCGTCAGAAATCTTGGCGGTTGTAATGGTGATCTTGATTGCAAAAATTTAGGTTTCTCATATTCTTCCTCTTCTTCTTTTCCAGGTGTAATGGACAAAAACAAGACAATTATGAGGAACGAGGCGGATGACGAGACGCCAAAACAACCAGATGGTAACTCAGGTTCCGACTTAACATTTCTATTTTTCTGTATCCTCCAGGAATCATTCAACCACTTCCTTGTGTTCGTTCATCGTGTAGAATCTGCCTCTGCATCAGCTCCCCATGGGTCTGACGAAACACCAAAGCAGAGTACCCAAACAGTAAGGTTTCTTGCTTTTCTTTGGTATTCTCCAAGTTAAATATTATCACGATTCACGAATCGTACATATAACAACTTCTTCTAGCTCTTTCACGAATCGTACATATAACAACTTCTTCTAGCTCTTTGTGTATAATCAGGGATCACCACTTCTTCCGTTACAAGAATCCCCCAGCCGTAAAGAAGATTGTCCTAAGCGAACTGGCCTAATTCACACCAAAAAGGATCTGAGGACATCTTATCTCGAAGCTCTCAAAGCCACCCTTGGTTCTACGTCAAAGCAGAGTGCCCAAATCAACAAGACCAGGTCCATGGTAAGGTTTCATTCCTAAATCTTTATGTATTCTCTCAACTACTTATTCTGCAGAGTCAAATAACTCAGGCACTTGTTTGTGTTTGTTCATCTGCAGGATCTACAAGATCCGCTAGACTCTGTCCTCCCAAAATGTGAAAGCAGACTGCCAGTTTTCAAATACCTTTGCTCGGGTAAACCCTTTCCTTGGCATGGAACAGAGACGGATGAAGAATCCGTCTTCTGTTATCATCAGAATCCAGGGGGTGATGTAAGTGGATCTAAACACAATTTTCCATGTGTGATTGAGCTTTTTGTTTCGAAAACCAGCAAGTCACGTCAGTAATATTACTCTTTGTGTAACCATCCTGCAGAGGCTCAACTGTCAATTATGTTATCCCATCCCAAGTCGAGAAAGACAAAGCAAAAAGGAGCTGAGAAACGCTCACCTCAGCTTCTGATGGTAAATGGCAAGATGATTAGATCACAGGACATGATCAGGATCACTCAGCTTTGGATGACAACCTTCTTTAAACAGCGCCAAGGGTACATTCTGGCCATTAAAAAAAAAAACTTCTTTCTCCATCATCCATCAGACTTTACAGCTTTGCATAGCTAGTATTGTATAGATTTCTTAATTACAGATTGGTACACAAAGTTTATATTTTTAAGTCAAATGCATTCTCCCATAGATGTATGAATCCAAAACATGATGCTTCGTTAGGTTTGGTTTGCCTTTTCTGCATTACACAAAACAAGTTATCTTTGTTTTCTTTAAACTCTGTTTTAAGCTTTACATGGAAAATTAAGCACGTGACAGATACGCGTGGGCTATGCATGGCTTTTATAAATTTTTATAGAGGCCAAGTATTTTATGTTTTAACCTTCAATCGCAGAATCGCCATCGTATAAAAACTTTTACCGACCAACTCTAATAGAGTCCACACAAAACGAACAAAAGAAAAAGGAAAGAATAAAAAAAAGGAAATTCCCAAAGAACTTGAAGTTATAACCACGAGAATGATCTATAAAGCTACTACGTACCATAAATGGAAAGGAATGAGCATAAATATTTCTCAAGAGAAAACAAAGAAAGAAAAAAGCCTAGACTTCACACTCTTGATTCTTGCTTTAATGGCGGAAGCCAACATTAAACATGTAGCAATCATACCAAGTCCCGGAATGGGTCACATCATCCCATTCGTCGAGTTAGCAAAACGACTAGTTGATGAGCACCACTTGTTCACCGTCACATTGATCTTCTCCGGTGAATCTTCGCCATCTAGGGCACAAAGATCCGTCCTCAACTCTCTCCCTTCCTCCATAGACTCCGTATTTCTCCCTCCCGCCGATCTTTCCGATGTTCCCTCAACGGCACGACTAGAAACTCGGATCATGCTCACCTTGACACGTTCCAATCCAGCGCTTCGAGAGCTTTTTAGCTCCTTATCAACGAAGAAACGTCTCCCTGCTGTCCTCATCGTCGATCTCTTTGGTACGGATGCGTTCGATGTGGCCGCTGAGTTCAACGTGTCACCATACATTTTCTTTGCATCGAATGCTAACGTCTTGTCGTTTTTTCTTCACATGCCGAAACTAGACGAAACCGTGTCGTGTGAGTTTAGGTACTTAACCGAACCGGTTGAAATTCCTGGCTGTGTCCCGATGACCGGCAAGGACTTTCTTGATACGGTTCAAGACCGAAACGACGACGCATACAAAAGGCTTCTCCATACCACTAAGAGAAGCTAAAGGGATTCTAGTGAATTCCTTCGTCGATTTAGAGCCGAATGCTATTAAGACTTTACAAGAACCGGCTCCTGATAAACCACCGGTTTACCCGATTGGACCGTTGGTTAACACAGATACATCTGATGTTAACGTGAAAGACGAGGAGTCCGAATGTTTGAATTGGCTAGACAACCAACCATACGGCTCGGTTCTATATGTATCATTTGGAAGTGGCGGAACACTCACGACAGAGCAGTTCAATGAGCTTGCTCTCGGTTTAGCGGACAGCGAAAAACGGTTTATATGGGTCATACGAAGTCCAAGCGGAATAGCTAGTTCGTCGTATCTCAATCCACACAGCCAAACCGACCCATTTACATTTTTACCACTTGGTTTCTTAGACCGAACCAAAGAAAGAGGTCTAGTGATTCGGTCATGGGCGCCGCAGATTCAAATCCTAGCTCATCCATCCACATGTGGGTTTCTAACACATTGTGGATGGAATTCGATTCTAGAAAGCATTGTAAACGGTGTGCCACTCATAGTGTGGCCTTTATTCGCGGAGCAAAAGATGAACGCCTTGCTACTCGTGGAGGATGTTGGTGCCGCTCTAAGAGCGCAAGCGGGTGAAGATGGGATCGTAGGAAGGGAAGAAGTGGTGAGAGTGGTGAAGGGACTGATGGAAGGAGAAGAAGGAAAGGCCATAGGGAATAAAATGAAGGAGCTGAAAGAAGGAGCTGTCCGAGTCTTGGGTGACGATGGGTTCTCCAACAAGTCCTTTGGTGAAGTTTTGGTAAAGTGGAAAGCCCACTAGAGAGAAAACAACCAAGAGACGTCTCATTAAATGGTACACACTTTGTGAGTTTGAGCTATACTATGCGCGTTATGCTATAATAATAATCTGGTTCAAGGAGTCACCAACATGTATAATAAACTGTAATTTGACATTGTCAGAATCCAAATGATCTACAACTACTGTAACCTTTCATCTGTTTACCAGATTAGGTTTATCTTCCAATAGTTGTTTAATATGATAATAAATGTTTGTATGATGCACTTGTAATAAGTTCTAATCAAGTCTGTATATTTTTTTTTGGATCTTCTTACACAAAACGGGTTTTATCACTTGCCTAAATTGTATATGGCCTTTTTGTTAAGGCCCAACATATATTATTGTGCCTTAGTGTTAGTGCTGCAAATTACGGTGTATGTATATCTTTACAATTTTCACTTATTAAATAATTGATCTTAAGTTAATTTAAATTTATGGTTGATTACAAATATAATCTTCAAATTAGTAAAAGTTCCGTTCGTGGTTTTGTTTTAATCAAATAACTAAGAAGATACACAACATGAAAACACGAGAAATACAACTACTACTCCAAATTTCACGAACAAAACTGCAGAATCACCAACGAATTGAGGATATTTATATATGTATATATTTCATTTCTTCTTCTTCTTCTTCTTTTTTCTTCATTGTTTTTATTATAAAAATGATTTTTCTTTTTAAAGAGTTGGCGGCCATCAACGTAATTGAGATCTTCGATGGTTCTTCATCACCCAAAACCTCTCGATCTCTTCTGCTGTTCTTCCTGGAATCCTCCCAGCTATTAAATCCCACCTTTACAAACAATTTTTTTATATATATTAAAGATCTTTAATTCACGAAAGATTTAACTTAAAATTTAATTAAGACCAAAAAAAAAAGAGAGAGAGAGAGAAAGAATCTAGAAAAAACCTTTCACCGACGAGCTTATACATCCTGCAAATCAAGTCATCTTCTTCTTGAGCCATTGCTATTTCTTCCCACTCGAGACTGCTCACTTCTGTTCCACGTCATCAAATTCCACATTTTATCACCAATATAAAACATTAAAAAAACAGAAAACGACGGCGTATTAAGGTTTTGTTTAGCTGAGAAAAATCATGTACCTTGATCAGAAGAAGAGGCAACAATGGTTGTTGGATTGGTCTTGAGATGCTTCGGCTTACGCTGCGTATCCATTTATCTCAAAAGACACCTTCCTATACCAAGATTTACGATCGCACCTTGCAATTTTGTATCAATCAATACGGTTTGGTACGATTTAAGGTAGAGCGAAAGAGAGAGAGAAGGGAGTGATGGATTTTAAGGGGGAGGACATGAAGCCCCCTTCTCTATTTATAGGGGTTGATTCTCACGACCGGTTTGGTCGGTTTCCACATTAAGGAATCATGTATGTAATATACCGTACTTTATTTTCCTTGAAATCAGATTTAACTTGAAAGAAAAATTAAAAGAATCTTAACTATTTATTGTTTATTGATTAATTAAACTGCAACTTATTGGTGGCTTACAGTTACAGTGATGTATGGCAGTATATATGTGTGCAATGCTTTGAGGGGATTTGTATAGTTGATTTAAGAACCATATAACAACCAATACAAGAAATGTTTCATTACATCATTTACTCCGTCATGTTCTTTGTCTAATTGCTTTTTAATAATGATACTACTTGCCTTCACTTGGTTTTGTTTTAAAACCATAAGTATATACTTAAGTAATTTAGTTGAGATTAAATCAACTATGTTACCGATGTTTGTTAGTGGTTGGTTATTATACACACGTGTGTATCCAGCTATCGGCGGAAAAAATTAAATTAAAATACACTACAGTATGTCTGAAAATCCTAAGCTATGGTATAGAGATTGTGTGCATTAGAAAGAATCACTTACTAATTTTAAGTAACATTTATTTATGGATTCCAAATTTCCAATCTAATAATATGAAAACAAAATTTATTTTATTTTCAGTTGAATTAAATTCTCAAATTTAATGAAATATACTGTTAGAACTATAAAAGAAGAGTTGAAAGTTTGTTAGGGTTGAATAATAAAAAATGAATTATTAAACGTAGAGTCGTGGATATTCCAATTTATTCCCCACATTAATTCACATCTCAATAATTTTTATTACAACGAATGCTTTCTTTTTTTTTTTTTTTTTTTGTTCGGTTTATGTCTTACTTTTAAAGGTTGAGCCAACAACGTACTTTTGATCACTACTGAACAAACTATGCAGTTGCAACTGAACATGACACGTGGATTTTATATTTGTTGGGACCATCGCATGATTCATGACGGACGCTGCTTGAGTTTTTAATAATAATAATATGTTAATTTTTCCATTTTATGAGTTTTTTTTTAACGAATGAAAGGATTAAATTGTTGGGACCATTAATGCATGATTCATGGTTTTTTTTTTTTTTTACATTTATAAAAGGTTAACCTCGATGATTTTTATACTTTGTTTTTGTTTCGATCTGGGCATCTGCAATGAATTTTTACGAATGTACAGAGAGATCATAAAGGATGTACAAAATTAAAACAAAAGAGGCACTACTACTACTACTACTACTATAAAGGGACCAAAAAGATGGAGGAGAAAAACTTATAAAAGAGTTGACATTGATACAAATATAATAATTACTACCAAATTCGAAATTCGAGCTTTTAAAAAGTTTTACATTATCAAACGGTAGCATTAACATCGGACGGTAATGTTTTAATGACAACATTATGATGATCTCACAAAAATGCTTTATGCGAATAATCACTAATAGAAATCGAGAGTATATGAGTTATTAAAATTCGAAGTGCTAAGGATATCTCAAACTTTTTAATGTGCCTTTTAAAAGTTGTGTAGCTTGGGAATCCAATCCATCCATTAGCTAGAGATAGATATATTTCTATTAAGCCCTCTATAAACACATGTTCTTTCAAAATCATCCGCTCTAAATTAATTTTATTCAATTTAGGACTGCCCCTTCTAAGACTGAAGCACTGAGCCGTCACTGACGTTTCGAGTTGCTATTTGCTAATATACATCCAACTAACTATTGCAAGTTGCAACTCAAGGAGACAAAACAAACAAGAAACACACATAAAGAAAGATGTTTTACAACCTAGATATTGAATCAAACCAAAATCAGATTTCCAGTTATGTTTTGGTCAGATCATCAAGTCGAAAAGAAGGACAAGCGTCACGAGACATAAAGTAGAAGTGAATAATCAATCTTATACAACCTACGACACATTTGTTGTCAACTATTCGGACTTTCACTTACAATGAAAGAGATGTGTTTTTATCACCAGGGTCTGCCTTTTCCTCCAAGCCGGCGTGCAAGGTCAAAGTCTTTTCTCACTGATATCAACAGACAAATATCATATTACATATGTTTTTTTTTTTTTTTTGTAAGCAGTTGTTTAAAGGGGTGCACAAGTATTGAGTATGATTTCTAAACTGCGACTGGAAAATGTCTTCTTTAGGTGTACTTACTTAGAGTAACACGTCTTGCATGGATAGCACAGAGCATTGAATCAGAGAACAAACCAACCAAGAAATCTTCTGCCGCCTGCCCAAACAAATTTACACATTAGATTGTTTTAAGGGAAGATGACATTATCTGTGATGTGTGTGGCTCTCTCTATATATCTATATCTCATATCAAGAAAAAAGTTAAGGGATTGGTACCTCTTGAAGAGCTACAAGAGCTTCAGCTGTCCAACGATTTACTTCCCGAGGGGCCACCGCATTGGTTATACTTCTCACCTGGTAAAAATTATGTAATTAGTTTGATCAAAACACAAACCAGTATTGTAGTTACAGACATCTTATGGTTCTGGATTTATGAGCCAATAACCTCAAAGAAAAACTAGAATACAAGCTCCTAAGGTGGAGTGTTGGGTAGCTGAGGATTGCTCTAAACTATAGTTAAAAAAATGCTATATCACTATGTTCAACTTCACTGATGCTCAGACAGGATCCATGTTGAAAACAAGAAACAAGTACAACGATAATAGATAACAAAGTTTGTGTGGGTGGAGAATCGTGTTGGAAATGGTAAAAAGAGACAAAAGAAGCAAAAGGAAGAGAGAAAAGGAAGGAGAAACTCACTTGTCTGATAAAGGCAGCAGCTGGAATGAGAAGGCTAGTGCCCTTCTGATAATGGCGAATCTCTCTCAGAGCAACGGTTCCTGGCCTGTAACGGTAAGGCTTCTTTTTTTGTGAAGCTACAAGGACACCACGGAGGTTAGGGAGTATAAACACAATAGAAAGAAGTCATGCATTCTGATTTCTAAGGGAGATGACAAGAGATGTTTCAAAAAAATAAAGACTAACCTTGTGGCCTACCAAATCTAGCTCTCTTCGCCCCTTTCTTCACAGACAAATTTTTTTTTAAAAATGAGCACAACGAAAGCAAAGGTTAAGGAGTTGATACACAAGCAATGACCAAAATCTTACCTTTTTAGCAGTAGCAGGTGAAGTTGCAGGAGTTGCTGCAAATGTTACAATAAAGGATTAAAATCTTCACACACATCACAAAACAAACGAGATAGAGTGAGATGAAACAGAGTGTTTATAATCAATATCTCAGAAAACATAAATGACTCACGTTGTTGAGCAGCAGCGTCTACACCTTCTCTGCCTCTTGTTGCCGGGCTCTACAATTTCGATCGATTAAACAAATTAGACAAAATCAAATGAAAATTCGAATGTGGAATTGGGAAAACCTAAAAGAGTAAAAAAAAGATGTCGTACCGAACTGGGACGAGCCGCCTGAGAAGACGAAGCATCTAGAGTTTCAGATGCGAAATAAAATCTAGGGTTAACAGCGGGAAAACAAAAACTCCGAAAAATCGCAATAGGGTGCAAAATCAAAAGAAATAGAAAGAGAAAGCAAGCAGAGATATGAAGAGATACCAGCTGGAGTCCGAGGTCCGGACCTCGTAGCGAAATGCTTTGTTCTCGCCATCAATAATTACTTACTGCCGATGAGAGGTATCTATCAATTAGGGTATAAAATCGCAAAAGCAGAGAGAGATTCTTTAAGAAACGACGAAATCTGCGGTTACTTACTGGGAAACTCACCTGACGAGAGAGCAGGATTTGTCTCTCCCGCTCCACACCAAAAATTGATTTTTCAAGGATTTTGTTTTCCCGCTGTCCCCAAATTTTTGATTTTTAAAATCCAATCTGCTTTCACTACTCTCACAAGAAAAATCGTATCTGCTTTGACCCCAAATTTTTCTTTTTTTTTCTCAATTGTATCATATTTGCACTCTAAACCTGCTACTTCACCAAGAGGGTCCGACTCTTAGCAAAAATGGCCCCCTTCAAGACAAGTGTTTTATTTTTTGGGTGGATGTGATGATGAAGTGATCAGAAACTTGAGAAGAATGGTGACTGATACATGCTACGATGAACCAAACATTGGTCAATAAACTATTTTCCGAGGCGACTTAGTATGTAAAACTCTTGTTTTAGCATCTTTCTTAGTTATGAGGAGAGAATCTCATCTCTTGGAGTAAAATGTTTTGCAGAAAAGTTCATCAAAAGTGAAAATTGAGCATGAGTCAAAACAAGCACCATATATCCCAAATCCAAAGGTTTGGGTGATTGCTCATCACTCATCAGCTCTACACACATCCAAACGATCCAACATAAGAGTAAGCACATAAACAAAACATTTCAATACCATATCTTTTATAAACTACATACATCATATATAAACATAATATTCACATATATGTACATTTTTCTTTTGTTTTTTTTACAAAAGTTATCTACAGATAAAGCAACGGTCATAGAACAACCAGACCAGAAGACATCTTTACAATCAAAACTTCACCATTGGAAAAATATATCTTAATTACCGAGATCATATATATATAGAGAGAGAGAGACCAAAGCCAAAAAGAAGAAACCCTGAAGAATATTATATCACATACTGTAATTGATTCCTTCAAGATCTGAAGATTAGATAATGTCTTGAGAAGCCAGTCTTTCAGAAACATCTGCTAGTGATTTAAGATTGCATCTGATGAGTGCTTCAACGAAGTAGCAAGTCTCGTCCTTTGTGTTACCTTGAGGAACATCAACTACAAAGGATTCGATCACCATTGTTCCTGCTCTGCCCTCTATGATCTCTGGATGTACTGTCACTATCGAAGAGTAATTCTGACAAACCAAAGGAAAACATCATTCAAATTATCCCTCATTCCAAAACCCAAAACCTATGAGATTTGATTTATGGGGATATGATATACCTTGAGTCTGTGATCACCACCAATGATCCTGATACCGAGGATATGTTCATCATCATCGAGAAGTTCTAACCTTTCTGTACTCGTTGTTGCCGGAAGACCAGATTTGACATTTACTTCTCTGAGGCTGCCGATTTCAGGATCACCGATCACTGTACATCTGCTCACGAACGGTTTGTATTTCTGCGGCTGATCAAACCTACGCACCAGTGACCAGACCTGTTGCAATTTTCCAATCCCAACTCGTTAGCTTGTTGAAACAATCAGAGATTTTGGGGGAATTCTCTACAAAACAAAACCCTAAATCGATGGTTGGGGATCAAAATCTGAAATTGAGATGGGATCGAATGTTTAAAGATCAGAGTCAATTAAAAAAAAAAAATATGGAGAGAGGCTTACGAGATGGACAGGAGCTTTGATGTGTTTGACAAGAGCAGAGGTACACTGGTTCTCTCTGCAGTGGTGTTGATGATGTGTCCGTATGTACTGCACCGTCTCGACATCTCCGTAAATCGCCGTGCCGCCTCCGACGTCTTCTTCCATCTTCTCTCTCTATCCTCCGATCAGAATCTTCTTCTCTCTGTCTCTTTCGTTCTTCGCTGTTGCTATCTCTATCTCTATCTCTCTCTCTCTCTCTCTGTCTCGGAGGGAATCTGTGAAAGCGGATTAATAAATAGAAGAAGAAACTAATTAACTTACCAAACCAAAACAAGATGCTTCTTCGGTTTGCAACCAAAAATTAACTTAAAAAACTTTTTTATTTATTTTTGTTTCTTTCGATAATTAATGAACCCACCGACGTAATTACTTTTTCTGTTTTTTGTATTAATTATGTGCCTAATAAACTCTTTTTTGTTTCGTAGCTTCTTCTCCTTCACACATTTTACAACTTTTCAAACCAAAAAAACAAACAAACACTAGTGGTTTTTCTTTTTTAGTGTAACAAAAACAACAAAAATATTAAGCTAATTGTTGTGTATTATGACGTTTTGGGACCTAATCCCAATGAAAAAACAAACATATATGTGTGTTAAACAAAATATTTGTTTTGATGAGGTAAGATCGTTTCCAACTTTATAGATATTTTCTTAAATAAAGTGTGTTTAGACCATAGCTAACTGATTTTTTAAGCTGATATCATGGTACTCTTATGAATTCGTATAAATATATAGATATAGTTTGGTATGCTGGTTGCAGCATATGCTGAGTTATATTCTACATAGTTGCAAGTCATGTAATCATGTTCACTTATACCAAAAGGAAAAGGATAGGTTCGTTGTTGGTCTAATTGAGTGGTTTTAGCTCCATGTACCGGTCCCATATGTATTGTACCATTCAATATTAGCTACTTCTTCTTCTTGTTTACCTTGGATTTAGTCGTTTATACATTAATTGTCTATTTACCACATCTTTTTAGCTAGCTAGGATCGGTCATATATCTCAGAACTTGAATCTGAAATCTATTATAATATGTATTGAAACAAAAGTCCCTATCATACCAAATCTAAGATTTATCAAAAAAAAAAAAAAATACCAAATCTAAGACCACTTAAAAATTCACAATAAACCGTAATTTTATTCATCTCCAAAAGACGTATGAAGTTGCTTCTTCCTCCATCATCTTTGTAAAACCGAAGAGCTTTCACAATCAATGGTGGAATATCTTGATTATTAAACAACGCTAATTACGCTCCCTAACCAGCAACTTATGCATAATTATATATTACACTAAGTGAATTTTACTTTTCTTTCTCAAAAGACTCATGTTCACTTTTTTATTTTTCAAAAGACAAAAAACATTAGATAACTCTACTTAAATGTTTACATTATCTTCTAACATATATAATTATGGTTTAAGGTTTTTCATAAAGAACAATCTTTCGATCTTGTAACCATTTTAACCAACACATATAATCATAACTTAAGTTTTTTTCTTGTTCTGCTTGAATATTATATATCTTATGCTTACAAATCTTATTAATCATCCCAAATTGACGAGACGATAAAAGAGATATTTAAGCTTAAATATACCATAACGCTTCTTGTTCAGTTTGATTTTTTATTTTTATTTTTTTCAGATTTAATGCTAAGTGATAATATGAATACGTAAAGAGTGGTGGTTGGTGATAATTTACGGTAACCTTATCAGATAAAAAATTACCAAAAAAATAACCTTATCAGATAGGATCACCACCTTTGGCACCAGGCAATGCAAACTTCACACAAAATATTACTTTAACGTAATTACAAAAACTGCTCCAGGATACTAGTAGTAGTAATAAATACGACGACCCCTTTTTTTGCGACAACGACGACGCAGCTAAGTATGGTCAAATTATGGAAAATAACGTATACGTGTCATCTCTTTATTGGTTTACTGGCTGACAGTTTCATGTTCACTTATTGTGGCAAATCTCCTGAAAGTGACACGTGTAAATCTACTTTTTTGCTTACTTGGATAACTTTTTTTTGCCGGCCAATAGATTTCTCAAATCTTCTCGTATTTACAAAAACCATTTTAAAACCGCCGTGGAGACCATTAAAAAGACAACATTAAAAAGAACACACACACAATAATGTTGGAGAAAGAGATTCTTCTGATAATGGTGGAAGTAAAAAGTTACGAGTTTATCGTGTCATCACCAGACTGAAACATTCATGGTCTTGGTTTGATCTCACTTTTACCTTTGACAAAAAATGAAAAAAAGGTTTTATATATTTGATGAACCAAACAAGGCCCAATCTATAAAGGCCATCACAATATGGGCTAAATGAGTACAACAAACAAAACAAAAAAAGGGCTTCGGCTTATTAAAAGAACTTCACAATCCTTCAGCTTTACTACGTTCTTCAGCCATTCTCTTCTTGATCTCATGTGCTGCATTGAAAATCCCCATTGTTGGCTGGTTACACACAAAGCACTTCTTGTTCTTCGTGTGATGCTGCATCATTACATAAACAATTTCTTTAGTTTCACAAACCACACAAAAACAGAGCCATACATGATTGTGATTTAAGTTATGATCTTACCTTTAAAGCACAATGCTCACAGAAGTAATGTTTGCATTTGGTGACAACCGGATCAACGAAAGGCTCTCTGCAAATGAAGCAAGCAAAGGGCAGTGCATCGTCGTCTTCGTCGCTATCATTGCCAGCCTCATCATCTTCATCCTCAACTCCCATAGCTTTATTTCTCTTCCTAACTTTCTCTGCTTCTTCCCATTCTTTCTCTATTTGCCATCCCGGTTTGTAATCCCCACGGTCATGCAAGAACTTGCAAGAATCTCCATATCCACAGTATCCGGTTTCTTTGTAATCCTTGCAAATGTCTGGCTGGTAATCGAATCTAGCCGAGACTCTGATGTGAGCAGAAGCTCTTAATGGCCCATGCGAGCCTCCAGCTTTCTCGCTCGAGATTGTTTGCTCTCTTCTAAACCCAGCTTTGTGATCAGTATATCCATGAATCCCGGTGTACAGCTTCTCATCCGAAGCCTTTTTCTTATTCCCTTTCAATGATTCGTCAGCCTTTTTAAGAACTCGCTCACGGATAGCTCGGGCGTCTTGATTGAAGTCGGTTTCAGTTTCAAGGGTTGCTGTTGCTTTACTGTCGTTTTGAACCTGGATTTCCTTGGATGAATCATAGTGAAAGACGGGTTTCTCAGGAGCTTCATTCGTTGTAGTAGAGCTCTTAGATGGACCAGAGGAAAAGTACAACTTGCTATCAGGTTTCGCAACTTTCTTTAGATTCTGTAAGATAGAACTTTGGCTTTTCGAATCTTCGTCTTCTTCGTCTGCGTCAAGAGTTCTTTTCCTAATGTTTTTAGCTTTAGTTGGCTTCTTGAAGAAAGTGCAAACTGAAACAGAAAAGCAATAAAATTGATAAGTGTCTCTCCTGATTCCTAAATGAAAATTTCTAGCTAGCAGCAAAGAACAAGTAAGAAAGAGTAAAAAGGCCTAAAATCTCAATCAGGTAACATAAGATGACTAGAAGTGAGAGAGAAGAAATTATAAGTAACCTTGTTGAGGCTGAGATTCTTGCCCAGCAGGTTGAGGTTGAGATTCTTCTTGCTGAGACGGTTTAGCTTCACCAGAATCTGACATCGTTTGATTTCTATAATGTAAGCTCACAATCTGACCCACTTGAAACTTGTTGCATGCCTGCTAAACATAAGAATCCATGCTATTAATTATTAAGGCCATAAGCTCAAAAACTTTAAAAAGAAGCTTGTTGTTCTTAGTGATGTAAACAATTTTTTTTCAAATATTATCCAGATTTGATTTTCATTAGCAAATAAGGGACCATAGAACATGAGCCTGATCACCCGAATTCTTCGTAAACATAGGAACCTATGGAGAAAAGTAATTCCATATTCATATGCTCATGAATAATCAGAACAACAAAGATTGAATAAACCCTAGCTTTGATCTATCTGGGTAGCAATGTCATTCACAGTAGAAGAGAACCCCGGAAACAACAACTTCAGAAAGAGAAATCCAAATAAAAAGAAAGAACTCACAGTTGGAACACACTCGATGTAAACGGAGGAAGCTACAAAAGTTTGAAATCTAGAAAACCCCTTTACTGAATTTGGAGTGAAAAGCTCGACGGACCCAAACGAACCAAACAAAAGAACGAAGAAGAAATCGTATATACAAGACAAGGAACAATTTGTTACCTTCAGAAACCTTAGAAACTGTGTCGCCGGTGAACTACGCCGGCAAGATGAACGAACGATAAAGCCAACAACAAGAAAAAAAAAGAAAAAAGGAAATCAATGTGCAGAGAGAAGAAATATGAAGAATCCACCATAATTACGATGGGGCGGTCATGTTCAATTTGGGTCTAAATGGGCTTAATATTCATAATGGGCCTAAAACTTATTATCTCCTTCTGACTTTTGACCTAGTCTTCGTCTCCCGATTTTGGAACTGAACAAAGACTTTTCATATTAAAATTGGAAATTGCATCTACTACTTATTTATTCCTATTTCCCTCTCATTTGTCCTTGTCTTAAAATTTGTTTCCAGGAAAAGAATACACATAACCGCTCATATCATATGGGTCTCTCTTTTAAGCGAGGAGCTTGAAGAAGAGAGGTTGACGTAAACGCCGTTGACCCACTTCCGTAATTTTTCGATTTTCCAGTTCATAAGCCTGAGTATTCCATCTATAGCCTCTTCACTTACTTCGTTCGAGGTACGTTTCTAAGTTCTGACCGGTGGTCTTTGTTCCTCTGATGTTTGGTTTTGCTCGTCTCTTAATTCTGCGTCAAAATTACTGTTTTCTTACGGTAATCTCTTCATAACCCTCGATGTTGTATTGTCGAGATTTATTTTGAGTTTTGCTTATCTTCGATGAACAGTGCCTATTATATACTAGTTCGTATTGTTTACAATTATTGAGAAGAGATGGGTAGGAATTAAAGGATTTGGTAATCATGTTTGGTAGGTATTGACTGATTCTCTCTAGGTTTCCAATTTTTACTTTTGAAAAAATATACTTATAAAACACACAACTGTTGTTAGGTGTCTACTTGCTATTTTATAATTGGTTTTGGGGATTATCTCTATGCGTAATCATGGAGAAGAATTCGTATGATTTAAATGTTTTGTTTCTTTTATTATAATGTTAGGATTCGTCACACTGTAAGCTAAGTATCCAAGGGTTTGGCTGATGGCATTCAGCCATGATAATCGTGTAAGGTTGGTAACTTCCACAAATATTGTCTCTTACATAGCATCCACGAAAAAGGTTCAAATGATTTTTAGAGAATCTTAACAAAGATTCTCATGTGATTTTGTTTAGGTTCGAAGATGAAGACAGATCATTATCCTCTGAGTATGGTCATGGAAGAAAAGCTAGACCTTCTTTAGACAGAGTTTTGAAGAATGTGAAGTGGGGATTTGAGAAAGGTTCAGAAAAAATCAAAACTTTCAAGAAGCCATTAAGTTTCCGTTCGCATAATAAGGATCCTGACCACAAGATCCTGAAGGAAACTTCTGGTACTACTAAGAAGAACATCATTAACCCACAGGATTTGTTTCTGCAGAACTGGAACAAAATATTTCTCTTTGCTTGTGTGCTTGCTTTGGCGATTGATCCGCTGTTTTTCTACATTCCCATTGTCGATGGCACCAGGCACTGTCTTACTTTGGACTCAGAGTTGGAGATAGCTGCGAGTTTGCTACGTTCACTCATAGATGCCTTTTACATAATTCACATTGTGTTTCAGTTCAGAACAGCTTACATCGCTCCTTCTTCCCGGGTGTTTGGCAGAGGTGAACTGGTGGATGATGCTAAGGCAATAGCTTTAAAGTATCTCTCATCTTACTTCATTATTGATATACTTTCTATCCTTCCTCTCCCACAGGTAATTACTAATTGATTGTTTTTTTTCTTTTTCTTTTTTTGAAGTGTCAAAATGATCAAATATTTTTTGAATATGACTGAATCCTCTGTTTTTTTTTTTTTAATCTTGCAGATAGTAGTCTTAGCTGTTATTCCAAACGTCAACCAGCCAGGCTCTTTTCTCACAAAAGATTACCTTAAAATTGTCATAATTGCTCAATATGTTCCTAGGATTATCCGTATGTATCCGCTTTACACGGAAGTGACCAGAACATCCGGCATTGTTACTGAAACAGCATGGGCTGGAGCTGCTTGGAACCTCTCTCTCTATATGTTAGCCAGTCATGTAAGTTCTGGATCATCGGATCACTGGTTCTTTAAAGATGTGAATGCATTTTAAAGGTCAATCAAGTTTATATGGTAGTCTTACTTATTCAGGTGTTTGGAGCTTTATGGTACTTAATCTCAGTAGAACGAGAAGACAAATGCTGGCAAGAGGCATGCGAGAAAAAAGACGGTTGTAGTTTAAGGGTTCTGTACTGTGACGATAAGGGTAATACTAGAAACGATTTCCTCAACGGTTCTTGCCCATTTCTCGACCCTGATGAGATAACGAACTCAACCTTCAACTTTGGCATCTTCATTGATGCTCTAAAGAGTGGGGTTGTTGAATCACATGATTTCTGGACGAAATTCTTCTACTGCTTTTGGTGGGGACTTCGAAATCTAAGGTTCGAAAACAAAACTATTACATTGGCTTTCTTGTTCCAGTCGAATTTCTTATTTTACACTAACTAACTATCTAGATTGTTATGCTCTTTCTAGTTAGAACAATGTGAAATGACCTTTTTTATAGTTGCATAACGAGCATGTGTATCTGAAACTCTGTCACAACTTAAAGAAGCCATCATTCTCACTAATTGCTTTCGTTGTCGCAGTGCACTGGGACAAAACCTCCAAACAAGCAAATTTGTTGGTGAAATCATCTTTGCTATATCAATCTGCATATTTGGACTAGTCTTATTTGCGTTACTTATCGGCAATATGCAGGTAACGGCCTCAAAGAATCGCTTCTGATTTTCTTGACTAGTTCCATAACATCGTATTATTCAAGAAACTCATGTAAGTTCTGTTTGCTGATGCAGAAATACTTGGAATCAACAACAGTTCGAGAGGAGGAAATGAGGGTGAGAAAGAGAGATGCAGAGCAGTGGATGTCTCATAGAATGTTACCTGAACACCTGAGGAAACGTATCAGAAGATATGAACAATATAGATGGCAAGAGACAAGAGGAGTTGAAGAAGAAACCCTTCTCCGTAACCTCCCTAAAGACCTAAGAAGAGATATTAAACGCCATCTTTGCCTCGATCTCCTCAAGAAAGTAAGTAACGAGCTTTCTCTCTTTTTCCCTCCATTACATATCAACTGAACCAAGGACTCAAATTATATGACTGTTTTGTTTTGTAGGTACCTTTGTTTGGGATAATGGATGAGCAGTTACTTGACGCTGTTTGCGATAGGCTAAGACCTGTGCTCTACACAGAGAACAGTTACGTGATCCGTGAAGGAGATCCTGTAGCGGAAATGCTGTTTGTGATGAGAGGAAGGCTTATAAGCGCCACCACTGATGGAGGAAGAACTGGGGTTTTCAATGCCGTGTATCTGAAGGCAAGTGAATTCTGTGGTGAAGATCTTCTGCCGTGGGCACTAGACCCTCAATCTTCTTCTCACTTTCCCATCTCGACAAGAACAGTTCAAGCTCTAACCGAAGTTGAAGCCTTTGCTCTTAGGGCTGAGGATCTCAAGTCTGTCGCTTCACAATTCAGACGCCTCCATAGCAAGCAGCTCCAACATACTCTCAGGTTTGGTTTCTCCCATCAGCTCCTTTGGTTATGTTCTGTTTTGATAGGCTTAACCGGGTGTCAATTTGATGTACTGCAGGTTTTATTCGGTGCAATGGAGAACGTGGAGCGTATCTTTCATACAAGCAGCTTGGCGTAGATACTGTCGGAGGAAGTTAGCCAAATCATTATGCGATGAAGAAGAGCGTCTCCGAGACGCGCTCGCTAGTCAAAATAGAGAACGCAACGCTGCAACGGCGTCTTCGTCCTTGAGCCTTGGAGCCGCTATTTACGCGTCGCGTTTCGCTTCAAACGCGCTTCACAATCTGAGGCACAATATCTCCAATCTCCCTCCTCCCTACACTCTTCCTTTGCTACCTCAGAAACCCACCGAACCTGACTTCACCGCCAATCCTACAACTGACTCTTAAAGTTTTCTACACGTGTAATTGTGTATAAAAGATAAAAAGAAAAGAATAATGTAAAAAACGTTGGATTGAACCAAAAATATATAAATTTGTTTGATCAAGTAACAGAAATCTACTTAATGGGTCCTAAGCCCATATAAAAGCCCAAGAATTATATAGACTATAAAGGGCTTGGTGTGTAATTTCCTTTTTGTTCCTCTCTGATTCTCGTCGGGAATCGAATTCGCCGGTGATATGCGGAGATCGCCGAGGGCTCTACAACAGTGTTTTGCTTCCTGACTCCACCGTGAATGTCGTCCTCTCTCTCTCCGCGGAGAAGCTCACCTTGAAGAAAATATTTACTACAAATTTTAAATTGTTTTGCTGTTTACAAATAATTAATGAAGGATGATGATGACTTGGTTGCGAAAAGAAAACAGCTTAGTGGAAGGAGAATGCGTAAATATTATTGGCAAAATCACTTTAAATTGTGATTAAACGTAAACTGTTTTCTATATACAGTTCAATTTTATTGGCATAGTCATCTATAGTTCTTTTCATAGGAAAAATCTCGAATAATAAATTTTAAATTTTATTATTTAAACGGAAGTCAGTTGCAGAAATATACGATATAAGATCATATATATATATATTAGCAAAAATGAGTTACGGTTCGGTTTTGGTAACTTGTTGGGGTGGGATTAGAGAGGATAATGGGATGAGGCAGCTTTACGTGGTCAGTCTAGGACCGTGTGATTGTAGGCAGATTAGGAAAGTGTGCGGTTGTGATTCGCCGACGTTGGAACCATGTAGACAAAAAATGGTCCCGCTTATTTGTTTCTTGTGTCCACTTGTGACCTCCTCTCCTCTGCCATTACCAACATTACTGGACGACAAATCCGTCTGCGCTTTCTTCATACCATCAAAAAATAAAAATTATCTTTTCATCATCATCTTTTTTTTCTTATTAAGTTGGCCTTAATGATATAACTTTGATAAGCTAATTATCACAACTTGTGTGTTTTTTCTTTTTCTTTTTCATTTTTTTTTTGGTTTTACCAACTTGTGATTGTGTTTGAATTACTAGCTGTATATATATATATATATATATATATATATATGCAAACATACAAAAATACCTACACGACAAGCTCGCGTAATTCAAACATACATATTTTTGAACCAGTGTTGGTGAGCCATATACCTAACCTACGAATAACAGCACAGCGTTTTAATTATTTTTCAATAAATAACCCGAAAATTTCATGTTTACTATACAAACAAAAAAAGATTTCTACGTAGAAAAATAAACATTTCGAAACTGGCTGTGACAGTAGAGAGCATGAACTTAGTAGTAGTATATAGAAGAAACAGAAGGGGGCACAAAATAGAATAATCCCAAAAAGAGTAGAGAAAATAAGACAATCTTTCCCAGGCCCATTAGCGTCTTAAAGGCCCTAAAAGGTAAGAAAATCATTCCAAAATTTCAAGCAAGGCGAAAAGACGAACAGGCCCATAGGAGAGAAGATAATTACGAGAAAATGCCACGGACGTGCATAAAAAGCCATTCTAGCCATCTGACTATTGAATCTCCGCCCTTCCTTCCTTATCACACTCTCCACAAACTCTCTTTTTTACAAAACACCCCAACAACACACTCTCTTCTCTCTTCTCTCTTCTCTCTTCTCTCTTCTCTCTCTCACACCGTTTTCTCCAGTTTCAGCTTTTTCTTCGAACCACTAAACTCTCTCTTATAAACTCTTTTTATCATTATTTATTACACCTCCCTTCATTTCTTTTTTTCCAAAAATTTCTTCATATTTTATCTGCTGGAAGCTTAATAAAACTTAGCTCCCGCTCTTCCTCTCACTCGGTAATTATCCCATTTTTTCATTATTATGTTTTCTTAAGCCCGTCTTATGTAACTCTATATTTATCTCTCTCAAAAACCCGTATTGTTTTGGATAAGATTGTGTACTCTATTACATATTACACAATAGTTTATGGTTCTTCGTGAGGTTTTGAGTGGTTATTATAAGCTAATCCATAAATTGTACATTTGTATGTAAAATTGACAATGAGATGATAGAAATTGACCAGTTGAATCTATGTTTTCAGCTATTGTTTGTTTATTTTCAATAAAAGAAAAGAAAAGAAAAAAAAAGACTCGAGAAATGGCTCCCAAGAACAACCGTGGAAAGACTAAAGGAGATAAGAAGAAGAAGGAAGAGAAAGGTAACTCAGAGAAAAATCTAAAATACGAAATTAGTTGTTGCTAATCACTTAACTTGCTATGATAAATTAAGTTCTACTAATTTCATAATGGATTACGGTTTATGTGCAGTTCTCCCGGTTATCGTGGATGTCATTGTAAACCTTCCCGATGAGACGGAGGCTATTCTCAAGGTTTGTGTTTGTTGTTTTCTTTTCTCGCATCTTTTTCGAATTATGTTATTTCTTTTCTTTTTCATATTTCTTGCGTGTTTAACAACTGTTTTATGGTAGTAGCGATTTTTTCTGTGGAATTCGTTTTAGTCCCTTTTTCTTTTTGATATTATGAAACCAAATATCATTTTATTTTCGGTTATTGTAAGATTAGAATCTATAACATATACATGAAACGTTATCTTAATTAATACTTTTTAAGATTTGAATATGAAGAAAATATTTTAATTTAGTGCATAATCGGTATATTTATTTTTTAACCTTTTTTTTGGGGATAAGGTATTATTACGCGTATCATAAAATTGATAGTTTTTACAATTATATGCATAAAAAATATATAGAAAAATCATTTTCAATTTGACTTAAGATTATCTTCTTGAATTTTCTCATTGTTTGAACGTGTAGAAAAATACAAAACAGTGTGTAACACAAAAATTCGATTGTTAAAATAATTCAAATTGTTTTTTCATAACTTTTTTTGGTCAATAAAATTACGTAGACGTTACATAGACAGTGAAATCTTATATAGAAAACATGTGTATCCTTTTTCTTTTGTCGTCATGAAACATTGGTTATCTACTATATTCATATTTAGTCGTTACTCGGATATTACTAGCAAATATATAAGTGGATATTTCAAGCCGTATCGTAGGCAATAGGTTTCACATGTTGATTACTTTTAACGAAACCAAAATTATGAAAAAAAATTGGGGGTTTGACAGAGAAATATGTATGTATGTGTGAAACAGGGCATATCAACGGACAGGATCATAGATGTTCGGCGGCTTTTATCAGTTAACTTCGACACTTGCCACCTCACCAATTATTCTCTCTCCCATGAGGTCAGTAATGTTTTTTTTTGTTAGTGCGAGAGAGTTTCTTACAATCCTTTTTGAATTTTCCTATTTCCATTGTCAGTTTGGTTACTCTTGTTAACGTTTGATGGTCCAAAGATATTTCACATTTATTGTGGAACGTTTGATTAGGATCCCAAGTGAATTAAAGTGAGCAAAAAGTATAGGAAAATGACTTTTAGTGTCATTGTGCCTAATAAGATTTGCTTATTTCATTTCTGACTCTTTTTATATTTTTTCCTTTTCTGTCACTACATATGATATGTTACCCGATTTAGGCATCTTTCTCTCTCTCTCTGTTTAATGGTGTACGCATATCGTAAAGGAGGGTATAAAAGAATGACTGTGGTAAAAAATAGTCAACTCAAATTCATATGTCTGACTCCCCCAAGCTTGGGTCGTTTACAGGTCAGAGGATTGCGGTTAAAAGACACGGTCGATGTTTCGGCGCTTAAACCTTGTCTTCTCACGTTAACGGAAGGTAATAATAATAAAGTTCTCACTCTCTCTCTCTCTCTTTCACGCTTCTTTAATAGACGCCGTTTAAGTGCCGTAACGGAAATAATCATAAGACTAAAACGATGGCGTTTAAGTTATTAGTTGAAACGACGTCACTCTCTGCTTCGTGCGCTTTCTCAAATTCTTCTGTGACCGTTGTGATTTCCTTTTTTATTTTTTTCCTTTTTCTTGGTAAAGTTTCCTTTTTTAAAAACACAATTTCCTTTTTTTTTTTTATAAAGTTTCTTATTTTCTATTTCTGGCAGAGGATTATAATGAAGGAACAGCAGTGGCTCACGTTAGACGACTGCTTGACATCGTCGCTTGCACTACTTGCTTCGGTCCTTCGCCGGAGAAATCCGAATCCGTGAAAAGTGCGCAGGTCAAGGGAGGTGGAAAGAATTCCAAACATTCAGAAACGTCTCCTCCGCCTTCTCCTGCGTCCAAGGATGCGGTGGTTGATGACGCCGGAGAGACCAGCCACTCTTTCCCTAAGCTTGGAAGCTTCTACGAATTTTTCTCTCTAGCTCACCTCACTCCTCCTCTTCAATGTATGATCGTATTTGTCTCTTCCTTTAAACCCTAGATTCGATCCCCTGCTTTGATTGATTTTGTCCCAACTTACAGTAATTAGGGTTTTATAGATATACGTCATGTCACTAAGCGGGAGACCGAAGATATAGCCGCGGAAGATCATCTTCTCTCCATTGATGTAAGCCGAGATTTCTATTTATTGCTCAATTGGTTGTTTCTGGATGTCGCTATCTGCTCTTTTTTTTTGTTTGTTGATATGGTTTGTGTTTTGGTTTCTTTTTTCTCAGGCGAAGCTTTGTAATGGGAAGGTCGTTCACATTGAAGGTTGCAGGAAAGGATTTTACAGTATTGGGAAACAGAGAATTATATGTCACAGTCTCGTTGATTTGCTTAGACAGATTAGTAGAGCCTTCGATAATGTAAGTTTTGTTTTGGCTCTCTTCTGTATCTATCTATTGAGTTTTGTGTTGAACATGATTGATGATCTTTTCTGTTTTTATCATGTTTAGGCTTACAGTGATCTTCTGAAAGCATTTTCGGAGCGCAACAAGGTATATTTCTCTACTTGAGTGAGGATTTAGTGGAAGTTGAATTGGGTGTATTTAATAAGCGTTTCATCTGTGTGCAGTTTGGAAATCTTCCATATGGGTTTAGAGCTAACACATGGCTCATCCCCCCTACTGCGGTGCAGTCACCAGCAGCGTTTCCACCTCTCCCTGTCGAGGATGAGAGATGGGGAGGGGATGGTGGTGGTCAAGGGAGAGATGGCAGCTACGATTTGGTTCCATGGT